TATATAACGATAACAATCTGCGAATATTTCAGTATCTAGTTTTTCATTACGTACTGCAAAAGCAAACTATCTATAAATGTTAGTGAGAAAGTTCTCAAGAGATTCTGCTAGTTTCGCAAAAAGTCGCTAACGAGTGCCTTAATTCTCAACGAAGTTCGTCGTACCGTGCGGGAGGTGTGCACAGATCTCAATTAGTCGGTGTTTCAGCCGGAGGTCTGCGGCCGGACACCGCACAGTGTCGCCACCTAGCAAACTTGACCAATTAATGTCACTTCCCCTAACTCCCCCTAAGCTTCCAACTCTAAGGCAACAAGACAACCTAACTTAAAACTTAGTTTAGACTATAAATATACTTTACAGCAAATAGCATTTTCAACACTTTGGTAATCGAGCCTTTATACCAACTCTGTTATCTTTTAAATGAATTAATATAAACTATATTCCAGCTTAACATATTTATTATCATGCCTTAAATTAAGAATTTTATTATAAAAATTGAGATAAGCAAAAACGTAACTTTAGTAAGGTTTATACCCTTCTTAGTCACATTATAAATGATACGAATCACTTTTAAACATGTTAATTTTCCCTTGAATTTATTATAAGTGCCTCATGTATCCTTTTAACGCAACATTTAGGCTTCATAATGTTTTTTCTTATACATCAGCTCGGTTTTACACATTATTTAACAGAACGTTACACGCCATTAATATCCATTTCTTGTGAATTACAAGATTAAAATATCGAGACCTTTTTTCTACATTAAACGAAATCCACGTTATCATAATATTTCCTTTACATTTGAAATGATGAAGAAGCTATAAACTTTTCACATTCAATTAAATTTGAGGTAAATCTAAAAATAATACATTAGTAAATAAAATATATTTCTATTTAGAAATAAACAGGTTCTTATGAAGCGTTTTAAATAGCTAGTTGTACTTACTATATTATTAGACTTTATCCATACTTAATATTATAAATGTGACGGATTGGCGTGATTTTATGTGGAGATAGTAAGAGGGTTGGAGAGTGACATAGGCTCATTTTCCCACAGGAAAATAAAATACTTATAATACAACCACACAACAACTCGTCGTTCCTGTATTATATATATATATATATATATATATATATAATAGTCTATCTATTCCATACTAACCGTTAAAACATATCTAGGGACGAATCCGAGAGAAGCGAGAGTGAATCGCTAGTCCATACATCTACACATACAATAAAATTGTAACTGAGCCGAATCTGTACATTAAATATTTTTTGAAAAATCTTATTGTAATAGGTATTACTATCGATACAGAGGCCGAATCTATAGTATTTAGAATTTTTATCTGTCTGTCTGTTACCGCATAAGGGAAAAACCACTGAAGGGATATTGATGTTATTTGGTATGATGATAGCTGGTTATCCGGGTCAACATATGAAATACTTTTTACTTCGGGAAAATATATCATCTCTGAGAAAACTATACTAAGCCGTAAGTAGTAGTACACAATAAAAATAAGCACATAAAATTATATACTATATAATATGACATTATATAATATACATATAGAGAGGCTTTCTGAATATTAAATCGCTAATACAAAAGTGAAGTAGGTCAAACTCGCACTCCTAAACAAGCTCATTACAACTATTTATTTCGAATGAAAGCCGCGCAGTGCGTGGGGACTACAACCGCAAAAGTTTCCATCGACCTCCAACTGCTGTTTATGAGCAAATTCTTGTATCGTAAAAGGAAATCGTGTGGAAAAGTTAAATTAATTTACATGTACAAAATACACATATGAGGTTTATAAAATATTGTTTGGGAATAGTTTTACGTAAACTCTATACATTTTGGTTTAACTGGAATTGGAAAATAAAACTGAGTTGTTACTACATACAATATATTATACAAATAATAATGGTAAGTAAGGCTTAGAGAAATTTCTAAAAATACGTCGAATTTTAGTAACAACAACAAAATTTAAGTTTAAATGAAAAATATTTTATACAACAAGTTGTATATTAAATATACATATAAAGAGAATATTTTTATTTTATTTATTTAGGTACAGAAACAGAAAATAGATTGAAAAAAATTACATCTACGTATTGAAAACTAAAAATATCATTTTAAATTTGTTGTCCAATTATATCTGTACACAACATTCAAATAAAAACATATAATAATTATATAAACAAACTTAACCAGAATATTACAGTACGAATCTGTGCGTTTAAAGTTACATAAAAAATATTAAAAAAAAAAGAAAATAATATTTACATTAGATGTGGAAAAAAAGACAAAGAAAATAAAAAGAGAAAGAAAATAAGAAGAAACAGAGAGAAAGCATATAATATAGTAGTATCTCATTCCGTTTTATATAGAATTCAACATGCAGGTACACTCTTACAAACGAATGTTGCAAATCTCAAGTTTGTACAGCGTCCCGTGTCCCGGAAAGCATTCGAGGGAGGTACGTAGGTACAATCCCGAATGCGGTATGACATGCTCGTAGCATTTTCTTTTAAGACGACGCCAAACTAAAGTGGGCTACTTCCTCTGGGGATTTTCTTCCAAACAAAACTTCACCGTAAGTGCACATGCATAGTTTTAATAGCTGTCCTTATTTCCACGTAATAAGAATTGAAATTGCCACAACGAAATTGCTGTTAGTTCTTTAAATGGTTCTTAGAAAATGTATTTCTTTCATTAAACGTGCCCATTACACTCAATGTGCAACGAACTCAGCTGATTGAGACTTCATGTTGATGAAAAATATTTTTAAGTAACTAAATTCTATTTGCACTGGAAATGTTGTTTGCAGCTGCCTGCTCTAACTGCTTGCAAAGGTAGTAATAGTAAATAATAATACTTTTGTCCAGCTTTAAAAAGGATGAGGTACTCAATTCAAATGTTATTTTTATTATGTTTATGTTAAGTTAAGATATATATAATTATTTTTTTATGTATAGTGAGAATTTATGAAATCCAGATAAAAAATTAGGTACGTACATTAACACAATTAGTATATAATATAATATATAATAAGGTTAATATTATTATATAATAAAATTTCTAAACTCATAAAATACAGATAGGTACACAGAAATAACTTTCTCCATACTACCAACATTTCGTATAGTCGACTCTTATGCGAAGCAAAGGACGTTGAAATGGTCATTGCAACCGCATGCTTAGTTCCTCTTATATACTTAAGTTTCTATCTACCAGCTCTACTTATATTTTCAAGAATTAGCCTGAATTAATGATTTATCCTGAATTTCATAAAAGGATTTAGATTTTGAGCATTTTACGGACATTTTTTTTTAATATGTTGGGACATTAACACACATCACCATCTAGTTCCATGGTAAGCTACGAGGCTTGTGTTATGGATACCAGATAGTTGATACACTACACATATATAACTTTAAATAAATACATGTTATAAATATACCCATGACTGGAGTACAAACATTCGTGCTCATCACACAAATGAATGCCCCTAGCGGGACTCGAACCCGCGACCGCTGGCGCAGCAAGTAGGGTCACTACAAACTGAGCCAAAAGTGTCGTCAAATTAGACATTATTTTGATATAATTTATATTGTATATTTAATGCTTACAACAGGTGTTGGTTATTGTTCCCCCCCAACGTGCGTTCACCTTGTCGTGGTGGGGGGGCTCAGTAGTAGTAGTGAAGCTAAGAAACGCACAGGGAGGTTGCCCACTTCGGTGGGCGGTGTACCATGCGGGTTGCTCCTGGTACTTCTCTGATAGCAGAGTGGACCTTGGAGCAACCCCAAGGTTGTGGTGGTCTGCTTTGGCAGACCTGCCGTCGGGGCGTCGTAGTTAAATGCGTAAGCGATCCTGCGACGCCCCATTAAGACGGGGGAAGGTTTTGTTGGGTTTTAGTGGGTAGTACTGGCTGTATTACGCCGGTGAGTCCCACACGTCGTGCGTAAATGCATTTCCCAACGTTAAAAAAAAAGTGTTGGTTATTGTCGTAACTTTATACATATCTCATACATCTATACCTCATTCTAAGGTAATTTAAGTACCAAGCGCTATATCTTTTCATACTGCTAAGCTTCTTTGCTCTTAATTTACCAACGATTCGGCATTCCAATATAATTTACACTTACTGTATCTGACCACACATTTTAATTTTAAATTAATTCTTTATTAAAAAGCTTAAGGGCAGCTTTTCTACGCTAATATTCGACATTTTAAATAAAACTTTTGTTTTATGATGATTTTTCGATTTTTTGTTCTCGACCTTATAAATTATAATATACTCAAACAGCGTATATCTTATATGTGCGCTTTTTAATAATAAGTTTGAGCTTTAATCAACGGAAACAGCTTTCTGAACTCTATTACCATTAATTACTAGAACACCCTTCAATACACTTCCTACCTGAAACTTACGTATACTCGTAGGTATGCAGATAATCAACTCTTCCTTCACTAAGGGAAGCTGGAACGGTCAGTGTAACCGCATTCTCACTATCTAATGACTATGCTCGAGCTGCTATTAGATGTTACTTGAATGTGCTGTACTTTATATCCTACTTTATTCTAAATGAGTTTAACCGCTCTTACAATTAGACGAAGAAACTGAGGGAGCGGTTTCATTAAAATGTTCGCTCAAATTTCATTAGAAATATTTTCTTAGTATTTTAAAATATTTTTTTGAATCTTATTGGAACTGTTATTATTATCGATGAACAAGCCGAATCTATAGTTTTTCTGGGAACGCATTACAAGAAAACCACTGCACAAATTTTGAATGTATAAGTAACATATATTATTATTTATAGATTAAGTAATGATATGTATAGAAAGCGATAACGCCAAAAAATCAAACTTCTTTTAAAAAGTTACTCATGTATTATATAATGAAGTCAATTTTCTTAAAGACGTTCCCAAATAAATATCCAGTAAAGGCGGTCTTGGCATCACTATAAGTTGACTGACCCACTTACTGTTGCAGGGTGTGCGCAATGTTTCTCCCGGAATTTGCAAGTTTCGTGGCAGCCATCTTGTTCGCGGTGCACCCTATACACAGCGAAGCCGTAAGTATATATTTACTTTAATCATTTTACACATTTAAAAAGAAACTATCTTACCAATATTTATTATTATAACACACAAATAATTCTTTATTTATACTTTTATACACAATAGCTCATTAGAATAGTTTGCCTTTTGATATTCAATTGATCAAAAATGAAATTCCCGTGAGTATTTTTAATCTGTAGCCCATTTCATTTGAAACTTACATTTCCATTTTGATGAATCAACTCTGATCGGTATTTCAACCGTTTTAACAGTATCTATGTTATTCCTCTCATGCATGTTGATACATGTAAATTTAAAGCCCAAATAATTGACAGCGTGTAAAAGAGTTGTGAAAATTCATTTGGAATTTATGACTGACTATGTTTATTAATAAAACACACATTGAGATATCTCAAATTTGTTGAAACGTACAACGTAAAGAATTTTTTATATTATTTGGCTTTGCCTGTTTGTATATGATCTATTATTTAGCTTCATATAATACAAAGTAAATACAGAGTTAAACAAAAATCTATACTGTATAATAAAATTCTGAGTCGAATCTGTACATTAAATATTTTTTAGAAAATCTTATTGAAATAGTAATTAATCACTAATTATTCTTGGTACAGAAGTCGCGTCTATAGTTTTAAAAAATTTTGTCTGTCTATCTGTATGGGAACGCATCACGAGAAAACCATTGGACAGATTTTGATATGATGATAGCTGGTTATCCGGGTCAACATATAGGATACTTTTTATTGCGGGAAAATGTTTCTGAGAAAAAATACAAAAACTGCATTGTATGAGTATACTAATATGCAAAACCTAAAAATTTGGTTTTTAGTCATCTGAACGCGGACAGAGCCGCGGGCAATGCTAGTACTATATATAATCCGCAGATTCACACTCTTTATAAAATTCTAGTTCGCTCTTTCATGAAACAGTTCATGACACTCGCTTTAAACAGTACGGAGAACTCAAATCTTAACCTTGGCTATATTCAGTCGACTGAAATAAAACTTCATTTTATATACTATTCTTTATTGCACTTATATGTAAAATACAGAGAGTAACAAACAATAAAATTTGTTAGCAAAGGTGGACTTATCTCTAGAAGAGATCTCTTCCAGTCAACCTAAGTGAGTTAGAGAGATAGTATTAAAATGCAGGCTAAAGTGCTGTAACTCAAATGTAAATACTTAAATAAATATATATTATATATACATATAACAAAACATTATACATATTATATACAATAACATATGTACATACTACTACATACACAAATACATATCTATATAATATAATGCATAATAATAGTTATAGTTAATATAATTATTGTGGAATAACTGGGGTGAGAAAGTGCTGTTTTATTTTCTTTTTAAAGGCAGTTATAGAGGGGCTTAATTGGGTGTCTTTTATTGGATGTTTTATAGCTTGTAAAGAAATCTTTTTCTTTTTTGGGATACATACCAAAAACTGAAGCTAATTAATAAGCCTGTCTAAAAGAACACTTTGTATTTTATAAATCGGACAGGCAGTTTAAGAGATAATTATGCTTGATACAACAAAAATAACTTATTCTAGTACAATTTATTGCGATCCAGAACACTTAGTGCGTAAGTCTTACACGCACTTGACCAACGTTTTTCTTGTCGTGACAAATACAGAACACAAAAAAATTCTTGTTCATCCCATTTATTAACACATCACTCAGTACTTATAATGCTTATAGACTCTCGAAGACAAACTCTTTTGAACCGACTTCAAAAAGGAGGAGGTTCTATATTCGACTGTTTTTTTTTATGTTTGTTACCTCAGAACTTCGTCATTTATTAACCGATTTGGACAATCTTTGTTTTTTTTTAATTGATTTGACAAGCCTAACACGTTGGAATTCTTACTTTGCTACTACTGTCTACACTAAAAAGGGAAAAATAAAAACTTTTTAACAAGAAAATAATTAGATATATTTTCCAAAAGATTTCCAGAAGAAAGATAGCTTTTAGTATCAAAGACCACAAAACAATCGCAGTTCTATTGAATGAAAGCAATTAATTAACCTAATCTAGTCTTTCACTGGGTCGGATAGACAGTTATTTCTTGGTAATCTTGCCTATTATCGTAATCAATGTCTGCCTCGTCCGTCAAAACTTGAAGCTTATAATGCTCACATTTCTAATTAATTGGGCCCCTTTTATGATCGAGGTACTCTCACACGATTACGGATCTTTGACATGCCCTTACTTATACCCTCTTACACAAACACTTGAGTAATTAGAGAAACGGCCAGCAGTGAAATACTCAGTGAAGATATTTCTTTTCAACTCGATTTTCTTTATTTAACATCGTATCTGATATTAGCTGTGTGCCGTATCTTCCATTTGAATTAATATAAAACCTTTTTTTCCTTTTGAAGATATTTTTGTTGCTAAAAGATATAACTGAAAATAGTCTCTTCAATGGATTCGGTTAGATTATTTAAATGTTAATTGTACGATGTCGAAGTATGTGTAAAATAATTTCAACTTTGATGTAGGTATATTTTTATAGGAACATTTCACACAAGCCAACACTACGGTTTTTACCATTAACTTGACGGACTTTGAACTCGGCCTGTCACATCGATGTAGCAAATAGTAGCAATTTCATACTATTACACTCCTTTTATCGCTGCTCGGTTTGTTTATCGTTTCATTTTGTTTCCATCGTACATTAAGTCGTCTCTTTCTATTTAAATTTAAAAATTTCTATCTACATTCACTGCCATGCTAGGGAACAGTGCATTTGGAATTCAAGCGCCGAACCCAGAGTTTATCTGAAAACTTAACGGCTATTTGCAACTTATTCGTACTGCAAACCTATATAGCACGTTCCGCAGTAAAACCTTAACTTTGAATAAAATTTCGTATAAACGCTACCTTTTAGTGGACGATTTGTTTTTGTATGTTTACACAAAATCTTTTTGTTAAGTAAGTAACATTCCTAATTCGAATGCATCTTAAAACTTGTCCCTACAATTGCCTCGCTACAAAGGAGCCAAATAAAGCGAACGCTGTCAACTACGCCGTTCAACTGAGTAAAAATACAGGCGTAATTCCTGCAATAGTTCCGTAACTTGTTTATTTTCTGAGCAAAACTGTTTGTAATGAAGTCGTAAGAGGACATGGCTGAGACGCCCGCCGCCTCGGGCTCTAACTATGTTTGCCGTTTATAAACTCGTAGCGTCAGGTCTTGTACTTGATTGGAACTTATTTTTTTTTTTTATTTCTTTTTACACGCTGTACTGACTTGTTAAAATATCACTTTCTTTGCCAAGTGTATAAATTACTTGAAGTAGTAAAATTATTAACACGTCCACAGCTGTATCTTAATTTTTTCAACTTTTTCCTCAAGGACTGTCTTATAATCTAATAAAGTAAAACAGTGTATTTACTTAACAGAATAATCTTATCCGTTTGTCTGCAATCCGATAGCGCTAACATCTATTTCCTTATATTATACGAGCGTCACTTTCATTATTACGCTTTTATTTTTTGCACCGTTTCTTTTATAAGGCGAATTTTTAATGGACCCTTATACCTTCCTTGTACCTTCCTTGTTACTAAAGAATATTACAAAAGTAAGTCGAAGCCCAATTGAGCCGGATTTCTAAGAGGTTAAGGTTAGTAAGCTTTCGGCAGCATTTCATTAATTTTTTAAAAAGGGGATCTGAAAAATACCTGGCTTCGTATTTTGTTTGATGTTAAAAGTTCCTTTTGAAATGTGAAATTAGTTATTTACATATTAACTGTATTTTAATAAAATGAGCAATAATAACTTTCAGTGTTTTTTTTTTTAATTTTATTCGACAGATTTTGTAGCAGTTTTCATTTAAAAATCAATTTTATAGATTTCCTTATATTATCCACGTTAATATAAAATTACCAAGAAACATTTTAGTAATACAACATCATCAAAGAAAATAATAAATATAAATTATTACCTAGACTTTTTTATAATATTATATATTATATTATAAAAAGCTCAGAAATGTAAGTATATAAGGTATATAAGGTATGAAAAACAAAGTAATTTAGAAACAGTTCTAAAACGTTAGCTATATCAATTTTAGATATAAGTTGTCTACCTCACACATACGAAATATGGTAAAAGCGTTCTAATAGATTCTATTAAAACTAAAGTGATTTAACTCTTTGTATAGGTGACAGGTGTCGTGGGCAGGGCTGAAATGTTGTCGTCGCTGTTTTTCCTTGGTGCTCTACTTTGCTACGCGCGCGCCGCCAGCCGTAGACGATATACAGGTATATTAACTGCCATGGTCACGTTCAAAAACCTTCATAAATTGTGTTTTGTTTTATTATTTACCTCTTTCACCGTTAAAGTTATACTCCTATTATAAATATGAAAGTTTATATGTATGTTTGTTATTCCTTAACGCTGAAACGGCTACGCGGATTTAGATGTTTAGTACGCAGAAAGGCTATCACCTGAAATAACATATTATCTATACATATAATAAAATTGTAACTAAGCCGAATCTGTACATTAAATATTTTTTGGAAATCCTTATTGAAATAGTCATTATTATCGATACAGATGCCGAATCTATAGTTTTTAGAATTATTGTCTGTCTGTCTGTCGGTCTGTCTGTTACCGCATCACAGAAAAACCACTGGAGGGATTTTGATGAAATTTGGTACGGTGATAGCTGGTTATCCGGGTCAATATAGAGACTTTTTACTGCGGGAAAATATCTCATTTCTGAGAAAAAATACAAAAACTGCATTGTAAGAGTATACTTAATATGTAAAACCTAAGAATTTGGTTTTTGGTCATCTGAACGCGGGCAATGCTAGTATTCTATATAAAAGGTACAAAGTCGCAAAAGGTGCCTGTAACGCACCAAAGCTAAACTGGGGATAAGTCATTAGTATCTTATAATAAGCAAATAGATAAACAACGTTTACGTAATAATATAGTAAGATACTCGTAATAATATAGTGCACATGACGATTAATAATTGTAACAAGACTAATATGCTGAATATCCCCAAAATGTTAGTCGTCCAACTTCACCGTCCCAAATATGCATTGTTGGACACCGACCCGGAATTTGAATATCATAAACGCTATTTTCCGGAAAGTTGTATCCAAATCCAGTACATACATTCGAACTAATTTCATTTTGGGAACGAATTTTAAAGTATGAATATGAATACGTATGTATGCCCGAAGTTTGAGAACCAGCGAGGACGCCCGAGTGTTCTTGCTACCTGTAACAGGAATGTAATTTCGTTAAGCTCGTACGAACGCGCAAATGTTTGGGGAGTTTCCACTCTAAGTTCATTTTCCTTTTAGACCAGAGCCAAGTTGGATGGGGTTAAAAATTGTGACCGAGATTGGGTTCAATTTAATCGCGCTCCACGTTCTCAAAAATTACCGACGGTCTTGAAATGTTGGTTGATAGCAATTGACACGTTTGAGTTCTTTTTAGCTTTTCTTCGGCTTTAATACCTTCCCCCCGTTATGTTTTGAGTATGTTCTACTATTTTAAAGTGAAAGGTTTTATTTTAGTGTTCAGTCGAAATATAAATAATTAAAAAATTCTTATATATTTCGTATGGATTCGGTGGATTGCTACAATTCAAGTTACACACAAGTATAAGTCTGAATTATAAAGAAATGAAAAAACGTGTATGTGTACTTATGTACGCGCGTAAGAAGTTATACTTCTTTGGCGTAACAGAACAAAAATAGCTAAAGATTTTATCCCGTATGTCACAACTCTCTGTTTGTAAAAGGAATTCAGCTAACTTCATCGTGTCGCTTTTTCGCTGTCATCGTAAGAATTTTACTATCATATTTTTTCCAAACGTGCCAAAAGAAGTATAACTTTAAAAATACATTTACATAATTTTTTTATCGGTATATGTTTAGATGCAATTTAGTTATCTCTCTATTAACCTATATCCCAAGTTCATATAGCATGACATTTTCAACCCTCTTTGACTTGCTTACATAAAGTACAGCCTGAAGGTTCTTATTGTGTCATTGAAGGGCCGTGCCTTACTCAGGCCGCCATTGCCCTGCGGTTAAGTAGGTGATAAGCCGAATCTTTGAGAACTTTGAACTGAATTGCTCCAGACAGTAGTTGAAAGTAATGGAGTCAAATGTTAACGTAATACTTTGAGAACACATTTTTTTCTTATTTTACCGTATGTTTTGTTTTTTCGTTGAGTTTCCATGTAAGGGATAAAGAGTAATGATAAATATATTTTTTGCGTCCATTTTCATCTTTGTATCATTTTATTTTGTATATTTTTGGCAAGACATTTAGTAAATAGACGAGAATCTAAACACTTAAGTTAATATTGTAAATTGCTACAATAGTTACAACAGCTGAAGAATAATTTTTTAAATAAAAAATTGAAAGTACCATGTATGTATGTATCACTCAAAAAATATTAAGGACTTTCCTTAAAAATCCATAAAATTAAATTCTTTTCCAAATTAAACATTATCTTTCTTACAGATTGGCGCTATGTAGCGGCGTGCACCGCGTGCGTGGGCATCGCAATGCTCTGCAAGGAGCAGGGCATCACCGTGACCGCTGTGTGTGTTGTGTACGAGCTGTTTGTTGCACAGAAGGTAATATTCAAGGAATTATTCTTCATTTCTGTGCTCTCTCTCCCTCTCTCCTCTCCCCCTCTCTTTCTTTCTCTCTCCCTCTTTCTCTCTTTTGCATTATAAACAGAGTTACAGAATCAAAAGCTCAATGAAGCGAATCATGCCACACTAAGCCAATATCAGGTTTTAAATTATTGTTGGCTAACTAATTAACTAGTTATTAAGTTTTTTTAATATGTAGTATGTAAATTTAATTAATAATCAGAGTTCGATTAAAGTCAAAAAGTGAGTTTAATAAATATGTAATTAGTGATATCACTTTTATTATTTACAACACTATTATTACATCCACTTCTTGTAATTACAAAAAGAATAACAATATGAATATAGTATATACTAGCTACTACTAATCTATATATTTTATAACATATACTACTAATCTATATTTAGTGTTGCCATTATTATATTTATAACCATAAAGAAAAAATAATAAAATATTAATTATTTAAGCCACATAATTGATCTATGTGTAATTTGAAAAAGTTAAAATTAATTAAGAATAATAATTTTAATTTAACTAATTAAAATTATAAAAATGTTTAAAGTTAAAAAATATTGTGGTGCCATTTTTCAATTTTTTGAGTTCATTTTTTTATTTGTGGGTAGGTACTATATACTCTTCTGTAACAACTATATAGTACCTTCGAGACATCTAACACCTCAGTCTATCCCGTGACCATGATCGCTGTAAAGCATTCGAAACGTCGGGAACCAAAAATCAAAATAAATTCGCGAAAAATCGGAAAAGATAATTTTATTTAAAATGTCAAATATTCGCGTAAATCTAAGAATGTGAAAAAGTATCTTATATCCTTATCAGAGTCTCACGCTATCTTCTTACCAAATTTCATGTAAATCGGTTCAGTAGATCCAGAGATTAGCCCATACAACGTCACAAACTCACAATTCACAAAATTTACCTCTATAATATTAGTATAGCTAATAATGTCCTACTGACCGGTTTCGGTGACGGCGGCCAATCTTATTGAGGGTAGCCGGATGGACAGGGGATATGATAGTGCAGCACGTGTCTATGTACGCGTAAACACAAATTGCACTCTCTATTCCTTTTACTCTCTGTAAAGTCCAATGGGACGATAGTTCGACTCGACCGGCGCAGGACCGACGGCTTTACGTACTCTTCACGGGGGTTAAACACAGCCAACTTCCCAACTCCGGGCTGTTACTGAGAATTTCTTGACAGAAATACTCAATAACTGAACTTAACCGGGACTCAAACTCAGGCCCTTCGCCGTACATCCTAGCCACTAGACTACCGAGGCAGTTACTGTCATACTATAGTATGTATTTAATAATATATAACCATTAAATACAAAAGATCAAGTTACAACAAAATCAATTAAAAATTACCAAACTCGCAGTCAATGACAGTGAACCGTACACAGCAACTTTACAAACTGTCGTGTCCCCGGGATTCTGCGTGATTTGAGATATGTACCAAAATGGTTCGAAGTTTCAAACTAAACTTCGAGCGCACCGGAACAAACGGGCTTGGAGTATTGTAGTTTTGTGTATTGAGTCTGAGAGTACACAGATGTGAGATCTAAAGCGAATATATTTGCTTCGGACGTGTATCATCAGAATTCAGAATATATAAGACGATTAGAAGTTTCTTGCAAAGGGGTAACGTTGACGCTATATACATACAGAAGTCTGGATGACTTTGTCTCTTAATTCTGATTATTAATTGTAAATTCATTTAATATTAGTTTACGAATAGAATTTTACATGAACGGTGTTTGAATGGAAATGGTATTGTTTTCATTCAAATAAAAACAAAATCAAAGCAGGACTTATACTTTGAAGAATAATGAGCTCGATATCAACACAACATTATTTTTTCGTTGAAATTGAATAATGAGAGTTTTTGTTTCGTGTAATCGCGGTCGTGTTTTTACATGTTAGCGACGTTTGTATTTTCCCTTATGTTAGAACCTTTTTTTATTTCTATAAGTTATTAAAAATTTAAATTACAAATGTTACAAAAATACTGTTTGATAGGCACCTAACATTCAAATGTAATATCCAAATACCAAACCATACTCTTCATACATCCTGGGCTTAGTTAACTTCAGTAGTTTAGTAACTTAACTTGTGTATTTAGATCTTTATATACACGAGTGTTTCTTATAACATTAAGACTAATATTTGATTTTTTTCAATCCGTGCTAGTATAATTGCACTAAAGTCCAGAAATTTAAAAAGTAACAGTAATTACCATTTTCCCTAGCGCCGTGGGAATGCTAGCAGATCTTGGCTCGAGTACTGGGGTAAGGGAGGGTGGGGGTGCGCGTGTGGGGAGGCAGCTCGCAGGGTTGCCACAGTGTGTTGCGCAACCCTCGCGCTACTCGCGGCAAGGCTACACGTCATGGGAGCACAATTACCCGTGTTCACGAGATTTGACAACCCTGCTGGGGCTGCCCCGCCCCCGGCTAGGTAAGTGGTTTGGAAATACATAATATTTAATGTATGTAATATATATATATTACTAAATTATATATGTGTATAGTGTATATATGTATAGTGAAAACGGACTGCTATTGTAATTGCGAAAGTTTTTATGTGTGTATGTTTGTTACTCCTTATCGCTAGACGAATTCATGCGAGTACACAGATAGACTATGACCTGGACTAACACTTAGACTTTCACGACACGTTTGGCTCAGTTTGTAGTGACCCTACTTGCTATGCCAGCGGTCGCGGGTTCGAGTCCCGCTGTCATTTGTGTGATGATCACGAATGTTTGTACTCAAGTCCTGGGTGTTTATATTTATAATATGTACGTATTTAAAGTTATATATTATCAACTATCTAGTACCCATAACACAAGCCTCGTAGCTTACCATAGAACTAGATGGTGCTGTGTGTTAATGTCTCAACATGTTTATTTATATTTAATACCTACTATTTGATTGTTACAATGAACGGCGACGTGTTTTTAAATATCAAACCGTATTTTAAAGGTGTGCATTACAATCTATAAATTCGACCTCTAATTTCAAGTATTATAGTTATTTTATTAAATTTTTAATAAGAAAAAGTACTTTTTTACAAATTCGTATAGAACATGTATACAAATTCATTAAAAAGATAAACTTTAGTTAACGATATCTATCTCGGCTATAATTTAAATTATAAACATAAGATTTCTGATTTAGAATGAACTCAGAAAACTATTCTTCACTCGTATTTCATATATAATTTTATTCGCAATTTTAATAGTAATTGAGTTGATGTTTTAATCTAAGTTAGTGCTAATTATCATTTCTAATTTCCCAGCGGTATCATTTCGACAGACACAACCTTAATCACGAATTTCATGCATATTCCTCTATCTATACTAATATTATAAAGAGGAAAGATTTATTTTTTGTTTGTTTGTTTGTTTGTACCAAAGCTACTAAATCGATTTAATTGAAATTTATTAAGGAAATTGTTTGAGGCCCTGGGAAGGACTTAGGATAGTTTTTATCCTGGAAATCGTCTCTTAAGGGGGTGAAAATGGGGATGAAATTTGTATGGAGAAGCAACCTCTTGGTATGGTATGGTTAAGTTAATTTTTGTGAAAGTTAGGCATTATTTTTACTGACTTCTTTGTTACCATTATAATCAATTTGCATGTGGAGTTTACCTTTAAGTAATTGTTACACTATTACAAGAATATCTAAGATTGTATACTGATTATATAAACCGTGTAAACAATTGTTGGTAAATCTAAATAAATAAATAAATAAATACCTAGTAACAAATATAAAACTCTAAATTACCATTATAACTTGACCTTTCAGGCACTTAACATTTGCATACCTGCCAGCTCTAAATGCCTGGTTGCTAACATTACCTGAGGCTTTATGCTGTGATTGGACAATGGGTACAGTAGCGTTACTCCGATCGTGGCGAGACCCGAGGAATTTGGCAACTATAGCGCTAGCAACTACTTTGATTGCTGGTGCCATACATGCTTTAAGGACGAGATCTTCGGCATTGTCAATGGTAGTGTATAGTAATATTATAAAGAATTTGTGACTGTTTGTGAGTCTGTTTGTCCTATTTTTAAACTGCAATATGTCGTAGTCATTATTTTTGTATAGAGATAGTTTATGGCAGAATAGGGCTTTTTTGGTAGATTCTCGTTGAATATTAGTATGTGCTAAAAATTACGTAAGACTTTACGATAGATGTTAGACACGAAATGAATTTATATGTGATTTAAAGATTTAAGCTTCTTTCGAAATTGTAGAGACTTTACACAAAATAAGTTCAACTTCTGTAATATTTTGGCAATTGTTCAATAAATCTTGGCCAATTTGTTTTTTTATAATTTCAAATAACAATTTAATATAGCAAGTTACCTATAAAAAGCGACTCAAAGGATTTGTTTTTTAGCTACATTAATAATATATTTTTTAAATATTATATTTAACATTTAAGATTAAAAAGCTTTTTTTCTTTGAAACACGCCGAATGTTTGAATAAAAAGTTGTTCTTTTCGTATTACCTACAAATTAATAAAATTTATTTCATTTTCAGGGTTTGGCATTACTAGTACTACCGTTTTTGCCAGCGTCAAATCTCTTTTTCCCTGTCGGCTTCGTGGTAGCGGAAAGGGTTTTGTACATGCCTTCCATGGGTTGGTGTCTATTGGTAGCTCATGGTTGGCGACTGGTTGCCAAGAAAAGAGCGAAGTTGGCAGCTGGGGCCTTAATATTCCTTCTCATGGCATTCAGTGCCAAGACTTATGTTAGAAATTGGGATTGGAAAACTGAATATTCCATTTTTGCATCCGGACTTAAGGTGATTATCTAACATTTGTTGTTGCCATTAACAACTGGTTTACTCAATTGGAGTTAAAATAACTTTACTTTAAATTTATTTTCAATGATATAAATAAAAAAATGTTGTGATAACAATATGGGAAAGGAAAATGCTACTTGGAAAAAGATTATATCTTTGATTCTTTACATTTATATTATAAGTACCTCCTGAAATTTATCCCATATAACGGATATCTAAAGATATATTTAATCTCGAAATTTCAGGTAAACAGAAACAACGCAAAACTCTATAACAACGTTGGCCATGCACTGGAAGCTGATGGAAAATACGCGGATGCCTTAGAGTTCTTCAAAACAGCAGTCAACGTCCAACCCGACGACGTTGGCGCCCATATAAACGTGGGAAGAACTTTTAACCACTTGGGAAAATATCAAGAAGCCGAAGAAGCCTATGTCAAAGCAAAATCATTATTGCCAAAAGCTAAACCAGGAGAGTCGTACCAAGCCAGAATTGCCCCAAATCATCTAAATGTCTTCCTGAATTTGGCTAATTTGATATCCAAAAATGCAACGCGGTTAGAAGAAGCCGACATGCTTTACAGACAAGCGATTAGCATGAGGGCCGATTATACCCAAGCGTATATAAATAGAGGGGATATTTTGATTAAGCTGAACAGGACTAAGGAGGCACAGGAGGTGTATGAACGGGCCTTGCTGTATGACAGCGGGAATCCGGACATATATTATAATGTAAATACATAATCTTTTTGAATGTTCCTTATTTTCTTTAAATTCTATATGTATACTCGTATATATAGTTCATATGATATTTATGTCCCAAAACTTATTGTTACACAGTTCTTTAAATATTTTAGAGAACTCTGCAATTAGGTATATATTACAAAGGCCCATAATTATTTTAATTACATATACGTTCAGAATGTTAGGAGATATTGTGTTTTTACCGATATTTAATTATTTTTTATTACTATAACAATATGTTTATTTGATTTGTATATGAAAGACATTTAAAAAAAATACAACGTTTTTCCCGTAAAATGTACAATTTACATTTTATATATATATAGTTTAAATTAACGCATAGAAGGCTGAACAGGTTTTATAATATTTATAGAGTGAAGTAGATAAATGATCTGTAGGACTTTTTAACCTGTCTCGTAATAGAAGACGAGGGATTGTTTTCATTGAGCTTAATAAAAATTTAAAGGTCGATTAAAATCTGTTCTCATATTTTTTATCAAATCAACAACGATCTCAAAATTACATTCGTCTTTCTATAAATATTGTTTTAAAAATGACTGTTTTTTTGCTAAACGAAAAATTAAGTCAAAAACAAAAACACATTTTTTACACGGTAATGCATACATACTCATGATTGTTGCGTGAACATAGCTAAATGTATGAAGATTGTGATGTATGTTTTTTATTCTATCACGCAATATTTACTGAACGAATTTTAATACAACTTTACAGTAATATAACATATACAACAGAGTAACACGCGGGCGTAAAAGAAGATAGTATCAAATATTCGCGTGAATTTCTTTTTTTTATCTTTACCTTATTTTTAAAATTAAAAAAGAAAACACAGTTTTTCCAAACTTATAAGTTATCACTTCTGTCGGCAGTCCCCATGACTGCCTATATTTTTCTTGTATCTTTATTTTATTTATTCTTCTTTCTTTAGTTGGGAGTGGTCCTCCTCGAGCAAGGCAAGGCGTCGCAAGCCCTGGCCTACCTCGACAAGGCGTTAGAGCTAGAGCCGGAACACGAACAAGCGTTGCTCAACTCCGCCATACTGTTACAAGAGCTGGGCGCCGCCGACCTGCGGCACCTCGCGAGACAACGCCTCTTGAAACTGCTGGATAAAGATGGTGGGTTTGTTTTGTAACTTTTTAAATTTTAACGTTCCATAATTATAAAATAATGACACTACGTGACTTAAATGCGTATATTCGTAAATAGCTAAATACCTTATTCCCGACGTTTCGACTGGGTTGCATCAGCCGTGGTCACGAGCAGAGGTGACACGTCAGTTTGTTTTGATTGTTTATTTACATTTTGATTGTAGAAGCGATATATGGTGTAGTAATCTCTCTCTTTTTTTCTTGCTGAGGGAGAGCTCTCTCTCACTTACTTTCTTTTGCTAATAGAAGTAATGTTAGGCAGTTCTTATTCCTAATTTTATATAAAAAAGGTAAAAGTTTGTGGGTTTTATCACTGTCAAAGCCCGAAATTAGGCTATTTCACAACATAGAATATAGTGTATTTGCTGAATAATGGACATGGACTGCTTTTATCCCGAAATTAATTAAATATTAGAGACTTTTTATATTTTTGTGTTGTAGTGTAAATTAAAACATCGCATTTTTGTTATATTATATTTATAATATACATATTAAAATATTTATATTATTATATAATAACATTTCAATCAGTCGAAGAATACCCAAGATACAATACGTTTATCGCTCAAACAGGCGATTTAATATTCACTCGAATGATATCCTAAAAAACTATACATATTCCACAATATGGTCTATTGACTGTTGAGTAACAAACAAAAAGATCTCAATATCTATATTATGATATTAATAAAATTATTTTCAATTTTCAGCAACAAACGAGCGTGTTCATTTCAACTTAGGCATGGTGTGTATGGACGAGGGCGATGCAGAATGTGCAGAGCGATGGTTCAGGGCGGCCGTACATCTGAAACCGGATTTTAGATCAGCTTTGTTCAACTTAGCCTTACTCTTAGCAGACCGGCGAAGGCCACTAGAAGCTGCACCGTTTTTGAAACAACTCGTGCGACATCATCCCGATCATGTGAAAGCATTGGTTCTTCTGGGGGATATTTACATTAATTCTGTGAAGGACCTCGATGCGGCTGAAAGTGTAAGTTATAACGTTCTCTCTGTATCTTCGTTTATTTTTCATCTCACGTCAACATGGAGCTTGTAATTTATAACTTTACACGGATGTTTGCTTTAGCTTAGTTGAATTTCTGTTTTTGATAATTAAGTATACATAATGTTTATATCTAAATATCTTCATCATCTCTTCATTGTTGTCTGCCTAGCAAATACAAACAAGTGCAATATGTAAGAATAGAACCCATAACCATTAATGCATTACATTTCTAAATATATATGAGACCTTTGAAGTTTAAAATTGGCGATGATATATCTATACAACATACACCTTCTTCGGATGTCGGTCAAACATATCTAACCACCGAACCGATCTCTATTTCAGTGCTATCGTCGTATATTGGAGCTGGAACCGGACAACGTTCAAGCATTACACAACCTTTGTGTAGTTGCCGTTGAAAGAGGGAAGCTGGCCGTAGCAGAAGAATGCCTTCAAAGGGCCGCTGCACTCGCACCTCATGAACACTACATACAACGCCATCTAGCGGTGGTCCGAGCACGCCGCGCCCCGAACACCGCCAACACACCCAACACCCCCAACACCCCCCGGGAGCCACCCCCCGAGGTACGAGCTCGCTGGAACTACATCCCCCAACAGCCCCCCGACCCCCACGAAACTGACCCTTCATAGCGAAACCCTCTACTGTAAATACTCGAAGGCGCAGTTTTGTTAACAGATTTTCTCTATTTCCCCTGGAAACCAAATCCTGATATATTACCGAAACTAATAAATGTGGATAAATAACAAATTCTAATACTAAAATTCAATGGATGTACGACTAATATAAGAAAAACAAAAAAAAATAGTACAGGAAATTGTATAAACAAATTAAATTGAAACAAAGCAAGGTTACTAGATATAAAATTGTTTGTACTATACATAAACACACTTAATAAGTTGTAACAAAATGGAAAACCCTATTAAGAATAATTTAAAAAAATGAGAAAAACACTTAAAATGTATTTATTTAAATGCAGTACAAAAAAACTTTAAACGTAAAAAAATATGTTTTAATTTGTGCAATTCACACACATTATAAATGAAACTTCAGAAAAGTAACCTACGAGTGAATGAGATGGAACATAATATGTACAGTATCAGGAGTAGGATAATTGTAAGGTTTAGCTTTCTTTTAACAAGTTTATTATTCAGTATTATTTCTCACTTCCTGTGTAATGTATTCTATCTCATTCTCTCGCCGGCTTAATCCTATATATTTATGTGTTTGTCTCTTTCTCGTGTCGCATTATCGTTTCATCGAGTTTCAAATCACAACGATTCTAAAGAAGTTTCACTTCAAAAATCTGGCAACCTTACCTAAAACAAATCTGTATATCATACAGAACAACCCCAACCCCTCCACAGATCTCACAAAGCGCCATCGTAACGCGCCAATCGAACCTCTGTAAATACTTGTATTAACACCAACCGGTCATTGTGTTAAATAATTCTATTATTTGCGAAAAATCAGGGTATTCGCCGTCTTTATTTTCTATTACAGGCTTCTACTTGATTTGGTCAATAGATTTACTTAGACTTTTAGTACGATCTCGTAGGACGGCTTTATTTGCTTCATTCCGTGATATTAGTTTGTCGCTATAACTTGTATGTATATTTATATAATGTGTAGTACATGTTGGAACGAGCTTTCATCATTAGCCTGGTATACGGATACTCTTTGTGTAAACGTGGAATAGAAGTATAGACTTTGTTCGGTTTAGTGTCGCAGTTTGGTTCATTTAACCGAAGCGACATGATTAATACTGTTTTGTCTTCATAATTCGTTTGAAAATACAATCTAAGATTGATGCTAGTCGCAATGGAAAGGTATTTTAAAGTTGTTGGTTTATTTTTAATAAATCTATGATATATTTATTTTTAATGTAGGTAGGGTTTGATTGTGTCTACCAATTATAAGACGAAACAGTAAAAACAAAATCGGTGACCGAACTACAAATACTGAATATATTTAAGTAATCGTCTCGTAACAGTGTTACTTTCGATGTAAATCAGTCGATTTTTTTATTATAGACATTTATTCGAAACGGTATTCAATGTTATACATTTAATGTCCCAAGCTTTTTAGGCGTTGGGAATAGGATTAGAAAGAGTCCCGCAATAAACCCCATAGACACCAGTAATTATATTGTTTAGAGACATTATAAAGTAATTAAAAAACATATTTTTTTCTATACTAATTATGTTGTCACGCCAATATATTTGATATACCTACTGTTGGTCTCACTAAGTTTAGTTATATTTATAAGTCACTACACTCAAAATTAACACAACTCTAAAATTTAAAGATTATATTACTTTCAAGCCGGAAACGAAATCCGTTCTAGAACATTGATCAATATTATGAAGTGCCTGTTAAGAGCAGAATGCGTTCGCATTCACTCCAACCACGCCATATTATTTTATGTTCAAACTAAACTAAATTACACCATACAAAATAATCCTATTAACGAATTCAAAGTTATTTTTATATATTTTTATAATTAATTTCAATTTTAACTTACCTCAATTTTATAGATGTAAAGAAGACTCGGGTTTTAGAAATAAAATTGTATTATTTTATAAATGCAAGCCATTAAATAGTATTATGTAAAATTTGTTTGTAGAAATTGGCCTAATTTTAATACTTATATAGTAAAAACCCGAGTTATTAAATGTTCAATTCCAAACTTCTGAAACCTTCCTATGTAGACGATATTATTTTCAGTACCGCCAATGTTATATGTAAAAATTAAAGTGATCGACCGTTATTAGAATAATTATGTACTTAGATGTGAAAATGTAACGTTGTTAATGTTTTAAGATGAAAAATAACTTTTGTAAAAACTGAATTTTTTACAATGTCTTGAAACATTTCTGATGGGAATTCCCGTGAGAGTAAGAATTCGTAAGGACCCCGAATATTATAAACTATTTGTCGTCAAAACATTTATTTTTATAAAATAAATGATGTTTCAAATTACTTGTGTTTTTCTTACTTTCTACAAAAATATATGTTTAAAATTATTGAAATTCCTTATTTGAGCAGTACAAATGTACACTCTATATTGAGTTTGGTGAGTACATACATACAAAGCGCACGAAAAGGTTGCTTCTTAATTTTCATGTAAAATATTCCGAGAATTTTATTTATCTGGCATAATCCACACCTAAGTTATGAGGGTTTAAAAAACGACGAAGCGCATCGAGAAAAGGTAGTTAGTGCCCCTGCGTTTCGCTTTGCTCGTCTTGGCGGGATCTTCAGATATATTAAACCATAGATGCACAATTCCTAACAAATATCCCTTCAAAAAGAGGCGTCGAAATATAAAGGCGACGCTCTTTTTGGGGTCACTTTTGAGACACTTGACTCTTTTTGTATATTATCAATGCAAAATATAAACTCCCATATTAACCGAACTAAGCTGCTATATTAAATACTAGTGAATATCAAAGATCATTAAAAAAATCTTTTTCTAAAGATCATTACAAAAAAGAACTCTAAAAAGGGGGGTTTCATACAAACTTTCATCCCCTATTTTACTCCCTTATTTAGAAAAATGCATTTAAAAAACACGTATGTATTTAATTGTATTGAAGAGCATTATTACCAAGTTTCAAATAATTCTGAACATAAATAATTTCTTGGGTCGTTATGTTTTACCGTGGGAATGAGATCATCTCCCGCGGTAAAAAGCCTATGTCACTCTCCAGCCCTCCAACCATCTCCACACAAAAAATCACGCCAATCCGTCACTACGTTTCGACGTGAAAGACAAACGAACACACTTTCATATTTATAATTTAAAAAAATATGTGTAGTTAAATTACCCAAACTTCATGGTAGCTAAACTTTTTGTAAATAAAATCGGCAAACACAAATAATGAAGTAAGATAGGCTATGCCTTAAAACTTTGTGCCTGAATGTGAAAATATAAAAAAAATACATTAACTCAAACTGGTTGCATTCAATATACATTTTATAAATTTTTATTTTTGTAAAATTTAAGAAATATTATTTTTCCTTGTTACAGATGTTGTTGTTATGATGTAAATAGTATATTCCCAAAAGGTTTTCGGTAAATTAAAAATGACCCTGTATAATAATTATCCTCTTTGGTCATCGTGTAATAGGAAGTTTAGCATATGGTTACATATCCAAAGGCCCTGAGTTCGAATCAAAATCGGGCCAAGTATTGTTATAAATTTTTCTGTTAATAAATTCTCAGTAAAGAGAAATCTGTACATTATATTATGTACAAAATATAGACCCCAAAAACAATAGTTAATGATTTTTTGATGTGTTTGTCTATTTTTTTATTTGTCTCTATATCCGTTTGCTTTTGACATAAAATACACTACAGTTTTGAAATAAATTTTGTGTCACGGTAACTAATCACTCGGATCAATATTTAGATTACCTTTTACTACAAATAACCTTTCATTCCCACGGGAAAACAATAACTGGTTCTATCTCCATAGAAATTTACATGGCTTACACTGGCTAATCCCTAAGATATACATCAAATCAATGTAATAGAAAATTATCGATCTTAAAAAAGCCTACAGAAAAGTCTGGAATACTATATGTCTATCTCCTAAGGTATACTCACTATAATTATTAGTCACGCTGAGTTTCTTTCGCCAGTTCTTCTCAGGTCTGAGGCTTCTTTCCGAACTGGTAGTAGACTCATGACGTTCAGAAAAAAATTGTATTAATTTAATGCTGAATAAAATATTTTGAATTTTAATTTGAATACTTCTATCTATTTAAACTGTACCTAGGAACGCACCCGAACGAAGCAAGGGTAACTCACTAGTAAATAAATAAAAGAACAATTGTAGTGTAAAAGATTTACTATATTGTTTTGTACAGATCACAATTTCAAAACAATACCACCTCAATACACACAAACCTTACGCATATTCATTGACGCTTCGCTTCCATATAAGATATCTTACATTAAATCTATATAACTAGAGGTGACCGATTATGAATCATTCAAACATGACATTTAAAACGAATGATTATTATCCGACTTATTCAAATAATTTTTTTTTATTTTAAAATAATACAACATTTTCTAGTATCATTCACAATCATTCACCTCTAAATATAACAACATAACATTGACTTAAAAAGCAAACTTGCCATATTAATAACCAAAATGTTATGAAAAATATATAAGACACATACAATTTCTTGAATAAAAACTAAAACAAATCGCTTTTTAATGTTTCAAAAAGCTCCATTTTAAAAATTTCGAATCTGTGAATATAAAACAATATGTGTGTATTGTAAAATATTTAAAATTTGAAGCTTAAACGAAACAATTTTACTAACACAATTAATGAACTTTTTAATCCAATCTTAAAAATATTTTGTAATTAAAATCAGGTGAAACAATATGGATGGGACATGAAGGAAAAGTACCTTACCTAAGTTAACAAATTTTACTCAAAGGAAACATTCTTTTATTAAAAAAAAAATAACCGCATTTAAGTTTTTTTTTTCAAGTTGTTACCTGAACCGGTAATCGAATCAACTAAAAATGCAAAAAATTCCTAAAAATTTAAATGCAGTTATTTTTTTTTAAATAAACCAATGTTTCCTTTGCGTAATGACAACTTCAAAACTTAAGGTACTTTTCTTTCATGTCCCATGCATTTGTTCCATCCTGTATAATCGTTAAAACTGTTATAAATAACATAAAACATTCAAATTAGAAGGCATTATTTTGTTCAATAAAATCACAACCATACCTCGGATTCAGTCCTTATCATACATTCACGTAATACTCTTTAAATGTTTATTTCTCATTTCTTATGCAACAATAACAGGTCTAAAAATAATAAAAACTAGACGTTAGTCTCTTCGATGTTATATTAAAAATAAGCACGAGAAAAATTTAGATATGAAAAATTTAAAATAAAATAATTTTTATTATAAAAATTTACATCTAATTTTCGTGGAACAATACAAATTTGATTAAAATTATAGTAAAAATATAGATTAATGTTAGGAAACTCCTTTAGTTTCAATTCATTTGTAACATAATTCGAATTATTAATACGATTTATAATTATAATATTCAAAGTCAATTAAGCAAGCCTTTTTCGATTGCCCGCAAAAATCTCAATTATCTCAATATATATGGTAAGGCGTGTCCTGAGGTATGTATGTACGTATTTACACAAAATACTTAGATCCGTTACTTATGTTAAGTACTATCACGATCGCGCAGTCTATTTACATTTACTTCCCAAAAACAAACATGAAACAATACACGAATCTAAAATAACCGTTTCCATTTCAATTTTTTATCTAAACAAGATAATTTCACAAGAAAAATAAAATCTAACAATCTAAAAAATATAATTTACACTAACTATAACTATTTACAGATTACACGATAGTATAAAATATCATTCACTCGTGCTCTTTTCTTAGCTCAATACTTACATTAGTTTGAATGACTAAATTTAATCTGACTACATCTAGCTATTGCCATAGACGAAAATATAAGGCAACACCTTTCCGTTTCAGTGTTTTTAACATGGTAACACTAAAGTTTAATGTACAAAAGGGTTTAAAAATATTATATAACTGGTATCCCTGTCGTTTTAAAGTAAGAAAGGTGATATCTGATGAATATTGAAAAGCCATTGCTTAATAATGGCAGCGCTAATAAAAAAGCTACTTTCATTTTAATACCGAATAAATTGACACAGATTCATTAAAACTCTATTCAAAGTATGAGACTATAAAAAAGTACAGATATAAAATAAGATGGTAACAACTATGGAAGCAGCTCTTTTTTATGATTTAAAAGAATAACACAACATTTATTTACCATAAATTCAATTAACCAATTGTTTAATATTTTGTATTTTATTATTATGGGGCAAAAAATATTTACGAAATATACCATGCCAATGTCGTTAACGTGTATTAAAAAATAAAAAAATAATAATTACTATGGCAAACCCTTAGCTCAATTCCTGCTCAAACTTTAAGGAATTTATAAATATGTATAGAAATATTCCGAATGATGCCCACAAAAGACAAATTATAGTTTAATATTACATAATATATCCTGCTATTTTTATCAGATCCGTTGGATGATATAAAAAAATATACCTCTTATTCGAGCTATGGATAACAATGGTGAAAATGAAAACTTTCGTAGTTTCATAATTAAAACTAATACTTGGGAATCACCTGCCATCAAATTTATGGTCAACATAACATAATGAATATTTAATTCATGAGCCAGTGTATACTATCATAAAATTGATTGTATCAAAGTCGTTCCGTTGAAACACAAAGTATATTGAGTTCATTATTTTACATAATATATAATTACTAAATATAAGTTTAACAACTAAATACATGTAAATATAAAAAATATGTTTAACAAAATTAAAAAATAAAATATTTTAATTAATTAATTAATTATTATATAATAAAAATATTACGTTAAAAAAAGATTCAAAACCACATTTTTCAACAATACAATTCAACCAAATATAGTGTGATTTAAACTACAAAATAACTGCCTTCGTCATCAATAGCTTTATCAAATTTTATGACATTAACAACAATGGCTCTTAAAATAGATTTAATATTAAATTAGAAATTTAAATCTCAGCTCTAAAATCAACGCAGGTGGACCCGTATTCAAACTATAGGATAATGTAGTCTTAGTGATTTTTTTTAAATAAAACTATCTTTTCGGTTTTTTTTTAACACCTCTCGGTTAATTTCTAAGAAATCAATTGATAACCAAGCCACCTGTGGTTCGGCGGTCGCTGACAGGTTAACAGGGTACTGTATATAATAATAAATAACCTTTGAGACGTCTAATTAATATATAATATTAATATATAATATATACCTTAAGTCTCCCCAGTGACCATGATTGCTGTAAAGCATTCGAAACGTCCGGAACCAAAAATCAAAATAAATCCGCGATAAATATCCGAAAAGATAGTTTTGTTTAAAATGTCAAATATTCGCATAAATCTAATAAAGTAAGATAGTCTTAGTGACTTAGAATGTATTTAATATGGTAGATTAATTGGTAGCAAATGTGAACTTGTATTTAATTTGAACCACTTCGCTGAAGGCGTCAATTAAGATATGGACACCATGCAATAAATTCCCATAGAATAAATTCTATGATCACAGACTGAAGTGTTCATCATAACAATAATTACTATTTCAAAATTGACTTGAATGTGTTATTTAAAATTGATATTAAGACGAGATTCACTAATAAAGAATAGAAAGCAACCAACCAATTATAAAGTAAAAACGATTTATCATTTTTTCATACAATATGTGATCCAAAACCTTAACTTCTAGCCTCGTTTTATTGTTCTTTAATAGAAAATAGCTATTAAAAATTCTAAAAACTGTAACGTATAAAATGTATATTCAAATTATCATTCAAATGTATTTAATATTTTTCCGATTGAACTCACTTCACTCAATTTAAATTACCTTATTGGATTGGACAGGTTTATATATCAATTTACCAAATCTTTCACTACAATCAACTAATCCACCATATATTAATACAAATAATCACAATTTACTTGTACTCATCTTCTCCATCATACTCCGCTACTTCTTCTTCAGGCTCTTGCTGTATCTGTGTCTGGACCAATGCTAGAGGTCCCTTCTTGTACGCTGTCATCTCCTGGAAAGAAAGTATTATATAATATTATTAAAATATATATTTATAATATGTATGTATTTAAAGTTATCTATACTAATATTATAAAGAGGTAAAGTTTGTGAGTTTGTGACGTTGTAGGGAGTAATCTCTGGATCTACTGAACCGATTTAGATGAAATTTGGTAAGATAGTTTGAGACCCTGAGAAGGACATAGGATAGTTTTTATCCCGGAAATAATCCCTTAAGGGGGTGAAAATAGGGATGAAAGTTTGCTTTGGGAAGCAAGCGAGAATGAGTCGCTAGTTTATAATATGTATTTAAAGATATATATTTGTAGTGTATTAACTATCTGGTATCCATAACACAAGCCTCGTAGCTTACCATGGAACTAGATGGTGCTATGTGTTAATGTCCCAACATATTTATTTATATTTATTGAAGTTATACTTCTTTTGGCACGTTAAGAAAAAATTATGAGAGTGAAATTTTTACGATGCGCGCGCACTCCGACAGCCAAAAAGCGACATGATGAAGGTAACTACATTCCTTTTACAAACAGAGAGTTGTGACATACGGGATGAAATATTTAGCTATTTTTGTTTTGTTACGCCAAAGAAGTATAACTTCTTACGTGCGTACATAAGTACACACACACGTTTTTTTTTAATTATTTATTTTTTTGTTTTTATTGTATTCGTATTATTTTCAGCACATTCTTTCATTTGATATTCATATCGTGGGGTGCATAAGAAAACACAGTCCACAATCTTTGAGAGCCAGCCATCTTGGATTTAAAATGACGTCACTTAACTAACCATGCATTGTCATCCAAACTAAACAAAATTTCAGCTCCATCGGTTGAAGATGACTGCTTTAAAATTCAGTTGCATGATTTGACCCGAACAGACAAACATTTGCTGGTACAGACAAGGTTGCGCCTGACATTAGTGTGCGATTCGTGAACAATGCATCGCGTAGTTTTGTGAGCGGGGGGGGGGGGGGGGGGGGGGGGGGAGGGGGGTGAGATATAAGCAGCGGATCGCTGGACGACGAGTAGAACAAAAAGACTTAACTGACTTTCCGACCGTCGGGTAATTTTTTTTTGTAGTACCTATTAAATCAATTAAGTACAGTCCACTCTTTAATTTATTGTCTATAGGGTAGTCTGTTATCCCTATCACGATGTATACAGGGCACTGTCCGCATCAAGTGCAAGTTTAATGAAAGGTGTTGTAATATAGAAAGCAACGACTCACCCTGTCATACCTAGCCTTGTCCTGTTCGCTGAGAGCCTCATACTTGCCCTTGGTAGACGGGTCCGCGGCCGCCCAGCGCCGGCCCAGCTCCTTGGCTATGTCACCCATCGTGTACTCCGGGTTGTTAGCCTTCACCTTGGACCGCTCGTCATTGCAGAACCAGAAGAATGCCGAACTGTTGATGTGGGTAGAGTAATATTAATTATCCTTGTGTAATACTTTTTAAGATTTAAGCGAATTTTTATCACTTTAAATAAAACTAAATTTAATAAGTCAGTTAATAAATATATAAGGAACAACTGTCATAATATGTATTTTTTAGTAGTCTCTAATAAATGTAACTACTATTTTAAAGATGAACAAAGCCTAATTCATTCATAGACATCTTTTAATCATCTTTTAATCTCGACAGGGCTTTGCCTCAGTCGAGCAATAAATAACAATAGCAAAAACAAAATCACCCCACTCACAGCGATCGCTTGGGCGCGTTGGGATCCTTCAACTGCTGGCGCTTGCGGCCGCGCACCTTCACGTCCTTGGGAGGCACGTAGCTCTGCATCTCCAGCTCGTACCGCTTCTTGTCCTGGTCAGCCATCTCGTGGAACCGTTGCTTTTCCTTCTCAGACATTGTCTGACGGAGATTAATTAAATTTAGTTATATATGTATGTATGTACTATATGTATCAGAAATTGAGATATAACCAAAAGCTCTTCAGAATTTCAGACCGAATAAAAAATTGTCTTCTATTTAGGATTTGGGTCCCGGGACGTCTTGTGTCTCGAAGTCGACATAGATGTTAGAATTAACGTTATAGATGTTAGAATTAAAAATAAAATATGTTCAGTAATTGTTGATTTTTACTACAATTGCTTTTTTATCGCCAATAATAAACGAGAAATATATACCTACTCGATTCTAATTTTAATCTGAGAAGTCTTCAAGTCCCGGGATGTCCCGGGACTTTCATCGTGGGTGGTCTCGTGTCCCGGGACTTTGAGGATGTCGAGACTTCCCAAACCCTACTTCTATTACATTACAAACTGTCCTTAAATACAAATATGAATTATACAACTACAATACTATATCTACACCCATAAAGTTTTTTTTATTTAGTTTAATCGCGCTTATATCAACAATCCGGAGTTACCAATTCGGTTTGAAGAATTCTTTTACTACTTATTAAAAAAGTTTATAAGCTATCTATGATACAACTTTTGAGAATACTAACATAAAACTAACAGAATAACTCTAAGTAGCGCGCCCGCGTATTTCAATTATGTTTAAACATAAATAAATACACGAGCAAAGCCGAGGGCATAAATAAGACTAGATTATAATACTGCCAAAAACTTACATTCCACCTTTCAGCGCATTTCTTGGAGAATGCTGCAAACACCACATTCTCTTCTGGATGTTTTTTCTTATGTTCCTCCCTGCACGTCTGTACAAAGAAGGCGTACGCGGTCATCCTGCCGCGAGGTTTGTTGTAGGCTCGAGCTCGCGGCATTCTGCCTTTATTCGTCGCTTGAGCTAACAGTGCCTGCTGTTGGGCTTGCTGTTGTAATTCCTATAACACATGGCCGATATAAGCTAAATAATGATAAAACAACAAAACTTATACAATATCTTTTTGAATAACATCTTGAATCTTCGCCGTCTCAGTGCTTATTTGTCCAAACAACCAATTCACCGAAAGAGTTTTTAATACAGAATTAATGACTTTCAAATGTCTATTCTATTGGTATTAAATAATCATTTTACTTAAAAAATAAAGCTTTGTTTTTATAATAAGAGAAAAACTCTCTACTATTATTATAGTACAATAAGTATTGGTCGTTTGAACAAATAAACACAAAGGCGACGACTTATCTTTCAGACTTCATTCACTTCATTAAAGTTATTATGATTTCTGAGAAGACACATTTTTATCAGAATAAAAAAAAATCTGAATCGAATCAGTAGTTTGAAGTTTCCGAGATTTCTCCCTATATCTAAACTTACAAACTTTACGGTTTTATATTACGTAGATTTAAGAAAAACTATTTTTAACGATAATAGAATGACACCTTGGCTAAGCCTAATGATATGCAATAATGTAGAGAAGAATAATATTAATAACTAGCGGCTGACCCTCGCTTCGCTCCGCTTCGCCTCTAGAAAAACAAAGAGATCTATCCCGTTCATTTTTCCGGGATGAAAAGTAACCTGTTGTTTGACAGGCAATATAAGGCATGCCAAATTTTACCAAATTGCTGTGCATTAGTTGTTGTGTACTAAGCTGTATAAGTTACTATAGTTTTTTAACTATCCCACGGGAACTCTTTAATCTTCCGCGATGAAAAGTATCTAAGATGTTGCCCGGGGATATAAGGTACCACCATGCAAAATTTCATTTAAATCGGTCCCAATAGATTCGGAGATTAACCCGTACAAAAAGACAAACAGACAGAGAAACAAAAAAATTCAAAAAAATCTGGATTTGTTCTATTTGTCTTCTTACATCCCCCTGACTCGGTTTTTGCATTTTTTTTCTATGTACAGACATTCGACCTCTACAGTTTTATTATAGTATAGATAATTAATACCGTTCAAAACGTTTATATTTAGAAGGTCAAAAGGGAAAAATACGTGTATATTTAAAGTATGGGGAAAATATGTGTATATTTACTTCGTTCATTTATCCAGTTTATCAGAAACAAATTATTATTTTAAGTTACATTTTGCGTGCCAGTAGCAGTACCCATAGAATTACAACAACAAATACAAACAAAAAATATATAGGTATTTCCTTTTCGGCCGTTTATTTTACTTTTACAATAGGGAATATACGTGTGATTTAAATAAAGATAAAAAAATAAATTTTATAATCTTTATTGCTTTTGAATTATATTACTATTTTTTAATATAATTTCTTTTTGATTAAGAAAATAATTATTAAATACTGCAAAAACAGGTAGGAAATTCAAAGTATATAGTTGAAACGCACGCCATTAGTCAGGCCGAATATGACGTCAGAGTATAATATAATAACAAAACGATTAGCGATTTTGTCGCTTACAAATTGAGTCATTTCTCTGTATATATCCTTAAAAGGTAATGCATTTAGCAATAAGAACTTTGTAACATACCATAATTTTTTACTGTAATAATGTAATTACCACTGGTAATTCTTAATACATAAATAAAAAAAAATAGAGCGGAATCTATACATTTTAAGACCTATACTCTACAGAGCTGGCAACGTTACTAAATGTTAATTTGAATTGGTTCAAAACATTCTTGAGTACGTGAGTATAGGAATAGCCTGCTTCGTTTTCGATAGCACTTTCACTTTTGGTTTACCTACAGCTTATCGAAGATCTTTTTATATTACTTTTAAAATTAGTAACGACAGTCACAACACCTAAAGTTTTTATAAAACCTTATATTATAACGTATTTATTTATACGAATGAATAGTTTTTTTTATCTCTATTTTTATAGGGACTTTTATCCTTTTCGGACATGTCAGTCCCATCGTATCTTAACCTAAGTACAGCATCACATATATATTATGGAAACAGGGAAATAGGTTCAATGGTGCAAAACCATATCCACCAAAATTTTAACAACATCAATACTTATTGGGTTCGCTAATATACTTAATGAATAGTTATATAAACGTATTTTTTATAGGTCATGTATGTTTTGTCACATGTGGGTACAGACCGCGACGCTATTTACATACGCGATCGAATGTGAATTGATTACACAGTCCTTAATATTTTTTTGTAAATGAATAATTAAATAGTTAATTTAAAAGTCTTATTAATAAAAAATTAAAGATAACAAATAGAGTATTTTTATATATCACTCACACTCGCTCCGCTCGGGTTCGTTCGTAGTTACTTTTTAACGTTTAGTATAGATTTCTCAAGAGATGACATATTTTCTCGTAATAAAAAGTATCCTTTGTGTTGAACTGGATAACCAGCTATCATAACACCAAATTTAATGGAAATCTGTGAAGTTGTTTTTTCGTGTTGCGCTCACAGACAGACAGATAAGACAGACAAAAATTCTAAAAACTACTGATTCTGCCTCTGTAACGATATTAATGAATATTTCAATAAGTTTTTTCAAAAAATAGGTATTTAATGCACAGATCCACTCAGAATTTTATTATATGTATAGGTAAATTGTATAATGTAATAAATTGTTGGGTTTGATTTAATTTAAAGTTTATTTTCTTCTTTTTCAAGCATTTAAATAAAATGTTGTTTTTAAAAATATTTTTTACTATTAATTTATATGTATTAAAAAATTATATAAATATTAATAGAATAATCATTTACTCTGATAAATAAAAATTAATAAATGAAAATTGCTAATAGATTTTATTATGATAAGAAAAAAATAAGTTAATAAGAATTTTGCTCCATCTTTCAAGGGGAAGACAACTAATGCTTAAAAATACATAATGCAATAAATATATAGTATGACTTTTATTATTCATATTTTCTTCTCAAGAATTGTAAATTAATTATGTATGAAATAAACAATCTGTATGGCAAAATCTAGAATAGTAGCAATAAATAGCAAAGTAGAATAAACAGCTAAATCACATTACTATTTTTGACTTGTGACATTTTTCTTGGTGAGCTCCATCTATATAATTCTTTAGCCCGAGTTTAAAAAATACTAATAACTAACCTGTAAAGTAGCAGATTGGCGCTGAAGCGCAGCTTGAATCTGCTGTTGTTGCGCAGCTTGTATCTGTTCCTGGAGGTTATGTTGTTGTTGGAGTGTATGTGCAACTTGCTGCTGCAGCGCTGCTGCCTGCACGAGAGCTTGAGCCTGTGCCTGGCTAACTTGTAACTGTAGAGTTTGTTGGGCACTTTGTTGATCTTGTTGTTGATGTTGTTGTTGCTGTTGTTGTTGCTGCTGCTGCTGTTGTTGTTGTTGTTGATGTTGTTGTAACATTTGTTGTAGTGTTTGCTGTTGCTGTTGATTTTGTTGCTGTTGCAATGATTGTTGCAAATTGTGGGATTGCTGTTGTAAAGCCTGCTGTAGACTTTGTTGCTGCTGCTGTTGCAATTGTTGCAACTGATTCTGTTGGATTTGATGTTGTTCTTGGGCCTGTTGTTGTAGGGCTTGCTGATGGTTTTGCTGTATCCCGTTAGCTTGCTGGTTGCTTTGGTCAGAATCAGGGCTTGATTGGTTTTGAGTCTAAAACAATAATATATAACAATAAGTATAATATGGTATATTTATCAATAATTTTATTAAGTTAAAAGAAAATGTTTGTGTTAAAAACAATAAAAATGAAGAAAAATTGTGACTGAATGTGAAAGATGATGTAATTTTAACTTTTATATGATAGTTGTTTATAAATTTTAATTTCATAAATTGTTTGTATTGATAGTAATATACTCCATAGGTATAAAGTTTTAATTTTAATATTTTCATATTTATAATCATTTAACAGTTTATAAATTCTTTTTAGAAAACCACAGAATCTCAATATAGGTATTATGGGAGTAGGTACATATAATTAGAAACCTCATTTTTTATCTATATTCTTTATAAAAAGTACAATTTAACCAAAATATTGATAACAATATATATGTAGATAGATACAGCTGATTTTGATAACTTTGTTCTTTCCCACAGATTTAAATTTTAAATAAAATAGAAAATATAGCAAAAAGGAGTATATTTATTAAAAAAACTTGACAAAACAATATATTTAAAACAACTAAAGATCAATCTGATTGTGTACTATTACCTAATTTAAATTTTAAACATTATCCCTATTAAATAAAAATATATTATGAAGATGTTCATTTGTTTTTATTTTTATTTTAACGTTGTAATTAAAAAAACAGCACTTGTAGAAAATGTCAAACCTCATTAGATTGATCATGACAACAATAATCGTATGTATACTTTTTGTATAAATAAAACCTAATACTTCATAACATACTTAATTTCGACTTCAATAGGACACTATTATAATATTTGTTTATTATTTGTTTATTAATTAGTAATGAATAATTATTGTATTTTGTTTTCCTAAATAGGTAACGCAAAATTTAGCCTATAATAGATTTGTCACTTGCGGAGTTTTTGTCTCTTTTTAAAAACTAATCAAAATTATTAATTTTACGCCAATAATTAGAACCAATAGCAAACTTTAAAAAAATAATTGATATTTGCATATACTTAGGGTCACTTATTTTAGTTTACAATTTTTACGCGATTTATTTACAAACTTCAAATCTGTTTCATGTTTGACAATTGATAAATAACTTTGACATTTAACAAGTGTTCATTTTTCCTTGTTTTTTTTTTATTATTGAATAATTTTAAAATATACAAACAAGTTCTTAGAATACAACAAGAGTAATTAGGTCTTTCTTTGTATACAATATTGTTTCATTATTATTAAAAATAACTAAATATCAATCTTTAACCTTAACAGTGGGCCATAGACAAAGGAGGGTTGAATAAAACAAAGCCTCGGAAGTCTTTCTGAGAGACTGTCGCGCTAGGTACCTATCTGTTTTTAATATTTTTAATATAACTAACGCATTATTCATCTATTTAAAGTACTCGAGTATTAAAGTGGACAGCAACATTACAAGTTACAACTTCGTTTTGAAAATTTATTTATCATTGTTCGTAGATTAAAAAGGGTTTAGTTTCAAAGTATTTTTATTAGATATTTATTTTTTAATAATACTCTACCGTTGGTGACGACGTCTGTTGCGATTCAACAGATCCCGACGCGTACCACCACGGTTGTTGAGGAGATTCATCTCTTGTGTTAGAGCCTGTCATCAAACGATAGTCAAAGCCTGGGGATGAAGTTGTGTCACCACCGTTATTAGAAAAGCCCCCTGTCATTTTGTAAGAATATAACTGATGTGAAACAGTAGCAGTGCTCCGAGCTATCTCATCATTTATTTGCTGTTGGTGCTGTATTTCACCAGAGCCGCCCGGCCACCACGAGGCATCGTCGCGCGCACCCCAAGCGCCCCCCGTTGCGCCCCGTTCCCCCATATCACTATCGCCGCTTTCGGCTAACCAGTTTCTTTATTCCGCTTCAGCTGCCTCAGATTATTCTTTGTTTTTTATTGTTTTTAAAACCATATCCTTTATCAAAAATATATTGCTCAAACTAAAGCTTTTTTACTTTATTATCACTTTCGATCTTGTAGCCCACAATGTTTTTAACGATACACTTGTAATTTAAGCACGAGATACTTTTTGATCACAAAGCATCTATATGATTATACACGAGAAGACATTTTGTAGTGAGATGCAGTTATTAAACATTGAAAACAGTAAAGTTCATTTAATAAAAAGCTGCCGGCTCAAAAGTTTTACACCACGCGCGTACGTTTTGTCTTCGTTCGTATTTTAAGTCAATACATTTGGCAACGTCGCATAGTAGGACGCTAAACAAGTGCACTGTGGCGCCCTCAACGCGCAGCGGACGGTTCGGAAACACAGTCGAAGAGAGGCCGAACTTGCACGAAGTGGCAACAAGCTCGTCCAGCAACCGGTCAATAAGGCGATTAGCGCAGCCTCATACTCTCTCCACTTTATACCATACTTATTTCGCTTGTAATACATTAATATTTACATTTTCCATACAAAAGCTTTACTTTAATACAAATTATACGATAGATTTTATAATTACGTTTTTAGTAAGATATTATATAATTAAGAAAAATCATTTTATGTTTCTAAATAATTTCCCATTAAAATAGAATAATAAACTCTATTTATAGATAGGTACTTCATATAGAAGTTGATTGCGTATGACTTTATAAAAATAGATACTATAGAAAATAGATACTCGCTTTGTGTTTTGAGCCATTCGTGCCAATTAATTCTAAAATCAAAGTTTCGGAAAGCCGGATAGAAAGGACCATATTAATGCATCCAAATAATTTACTTATTTTGAGCTTGTGTCATAACGGAAAAAGTCCTACAAATATTTTATCTGGATAAATATTTTTCGACCAAGCCTACTTGAAATTATAAAAAGTACAAAAATGGCAGTACAAAAGAGACCGGCATTTTTTCAAATTTCAAAATTCAACTTAAATAACAAGATTAACACAATTTAGTTTCTTGATGTCTACGTTTTTCGAGCAATGTTAAACTAAACAATGTTACTAGGTAAAAACAAAACCGCGAAGAATCTACTTATTTTACTCTCTTATAAATATTTTAAACTTATTCTCATACTGTGTTGCTTTCACAATATTTTTCAACTTTAAAAATCTATTGCTTAAATTGACTGTACTAAAAGTATACAAAGAATTATGTAGAGAATATAATTCTGGTATTTGTAATATCTTAAGAGTTTTAGAGTTCAACAACCAGACTCAAACACGTTTGGATTGGATTTTATACAAGAGCTTCCTTTACATTTCTTATCAGAAGGGTCTACTTTGTTAGGATTAGAAAAGGTTTATCTTTTAATTTCATGAATTTTATCCTTTTTTATTCTAGTTGTAATGCTTTTCGGCTAATAATAGCTATTAGCTTAGCTCTTTCCTATTTATTGGTAATAATTCAATTGACGATAAGTACACGTTTTATTAATTAAATGTATAGATTACTTATAAGTAATCTATACATTTAATTAATAAAACAGTAACTTAGCGAAATCGATGTGCGCGTTTCACACAAAAAGTCCTCATCCAATTTTAACTAAATTTTGTGTAGTGATAACTTATTACTCGAGTCAACATTTAGGATACTTTTTACTACAGGAAATTCTTTAATTCTCACGGGAAAACACAATAATTAATTCTATCGAGTCGTTCTTAGTTTACATGTCTAACGCTGGATTAAGAGATCCATCAAAACAATGTACTAGAAAATTGTAGGTCTTAATAAGGCTTAAAAAATCTTCAATAGCGTAAGTCTTTCTCCTAAGGTACACTCGCAATAAATATTCATATTTATTCAAAACGTACCTAGGGACGCACCCGAGCGAAGCGAGGATAAGTCACTAATCCTTACATAAATCATAACCAACCTTTATTTGAAAAAAGAACAAAAACCGACAAATCAACAGACAATAGAAGACCAATGTGGACTACAGGTAAAAAATTTTCTAACAAAAGATGTAAAAGGAATCCATATCCATACAAAATATTTTTTCTCGTTAAATTTTTATTATTTATTAGCGACTCACCCTCGCTTCGCTCGGGTTCGTCCCTAGCTTGGTTCCCAATACAAACTTTCATCCCCATTTTCACCCCCTTAAAGAATGTTTTCTGGGATAAAAAATATCCTATGTCCTTCCCAGGGTCTCAAACTTCTTCTTACCAAATTTCAACTAAATAGTTACAGTAGTTCTAGACAATATGCCCTACAATCTCACAAACTTTACCTGTTTATAATATTAAGTATAGATGAGCGCAATAATGTCGCATAATCATTATATCCGAAGAAGCATATTACACTCACTCTATATAAGCAACGAAATAACGACAAATTTAATGAAGTAGGTACCAAAATAGTAGTCCACATAGCGATATTTAAAAGAACATTTATAACTCGACCGTTTTCACTCTAGTGGCCCTAATTAGAATGCACGCCAAGAAAATCATAAAATTTCGGAACCACGGAAATTGTGTCACTTTCGACAGAATCCTCTCCAGTTAGATGTCTTTAATTTTTTTTATAATTTATTTGTATTCAGACCTTTTTTCTAACGTCCCACTACTGGGCGCGGGCCTACTTTCAATACGAGGGGGTTAAGGCCATTGTCCACCACGCTGATCAAATGCAATTGGCTTGACAGATCACATGTCGTTCTAAAATTTGCTAGGTTCTCTCAGATGTAGTTTCCTCACGATGTTTTCCTTCACTGTAAGGCGAGCGCGTTACCACTACATTGCCTTTTTTATTTATTGTATAACAGTTTCATATTTTATTTGAAATATTTAATTTAAAATGTAATACTTTATAGTTTACACGTATTTTATTGTCATCATACTATCCAATTTAGGATATTAACTATTAGATAAGTATAGATTGCTTAACTGCTTCGGTGGTGTAGTGGCTAGCATGTACGGCTGCACACCCGGAGGTCCTGGGTTCGAGTCCCGGGTCGGGCCAAGTTTAGTTATTGAGTCTTTCTGTATAGTAAGTCTCAGTAACAGCCCGGAGTTGGGAAGTTAGCGGTGTTTCACCCCCGTGCCTCGGAGAGCACGTAAAGCCGTCGGTCCTGCGCCTTAACTCTCACCGGTCGTGTCGAGTATGAGAGTGATAGGAATAGAGAGTGCACTTGTGTCTGCGCGTACACTTGTGCACTATAATATCTCCTGCGCAGTTGGCTAATCTCAATGAGATTGGCCGCCGTAGCCGGAATCGACTAGGAGGACATCATAGATTGCTTAGTAATTAGCTAAATATAATTGAATGATATTCAATCAAAAATGTACGAGACGAACTAAAATGCATGTGAAAGCCGTAATAAATGGAAACGAAAGGCAATAAGACCTAAAAAATGTGCAAAACTTTCAACCACATAATTTTTTAAGCCTTTGAAACTTTATCTCAATGAACTTTTACGCTGCTTTCAAACCGGCTCTTGCAATTAAACTAAATATACAATATCACTACAAATTATATATGACAGTCACCCACCACATAGAGTTTATATCGTATTAACCTCAGACACTACTGCACCAACTTTCATACGTTACTGAGAGCACCCTTCGGAGGGCTTCGACAATTTTATAAATGCGGAGGGCTTCTTCCTAGATGGATAGATGGATAGGAACGCACCTGAGCAAAATAAGGGTAAAGCACAACTAGTGAGTTCATTTAACAATTTCATAATAAATATAGTATTATCTAGAGTCAAAACACTCGAAGGAAAAAAATCTTATTAATTAATAATAAATAATTAATAATAATTTCATAACTAGAACGTGTTTTGCTTATTTTCTTTCTCCTAAAATCTAAAATTACGAATTATTGATCTTATCCTTAAATCAGAAAAATGAAGAAACCTATAATAATTAAACATGTGCTGGCCGTTAGCGCGATGTGAGCGCAACACTGTGGAACGATTTGGCTAATTTTTATTTTAAAATGTTTATACTAACTAAGGTTACGGATATAGTTGTTACGATTTGGACAAAACAAAGTGTGTCGAGTCAGCTAGTACTTAGCCAAGACATGATTATAAATTATTTTTCTTACGTGAGAGACCAAAGAATAATAATTCATTAAACTGTCCCCATCCTTACTAACATTATAATAAATATATATTTGATGGCCCTAGGCATCTATGCCAAATAACAAAGAAATTGTAGGAAAATTGTATAGTGTGCGAAAAATACATAGACAGATTTTTATTTCCATATGACACGTCAATAAAGTATTAAATCAAATATGGCCATTTGTACGGTAGATAAATCATGAAATACGAGTACACAACATCATTCATCATTATCAGGCAAAATAACAAAGAATTGAATTGATCATTATCAGCAGATTTTTACATCTCAGTATGATAGATGAGGTGCCACAATAACATGCGGGTTGCTCCTGGTCCTTCTCTGTCAGCAAAGTGGACCGTAGGAGCAACACCTTGCTTGGTTGATCTGCTTCGGCAGACCTACATCGGGATGTCATGGATGAGTGCGTACGCGATCCTGCGACGCCCGATTAAGACGGAGGAGGTTCTATTGGGTCTTAGTGGATAGTGCTGGCTTTTCTAGCCCGTAAGTTTCACATAACCACCTGTATGTATACTGTAGTATAGATATGCGTAAATGCATTTCCCAACATTAAAAAAAAATGTCACAATTTACTTAACCTTCCTATAGAAGGTTGAATAAGTAATTTATATTGGTAAATGCATATATTCGCCCTTTGTGAAAATTAAGGCTACAGGTAAACTGCAGCACTAAATAGACCATGGCATTGCACCTTAACGGTTGCATTTTAAATATAATTAATAAAAAGATTATTCACTTTAAAAACGTTTACAATTTATATTTATATTTTAATGAAATATTTCAATTTCTACGAGAACATAAAGGCAAATTTAATAGATTATTATTAATAATTTCAATATAATTAAAATTTAAGTATAATTAGTATAAAAAAGTATCTGTAATCATAAACGTTCCTTATGTAACGGAATCATTTTAATGAATGTGGATTGTGGCATGGTCCAATTGCGCTAGCGAGTAGCGAATAAATCTAATAAGAATACGATGGCACTTGTCACTAGCTGTTAATACTGCAATGTTGACATTATGTGAATGGAATGAGTTTATAAAAAAATATATTTCATAATCACATTAATCAAAATATTCAGACTAAACTTTTAAAACAATCGATATAAAATGAGACCATATACTTAATCTTTGCATAAAAAAATATGTAGGTTACAACTGTTACTTAATACTATTTAAGTATTTACTACTGTCTACAGCTACAACTAAATGCCGCCTCTGGAATAATGACATTCATTGCATATTTTTCTAAACTTAACGTATTATTAACCATGTACACGCTAATTTCTGTTCTTGTATGTTTATTTTGTATTGTTAACAAGTAATATTCGTCAAATACAATAAAACTGTAGTTAGAAAAACTTTGACAATGCATTTAGGAATCACAACATTTACTCTACCTTATTCACAAATATCATTCGATCACCGATTTGAATACCGGAAAATTGTAATAAAAACAATTTAGGTAGTTTAATACTTAAAATAACTTAACATTTTCGAGTATAATGAAAATTTAATAACATAACCAACAATTTAAATGAAATCTTGTTTGTTTTAGTTGTGTGTGTCCTATTATGATGTATAGCGCTATAACTGTCTACTTACCTACTATCGTGTTATGTATAGTGTCACTTTACTTCGGCTCTCGGCAGCCATTTGCTTATAAAATTAGAATGCTAAAGTAAAAATACCGCGTAAATAATAACACTAGATTACCCCAACAATTATCATATCAACACTTTTCAAAAACCAAATAATAACACACCTATTATTGTAGAAATTAATAAAACTCACCGAGTATATATTTATTACGAACGAGCACACGATTTCAGCGCTTATTACGTAGGGAACTTCGTGTTCGGTCGCACTAATAAATACAAGACGGGCGATGTCACTGACAAATCGTTTTGATTGGTGGAAATCAAATCGCCCGCCGTTCGGCGACCAATCAGCGATTTTAGTTTGGCTTTATTTTTTGTTTATACGTACCTATAGCTACGCTGTCATACAATAGTACACTGTGCACGCACACTCGCGCATTTCTATTATGAACTGTTTTCACAAAGGAGTATGTATCATATTTGAATGTGTGCGAATAGCCTAGCTAGCGGCTATTGGCGCTTCGCTTATTGCGTTTAGTAAGGTGACGGGAGCGAGACGTACACTCGAATGGCGATCGGTAGATTTGTAATTAATGTCCAGTTGGTTAAAATAAGTCCCCAGATTTGTTTAAATATATACTAAAGTAAAGTTCTTTATGATACCGATGTTTAAACGTTAAGAGATTAAGATTCAAAGACGTAATTACATCGCAAGCTCTACTAAAGAAGCCATGAACATTGCATTATTTGTGCAAAAGTGCAGTGATTAAAAAAACTCAATCTTATTACGGACAGTGCAGTGTGAAATTGAGATCCCGGAGTGCTTTTGATATGTTATTAATTGACTTTTTCGCCGAAATGATCTGTGTTTTTACTTATCATAACCTCAATCCAGAGGCTTTGTGAATACGTCGAACTATTTTGCATCGCCAAGTGCGAGACCTTGCGTAAAATTTTAAGTTTATCTATTATATATGATTCAACGCGAGTATCCAATGAACAACGGGTTTAGTACAGGAGAAGAAGATTCTAGAGGTAATTCAGATCAAATATGTTGCCTTGTGGATGACAGCGACCGATGTAGGCGACCTGCTGGCAACGCATCGTACAGCAAGCGCATACAGAAAACAGTAGCTCAAAGGAGGCTCAAACTTAATATAGATCCTCAGGTTGGTATGGCATTGATACTTGCACGCGTTTTCATTTATACTAACATCAAAATATAGACGCAATGAAAAGTTAAGGACGTGTAAACAAAGTTATTAAGTAATATTAATTATTTCAAATTTCAGGCTAGGCACACATATATCTGTGATTATCATAAAACAATGATACAATGTGCAAGAACAAAACAAAGGAGGCCTAAAGACTCCGAGGATGATAGTCATGAGGCAGAAATGGACTCTCCAGAGGTAGACTGGGTCCAGCTACAAGTTAATACTCTTAGGAGATATAAAAAACACTACAAAGTGCCAACAAAGCCAGGATTAAACAAGACTCAATTAGCTGAAGTAAGTATTACATATGTCATCTTTGTGTGCACTTTTTTTTAATAATTTAAATTTTCTTTAGTATGTAAAATACTAAATAAAGTTCATTTGATTAAGCCCTAAATGTAATTTAAATATTCTTATTACAGGCTATACAAAAACATTTTAAATCCTTGCCAGTTAATGAAAAGGAAGTCGTTACATACTTTATTTATATGGTGAAAACAAATGGCAACAAGTTGGACCAGAAAAACGGTATGTATTTTGACTCAGTGTAGTGATATGTGATTTTAATTTATGAAGTGTAGTTTTAAACCTTAGCTTTAGTATACGCCTCACAGATTTCTCTTCTTAAATTTACAATCAACATTTTATCAATTGTCACCTGACGTTATTACCGCAAAAGTATCTATAGGTTGAAATTTGCAATATGTATTCTTATATTCTTTTAATAATTAATTTATGACTACTAGTCATTATACATTTATTTTTACATTAATACAAAATATATGTAATATAATGTAATAATTGTAATTTACTTGCAATGAAAATAGTATGTTTAAATATATTATAACAGTATAGATGACAACTATATTGGTTAAATTATATTTGTTGAAGAATTTATTATAATCCTAAAAATGCATTTCTAAACCTATCATTTATTCATCTTTTTTCCTTATAGAAAAATTTAAAAAAAAATGCCTCAGTAGGGTAATGAACCCAGTAGTCAGCCTTTTAACCGAAATCACAAGTTTGTATTTACATAAAATAATACTTAAAGAAAAAAATAAAAGATTTTTTATAGTTTTAGTTTACTCATTTATTAAACTTTCTTATAAAATAAATGTAAATGACAATTATACTGTATAACATAATAAAGTCACATTTTTAACGAAATAAGGCACATTTCACCAATACTCGGCCTCTAAAATCCACTTGTCAGCCATACTTTTACCAGTAGTCAGCCTCTACATAATTATATGAGATCAATAATTAATATTTTAAATAATTAATGCTTAAAATAGTTAGGAACATACATATAAACCAAAAAAAACTTAATCTCTCTAATATAACATTCTTAATAATTATTTAAAGCTTTACTAATCAGTTATTATTATTGTTTAAAAAGTTTGTAAGTTCTTCTTCATTTCTAAATGTTTTTCTTCTGTTATTTGCTTTTTGCAAAGCTCTGTTATTAACAATTAAATCAATATTTTTCGGGTCTATACATTCATTTTCTTCACAATTATCTCTTTTTAAATTTTGTATATGTTTTTTTGGTTTTAGAAAGGTAGTTTGTACTGATAGAATCTTAATTTTAGGTGATTTATTTTTCTTTGTATCACATTCGTCTTATTTTGTTTTCTGTCGCTGTATTTTCACTGTCACTTACAGCGGTCAATTTTCTTTTTTTTATACTTTTTATAGTAAATTCCTCCTCAGAATTGTCATCTTTCTTAGCTGATATTTTTGTTTTATTTTTATTTAAACTTCGTGCTTTTTTAATCGTTTTACTAATCTTTTCCTGTTTTTTTTCGTCCTTAATTTTCTGTCTCTGCAATTTTCTTTCTTGGATAGCGTCTTTCTTTTTTTGTTTTTCCTCCTCTTTTGTTTTCAAATAGTCTCCATTCTGAAGAAGATATTGCTCCAATCCTATTCATGTTTCTATGTGTCGAAGATTTTTTTATTGGCGAGGGTATAACAAGATGTTTTCGTACGATGGGTGATATTCTCTGAGTTTCTCTCTGAATCATAGAATCAGTTAGAGCACTGAAACCAAGAGATCTTTCGACATTTTGTCTATTATCTTGAATTCCGGATTTCTCTGTAATAGGCATTAAAATTGAATTTTCATTGATTTCAAATGTACCTATATTTAATTCGTCGTCCAGTAGATTATTCATAAATGTAACATCACCTAGTGGCAAAGATAGGCCACTGAGATAGCTATTAGCCTGAATATCCTGTTGTGATGAATTAGTGAAAACATCCTCATATATATTATTATCTTCCTGTACTCCAGTGCTTTTAATTAAAATTATTTCCTCTGTAGTTTTTCTCTCGTGAATCTTTTCTTTATTAACCCTATTTTCTAACAATAACTCTTGTACTTCATTTACTTGATTTTTTTTACTTTCTATTATGTCTTTTTGAACAATACATTCATCAATTTTATTGATTTTTTCCTGATCGATCTCTACTTTCTCTTTTTCGTTTTCATTTTCAGTAGTATTACTTTTAATTGAATCATTCAATCCTTCGTAAAGTTTTGCATTTTCTATAACTTGTAGTACAACTTCCACACTGATACCACACGCAGTCAGATCTTTGCTTATATGCTTTATGATTTTAGTTGCAGTATCAAACTCTTTCTTTTTCAATGTCTTAAAAGGAGATTTTTTAGAACAGTGCGCAATGGCTTTACTATTTTCTAAATTGTTTTGGATACATTTTGAATAATCCACCGCATCTGGATTAAATGGAAACAAACTGCATTTGCGAAAGCCATTTTTAATAGACGCTATTAGTGTTGACTTTTGTAAAACTTTATCAAGTAGTGGACAAAAGGTTGCTTTGGTTAGTACAGAATTTAAATTATCTGGCTGAGAACACCACTCGTGTATAGTTGACGTCCATTCAGATTTAAGCGGTTTAAATACACTGACATCAGCTGGTTGCATCAAATGAGTTGTATTCGGTGGAAGCGCATATAATATAATATTATTATCGTAACAGTACTGGCTAAGCCCCATTGTCATGTGGCTTTTATGACCATCAACAAAAACAAGTACTGGTTTTTTTATATTATTTTCTTGTATCCATTTGTTGAGACACTTTGATACATAATCAAAAAATACGTCTGCTTTCATCCAACCAGTGTCAGATTTGCCAAGGAACCAACTATCAGGCATACTATTCACAACGTCTTTGGGTGGCCTAATATAAGGAAAAACGACACATGGAGGCAAAATATCGCCATTTGCAGAAAAAAATGCTAGGACAGTAATTGCTTCTTTTTCTTTTCCCTTAACAATTTGATACACATTTTTATATCCACGTGGTGCTATCACTTTACCAGTTTTAGGGCAAATGATGAAACTAGTTTCATCTCCATTAAATATTCTTTGAGGGTCTTCTAGCAAATCTAGTGCTTCAATAGAAATGAGATATTTTTTTAAGTTATCAAACCACTTTCTAATGCTTTCTTCTGTAATTATTGCTCTTCCTTTTGAGATCGCCTCAGGTGTCCTCAAAGAAAGTAATGGATTTCTTCTAAAAAAAGATTGCAACCATTTCTTACCTGGTCTCCCATTAGTAAAAGGATTAGGCCTACCATCTTCAATCATTATATTTTGAACAGTATTTAAAAGATTGTCAGATTTAAGGGGAAATCCGCAATCTGCAAGAGTAATAAGCCAGTTTGCAATCTCTGTTTCTTCAGATTTGGAAAGAATAGAATCAGGACCCATTTTTCTAGGACCTTCAGGTACTCGAAAATGAAGCCTATCTTGCAACGTACCACGAGGAACACTGTAAAGTCTGCTGGCTTCTCTAATTTTCATGCCGTTTCGTATAGCATCTAAAGCTTGTGTCAGTTTATCTTCTGGATATTGTAAAATCGGCCTAGAAAGAGACATGACTAGAATCTGAAAATAAATAAAACGATTTTACCATCAAAAAATACTTTAATTTGAAGATAAAACCTAAATAGAAAACTATTATAAAATCTACATCTCAAGGCCGACTACTAGATTTTTAACAACCAGTGCTCAGCCACAGGTAATGTTGCGATTGTTTAAGTGGCTGACTACTGGAGTTTTGTTAAAATTGTGTATGACATGTTTGATTTAAAATAAAAAGTTATTAAAGAGCTATTTGTTGATACTAAGAACATTTAAAAATATTTTTTTTGCTGAAAACCAGTTGTCAGCCGGTGATGGCTGACCTCTGGAAAATCAACAAAAACAACAACCCAGTAGTCGGCCATGCCAATATTTACGTAAATTCATTATTTCATAATAAGGTTTTAACTAAATAAGATGGATAATATATAAATTAGGCACATAAATTACAAATTATTTACATAACATTAATAAAATATTGAAATTATTACCTGTTTTCCAACCACCGACCGTTAAGAAAAAAATGGCGGCTGCCACACGCGCTACCTTATCCGCTGACAATGTCAAAATGGACTCAAATTTCTCTTTGTACTGACTACTCACACTAACTCATGCATCTTTAATTTACCAATGAGGAGTCCCTGAACTGATTGGGCGTAATTTCATTGGTTTAAATAAATTATATCGTTATTCCTACATATTTAAAGCCAGAAAAGGCTGAGTACTGGTGCGTGGCTGACTTCTGGGGTCGGTACCCTACTAAAATATTATTCTTCCATTACAAAATTAATTACTGTTTATCTTTGTGGATGTTGTGTGAATTTGGCATTTCTATTTTTACTTTCAATACTCTATGACATTTGGTTTAAAAAAATTGCAAATGATGGATAAGGAACGCTTTTATAAGATTTATGGATTATTTTGAATTCAATAAACTCATACTCACACTATGTATTGTAATATTCTCATTAATAAGCTCATTTCTATTAAGAATTTTGTATTTATTTCCATGTATTTTAACAATATTTTTGTACAATTTTTTCATAATATGAAATGTTTATACTAGAGAGTGGACTATTTGCAACATATTAAGATTGATTTGAAGTATGCATAATAAAATGAAAGGAATAACAGCAGTTGATTTAATGTATATAGTATTGCATATATACAAATGCTGTATATAAAAAGAAAACATTTGCATATAATCCAATATCTAGTTTTGATTGTTAATTGACAAGGGAAATGCAATGCTAAAACTCTAAGTACTGTTAAGAGAGATTTTATTAGTTGTAAAATATAAAATGTAACTTTTATTACATTTTATTTGACAAACTTGTATAGTTTTATTCTTCATCTGACTCTGATGATATTTCTATCCATGTTGATGTTCCTTTCTTCCCTTTTATTTCGGCTGTTTGTGGTAGAGATGGTACAACTGCAAATAAAACCAATATATAAATGATTAATGTAATAAAACAGTAACTTAACGAAATCTTACTTGGGTCAACATTTAGGATACCTTTTACTACAGGAGAATCTTTCATCCCCACGGGACAAAACAATAACTGGTTCTATCGAGTCGTACTTAGAAATTTATATGGTTAACCCTGGCTAAACCTTAAGATATACCATTAAAACATATCTAGGACGAACCTGAGCGAAGCGAATGTGAGTAATAATCCATATTGTATTAAACATTTTGTAAGCAATTTTGCTGATAATAACTTGACAATAATTAGGCGAAATATAATAAAGCAAATGCAATATTAAGATTGTATCCATATAAGTCCAAGAACAAAATATAAACCCTAAGAGCTCAAACTGTATCTTTGGATCAAAAGTTTTCACTATTATTAGAAACAAAAAACTTTACATTGATTTTCCAGGCCTTTTCGATATGTGCGCGATAGATATGTATTAATGACATGTTTTTGATATTTATTAGATTACCCTAGTGGATCTGTTCCAAATGATTATTATGAAATATATATATATATATATATATATATATATATATATATATATATATATATATATATATATATATATATATTTCATAATAATGAAATTAGTTTATTAACCGCTATAATACGCAGCGAAGGAAAACATCGTAATGAAACCTACATTTCTGAGAGAACCTAGCGAGTTTTCGAAAGATATGTGAAGACCGCCAACCCGCATTTGGTCGGCGTGATGGGGTATGGCCTGATACCCCTCGCCTTGAAGCGAAGACTGTGTCCAGCGGTGTGACGTTAAATAGGACTGAATACATACTGCTACAATATGAACATTAATGAGAGACATGTAATACAAAATTAATATGGGAGACTTGTGCCTGAACCTCCGTATTCCGAGTCTGATTCGACTACATATTTTAGTACTAATTGTTTAGTTGTCTGTATTTCCCCCTATTACAATTATTATTCTAAGAATCGGGAAATACCACAATTTTCTATACACAATTACTTTAAGAACTGATGATATTTATTTTTATTATTAGTTTATTTTATTAAGGACTTACTCTTGCTTGCCTTGGCTGCGTCCCTAGTATGTTTTGTATTTATAGCATTATCTATACAGATAAATAAAATTGAAGTGCCTGTTTGTAATATCAAATGCTTTTTACTAAATGCATATAAAATTATATACCTATGGTACTTACAAGAAAATTAATGTTTAACACTTTTTGTGTTTGTTCTGGGCTCCGGCTTATCTCCGAAACGACTGGTCAGATTTTGACGGGACTTTCACTAGCAGATAACTGATGTTATAAGTAGTGATGTGCCGGATATCCGTATCCGCGGATATCCGAAGCAGAAGAAAGATCCGTATCCGTGTCCGTATCCGTTACTTTTTGGCGGATCTTTTACGGATCTATTTACCTCATTAATTTTAAATTTATATATAAAATTCTTAACAGCGAAGGGTAAAGCGCACTAGCGACGTCAATTGCCGAGATTCTGACGATCCATAATTATTTAAAATAGATCCGGTTTAGTAGCTACTTAGCAATTTTAAGCAATTGGCGTCGCTAGTGCGCCTTACTCTTCGCCTTAAATAGGTCATTAGGTAGAAATAAAAAACTATTAAATTTAGTACAGATATTTTTTTATTTTTTAAAATCAAATATTTGGCTCCTTTATGTTGCAAACTTTGCCGTAGCTAGTTATCATCTAATAGTATATAACTCCAAGGTGCTAAATCAACTAGCTTTTTAATGAGATCAATATTATAAAAAGTTATAAGGTCAGTTTTTATTAAGAAAACAAAACTTAGCTCTTCGTAATATTTTAAATTCAAATTAAATTATTTTTTAATCAAGTAAACTAGTACTACGTGACACATAGGTACAGTGTTAATGTTAAATTAAAATCACAATGACAATTAAAGGAACTTAAGAAAATTATAAGTCATAATTAAAATTAAGTAATGGTATATTATATTTCAAAAAGAGTAACTTGGCAGCTTTGTCCCCCAAAAGCCTGTTACGATGAGGATCATAAACAATTCCTGCTGCACTGAAAACTTGCTCACTTGGAATACTTGTTGCAGGTGATGATAAATATGTACGAGCAATGTGACTAAGACTTCCAAACTTTTTACTGTTAATTTGCCAATACTTTAGTTGGTCTTGATCTCTTGGTAATCTTTTTTCTGACATATATTCGATGAGCAAATTAGCTTTCGTATCTGATATTTGATTTTCAGATTGCTCATCGTCATCATCACTATCTAACATATTAGCAATAGACTCTTCTAGGCTCGTGCAATGTTCTTTTCTAACAGTAATTGGTTTGTTTTCAGTACTGATTGTAGTTGCTGTAAGATTTACTTCAGTTTCTAAAACTCTAAGCAATTTTTCTTTTATTTCTTTTATGAGAATCTCACTGAAGAATTTCCCTTTGTAGTGTGGGTCTAAAAATGTGGCTACTTGATACAAAACATTTTTATCAATTTCAGGAAAACGATACTCTAATTCATTCTTCAAAGCAGACACAAAGGTCACAACTGCGGATACACTAATGTCACTAATATGCATATTTTTCTCGTCATAGATTTTATTCAATGCTCGTACTAGAGGAATAACGTCAGATATACACGTGTTTTGTGAGCTTAATTTTTTTGTAGTGTCTTCCAAAGGCTTCAGCACTTTTATTAATTCTTGAATTAAAATCCAGTCATCGGCATCAAATTGTTCTATTTTATTATTAGAAGAATAAAGCGACAACGACTCCTTGATGCAATCAAGTCTTTCCAACATATAATAGCTGGAATTCCAGCGTGTTGGTGAGTCTTGCAAAACTTTTAGAACTTTTTGATTGAGTCGAACTTGTATTTTTTCTAATTCTTGCTTTGCCATCGTGGAATGATTGAAATGTCCAGCAATTTTCCTACATTTTGTAAGTAATATGGAAATTTCATTAACTTTTTGTATTGCATTTTTAACCACCAAATGTAACTGATGTGCTGTACAGTCGATACTATGTACTTCAGATAAATAACAGGCGCGCTTCATATTGGATCCCCCATCTCTTACCATACAGTGCACATTTTGTTTCAAAATTCCCCATTCTTCTAACATACTTTGAAATATTTCCGAAATATAATCTCCCGTGTGACGTTCTTCAAGAACTTCCGCTTTCAAAACGATATGTTTTCGTTGAAAATCTTTAGTAATACCATGACATGTTAAGGATAACAATGAAACTCCTGATGAAGAGTCAGACCAGATATCTGACGTGAAGGAAACTTTTTCAAAATCTTGTAACATGTCTTTTATTTTGAATGACACTTTATCGTACAGCTCACTACAAACAAGGTCCGTAAAATACTTTCTACCTTTTAAAACATAATTTGGAACAATATGGTCCATCAATCGGCGGAACCCTAATTCTTCTACGTGTTGAAAAGGTAGATCTGATAAAGCTAACATTTCAGCAATCAAATAGTCTATTTTTATAGATTTGTGGTTTGTATTATCCCACATTTTAGCTTTTTCCATGTATTCTTTAAAAAAAGTTTGTTTAAATTCTCTTTTTACCGTTTGTGAAGATGTTCCCGGCCGTGATATTTCGTCGATACACTTCTTAGCAGAGTCTTCTTTAAAGAATAATTTATATTCTTGAGGATGTTTTCTTTGTAAATGATTTTTTAAGGAAGTTGTGCCTTTACCCTTACGAGAATACTTTCCATCACAAATTTTACACTTTGCACATTCATCATTTATTATCACAAAATAATTCCAAATTACACTACTAAACTTCTTTGTAGACATTTTTTTAAAATCATGTACCACCAATACCAAACACAAGCGTTATCTATGCTGCCCAGTGTCACATTAAACTAAAACAAAACAAAAGAAAGATGCAAGCCGCCGCGCAATACAAGTCGAAACGTGTCTCAACCTCAAGTTGTCAACTCAAGATCGCGCGCAACGACACCGATTGTGTAAAAAAGTTAAGATCCGTATCCGTATCCGTATCTGCGGATCTTGACACCAAATATCCGTATTCAGATCCGTATCCGCGGATCTACATTTTTAACGATCCGGCACATCACTAGTTATAAGATATAACTTAGGCTACTTTTATTTAAGAAAAATAGGGTTACGTTAAAAAAGTTAAAACGTATTTATAGGGCACGCCCCCGAGCGAAGCGAGGGTAAGTCGCTAGTAGTATTATATAATAATAGGCAGGTAATACAACCGTAGTAACGGTACCCAGGAATAGAATTATTAAAATAGAAAAATTTGCGGTCAATAAATCAAGGAGATTTTGACTAAACCCATAAGAAATATAAATAAACAGCAGATTTGAAAACTACCTACTACCTCACAATTTTATATGAATGGAGACTATTTTTCAAAAAGAGTCATCACACTCATTAAAGCAAGACAGAGATGATTAAAAAAAATTAACTAATTTAACCATCTATGAAACACTACATACATTTTATGATACTACTTCGGTTTATTTATGAATTAATGAAATAAAAATTACATAAATACTATAAACAAATATGTTTTTTTCCAAATTTCTAGAAGAATCCTTCACTTACCATCATATTTGCTGAGCTCTGGCTCGTCGTCGCTTTCATCCTTCATATCGCTATCCTCTTGCGATGTGTCATTGACATTGTAATTCTTAAGGCAAATACTGAGGTCCTTTTTACTAAGCGACTGCACGTGATCACTTGTTATAATGTCAGCGAAATTAATTTTAGCTCTCTTTTGTCTAGAAAAATGATTTAATTCATTATTTTTCACTGAAATTTCTATTTAATTTGATAGGGTGTTTGGATTCCACGTCTACGCTACTATTATAAAGAGGAAAGATTTGTATTCTTGTATGTTTGTAACGAATAAACTCAAAAACTATTAGACCGATTTTGATGAAATTTGGTAAGAAGATAGTTTAAGGCTCTGGGAAGGACATAGGACATGTTTTATTCCGGAAATCATCCTGTAAGGGATTGAAAACGGGGATAAAAATGTGTATGAGGAATCCACTTACGGACGAACCCGAGCGAAGCGAGTGTGAGCCCCTAGTAGGAAATAAACTAATAAATTCAATTTAAAGATAAGAAAATATTTTATACTATTTGTTTAAAGAATGACGAGAGTACAACAAGTTTAAGGAAATACTTATTTAAAAGGTAATCTTTTTTTTTCTATGGATTAAAATGTGGAAAATGGATGACGGAAATGCTATCCATAATAGCCAGTAATTTTTAAATCTAAAGTATACGATGTATGAATAAGTAAGACAGGAATTAAAAATACTCGTCAATTCTATCTAAGGCGAGCAGTAGGTATAAATGTATCCTTAATAGGCACGACACTGATTTAGTGGTAATGAAGTCGAAATAAACGTGCGACCTAGTTTCGTTGGAACTTTGTATGCGTGATGTGAAAATATTTTTATTGGTTTAATTGAAAGGGGTATAATATGTAGTAATCACTTAAAAATAAAATATCTGTTTATGATTTTTGCAAGGCCATATTGCGGTACCGAAATCTTAAATTTATTTTTGTATTTGTAGTTCAGCCAACTTCCGAAATGGCTAACAGTAAGACAATTTTAAGGGACTTTTATTGAGCCAGCAAATTGCGAAATGGCTACGCCGATTGTAGAGGACTTATCCACTCAAAAAGTTAGAACTGCATTAATATCCTTTAAAAAATAATATTTTCAAACTTATAAAATTTCATAAAATGCTTTCTTAGATTTACACGAATATTTGACAGTTTAAACAAAACTACACATAACAGTGACACGGTATCTCATGTGACCATGATTGCTATAATGTATTTGAAACTTCGGCAAACAAAAATCAAAATTTATCAATGAAAAAATTCAAGAAGATAGTTTATTTAAAAGTCCATAAAACTAACCTTAATGTATCATCACCAATTATTTTCTTCTTTACCAAATCAACAATATGAGCACATCTCTCAGCTGCATTCAATATTGCTTTATGTACAATATTTGGGTTATATATTGCTGCTCCACTTAGATTTAGTAAGCAAAGTTCTTTGTACTGATTCATGCCAATAACAAGTAAACCTCCACTAGTATTTCCCTCATCACTATTACTCATACACACAGACTCTTCAATGAAATTAGGATCTGATATAAGAATGCTGAAAATAAATGTTTATACTTTTAAGTAATAAATATTAATATTAAGAAATTAATTATTTTTATATGAAAGTGGGTCATTCATTTAAATCCCAATTAACAAACTTACACATTTTAAAATTTTGTATACATTTTAGTGAAAAGAAAAATAGATTTTAAACTGAAATTATTGAATCGCTGAGTCCTTTTAAATACATGAGGTCTATTAAACCCTTCTATCATCATGAGTTTTAGTGACTTTAATTATACTAAATTAACAACTATTTACTTACTTATTACTATATATGGCAAATGTTAAACACACTGGATAATGATATAGGACAGTTGGTATGGGATCTTTTTCAGCTAATGTATGTATAGTAATATTTTCTCCGCTCCGAGTGACATCTGGACGTTTGAAATGAGCTAAAGAAGCCAATGTTGCAATACTAGCACATTCTATTAGATTTCCATCATGATTTAAAACTTTTACATCAACTCTCAATGACCAAACCTGAAATTGTTAATAAATTAATATTTGAACTAATTAAGATTTTGTTTAATACTATAAATTCATGAAATATTTGCCCATATTTTACCTTTTCTTCAACAACAATACATAATGACTCAAGATCGATACATTTTGAATCTTTATAGCATTTTTCTAGTAGCCTGTTAAGATACACAGTGAGATCTGTTTGACGGTTTGCCTCAAATTGTGGGGCTGCCATTGGAGTGATTTCTACATTTATATATAAAATACCTTCATTAGGTCTTATCTGTTTAGGCTGTACGACTTCACATGATACTTGCGATAATATTCTGCAATATTAAAAGATTTGATCATTTCTTAAAAATTAGAGTAAGCTTGATATTTAGAAATGAAATTCATACTTAGTTTCTCCCAAAGTAACTATGCAACTTCCATATTCAGATCCGAATGTAATCTCAAGTTTACGGCTTTCATTATAAATTCTGCCATCTAAGCGCTGAAAGTTTGAAAAATATTGAGTATTTGCCGCTCAAATTTTGTATAAATTTAATTTTAATATGTGTCTTACGTGCCCCTCCGATATAATTCTTTGTATAAAAGTTTTTTCACAATTTGACAAAAACACTTCCCGCATTTTCGTTAGTGTTTAAAAAATATAATATTTTTAAACAATGTTTTAATTTTAAATCACATGTATTAGGTTATGAAATTGACATTTGACAATTTTATTTTACTTTTGACATTGACATTTGCCAATGTGATGCAATTCATTTGACGACAGCATTGCCAATACCAATTTATCAAATTCCCTGACAATCCAAGTCAAAATGGGGAAGAAAACTGTCAAGATAAGCGTAGAGGGCGCCAAATGTTTGTCACAAACGTATATTTATAGGAATACCATGTTAATGTTGGTGGCGCCCTCCTTTTTTTTCATGACTTTCTTGACAGACTGTACTGTCAGTCTCTATAGAAACTGCTTATAAATTACAGTTTTTTTAATAAAATACTAAAATATGAGCCTTTGGTTGTAAAGAAGCTGGCATTTATAAGTTACCAAGTGTAGGATATCTCAGGAAAAGCTAGCATCATGTTTAAAACTTATACATTTTAACTTATAGTAGCCTCATTTTGATGAGACGCCCAACTTTTTCCTTATAAAAAGATTCTCGATTTTGATAGCTAACAGAGGTAGCAGGGATAAAATATGTCGATTTGACGATTCTCAAAAATTTATTACTAACTGTGGGATTTTTTTATTTTTGCTGTTAGATATCACAATCGAGAATTTCGAGAAAATGTTGGGCGTCTCATCAAAATGAAGCTACTCACGGAAAATTAGCTTGATACTAATCAATTGTAAAAATGGACCAGGGATCCCGGGCTAGTAATAATGTTGAAAATGATTCGCACATGAGATTATCAGATCCCCCCCAACGTGCGTTCACCTTGTTGTGGTGGGGGGGCTCAGTAGTGCCCGGCAATCCAACCGGGCGCGAAGCCAAGAAACGCACAGGGAGGTGGCCCACTTCGGTGGGCGGTGGGATGTGGCCCTCTTTGGTGGGCGGTGTACCATGCGGGTTGCTCCAGGTACTTCTCTGATAGCAGAGTGGACCTTGGAGCGACCCCATGGTTGTGGTGGTCTGCTTCGGCAGACCTGCCGTCGGGGCGTCGTAGTTGAATGCGTAAGCGATCCTGCGACGCCCCATTAAGACGGGGGAAGGTTTTGTTGGGTTTTAGTGGGTAGTACTGGCAGTATTACGCCGGTGAGTCCCACACCTCGTGCGTAAATGCATTTCCCAACGTTAAAAAAAAAAATGAGATTATCAGATGTTCGAGACACAAGATTTAAATCTGCTTCAAACGATTCCTCAAGCCATTGACCATTAAGAATATAATGATGTAATTTACAACTACTTTTTGTATTTTTGTAATTATAAAATAAAAAGCTTCTTCATTTTTTGTTTGTAAACAAGCCAACAACAATTACTCTTTGTCCTTTAAAATTTTTCTTGAGTAAATAAGAAACTAGACTTTATAATTTTTATTTCTCCTTTCCTGACATAATGCTTAGCTTATTATTATTTACAATTTCAATAGCATGATAAAAGTGAATCTATTATAACTGGTAACTAAGCCAACCATTAATCATGGATTATATCTACACTTTAACTACTACATAAAATTACGTTATATTTTTTGTACTGAGGTGTATATGTAATATTTACAACAAGTGACAATGTTTTTATTTTACAATAGTTACATTTTTTTGAAGTTACATTTGATATATTTTTTAATGTATACTTTAACGCGAAAGTTGGTAAACGGACATAATAACCAAGCTATTTATGGACTTTCTAGATTAGAGGAAGAAATTGACATTATCTGCTTATAGTTTACGTGTTAAACAATATAATATGTTATATTACTATACCTATAACGAGTAGCTTGGGTAAATAGAACAATCTAACATGTTTTATAGGCTATAATTTTAGGCCGTAAATAGCCTTTTCAATATAACACTTACATCAGAAACATGTATCTATATTATGTACTAGCATTGCCCGCGGCTCCGCCCGCGTTCAGATGACCAAAAAATAAATTCTTAGGTTTTACGTAGGTATTAGCATACTTACTCTTTCTTACATTGCAGTTTTTGTATTTTTTTTACAGAAATGAGATATTTTCCCGCAGTAAAAAGTATTCTATATGTTCACCCAGATAATCAGCTATTGTCATACCAAATTTCATCAAAATCTCTCCAGTGGTTTTTCCGTGGTGCGGTAACAGACAGACAGACAAAAATTCTAAAAACATAGATTCGGCCTCTGTATCCATAAAAATGTCTATTTCAATAAGATTTTCAAAAAAATATTTAATGTACAGATTCGGCTTAGTTACAATTTTATTATATGTATACATAACTTTAAGGTCAGGTAAAGTCAGAATAATAGCCACTCATCACTCTTATTAGTTGAGGTAATGAGACTGTCCACATGAAAATATTTATTTTATAGCGCAAGCATTACTTACACGCTAGTGAAAACAATTTACATAACATAGGTGTCCTTTCCCCTAATAACGTAAAATTATTGATGACCCGTAACTAGATATCATTATGTGGATATTCTTTCTATAAAATTCCTTGTATTATATTGTGTACTTTAACAGATGTAAATATTTCAGTTTTTATTCGGATCAACTAGGTACCTACTTAATTATAAAACTTCAATTTGATATCACATCAAGTTAATCTAAAAATCAAATTATTATTTTAATATGAACTAAAAATAAGATTGTCTAAAATTGTTCTAGTCTAACGTGTGAACGTAATTTCACATACTCATCTGTGAAATTGATGTAAATGATGACTAAGTATGTAGTTCGAAACTTACAGCATAGATGGCGCTGCACCCTTTAAAGCGATTTCTGAATCGCGCTGGCAAGATGTTCTGACGAATAATGACCTCCCTCGTATTATATTCGATCAGTATCGCTTCTCGGCCTTTTGGCTAAGATCAAAGTGTAGTATCTGTTCTTTTCAGCTTAATATCTGAAAGTTCCCGCACTGCGGGACCAGTATATTAAACTGATTTTTGTAAACCGACGGGATGTTCGGGGCTCGCTCCACTCCCGTCACGGGTCGGCCCGGCATTGCCGGGATCGGCCCACATAAACCTTTTAGAGCTGTAGCAAACCGTATGTATTCGTTACTAGACATGGGTAACTCAATGAATTTTTATGAGCTGCAGGTCAGCTCATGAGTCATATGCTTGAACCGGAGCTGTGAACCGGCTCACAGTTCAGCTCAATTGATGTTCTATGGGTACTTATAACTATAGATTTACAGCTAATTTATGACTCTGTTCAAACAAATGACATGTATGATGTACCTAAATTATATTTGTATGTAATAAAGCAGCATTTCGAAAAAAGTTATTATAGTCATATTTTTTCGTTCTTACACAATTATAGGGGAATGCTAATTTCATGCAATTATTATAAATGCTAGTGAGTTTGTTTGTTTGTTACGCTTTCACGCCTTAACTATTCACCTGAATCCCGATTATCATTAAATACAGACAGAAAAGGACATAGAGTACCTACCTACTTTAATTAACGTAGGTACCGACTACCGTAGTTTCCTGTATCACGCAAGCGGACTAGTTATTTATATTTAATCTATAAAACTATTACTTAATATTAGTTTATTGTTGTATAAAACTAAGTAGTAGAACTGCCTTCCGAGACGGTGGTAACTTCCGCACAAACTAACTACACTGAACATTTAAAATGTAAAATTGACGATTCAAAAGTGCTTGTAAAAGTCTATTTGAATAAAGTATATTTAGATTTTATCCTAATATTATTTTAAAACACGGAGCGTGTAATTAATTATTATTATTATAAGAATAAAAAATATTAAACAATTAATTTGACCTGTCTGTAAAAAGTATAGATTATAGACTATAGTACAGGTCCGTCGGCTCGGGTCCATCGAAATAGCTGACGTTAGGTGGCGCTGAAGTGATGCACGGAGCCATATTAAGTAATATTGAGCTGTGAACCGATTATCTAGCAACTGAGCCGCAGCTCAACGGCTCTAGCTACTGTGAACTGAATATTTGAACCGGCTCTGAGCTGAGTTACACATAGTGATTCGTTACTGAGTAACGGGTACGCCATCTAGTACCGAGTACCGAAACGTTACTCACGAATGCATTTCGTTACTCGCATTTTCCGTACATATTTTCGTACTAATATTTTTATTGATTTTTTATTGAGCAAAATACAACTTTCAGTTAATACTTAATACCATTGATGAGTAAATTAGAGAGTTTATTTATTTATTTCGAGTTGCATGATTTCCAGATCTTAGAAATTTTGTTTAGAAACAATTTTCAATTAGAAACAACCATTATATTTAGAACACATTTTTAGTTTTTTATCCAACAAATACTTATAATTTTTACTAAATGATTATGTCAAATGAAATCAAAATATACTTTATTCAAATAAACTTTTACAAGCTCTTTTGAATCGTCAATTTTACATTTTAAATTAAAATAAAATGTTAGTCCGTTAGGAACTACCGCCGGCTTGGAATAAAGTTTTCTGCTGAGAATAACCGGCGAGAATCTCAACAACGGCTCTTTTAAAATAATAATTGTGTACAATATTGTAATACAATAATTATCTATTTATCCTACGTGAGACATGATCATATGATTATGTGTAATACATACAGATTATGATTTGATAAATCATTCGCGCAATTGATTTTAAATAAAATATGCATTACGACGTCACAATAACGTGATAGATGCCGTTACTTATTCATTTTTAAATTACCTATTTTTATATTTATTATTTAATTTCAAAAATTATTAATAAAAAAATATTCTTAGTAAAGTTTTTAAAAATTATATAGATTTATAAATAATCAAAATTTACGGGTTCTGGATATCATGTAACTCTCCAATTGAAATAGTTTGTTGATCGTGCAATTGCATTATTCCACAGAAAACAACGCGACGTCAACAATATACGGTATAACGTATAATTTATACCGTACGCAATACATACGCAACACGACTCGATACGATGCTCTACGAGTACCATCGGGTATCAAAAGTAACGAGTAACGATTCAAAAGTAACGAGTACTGATGCTATAGTAACGAATGCATACGGGTACGCTATTTGTCGTTACTTTTACACCTTGAAAACCTTTATATCGATTAAATAGATTTCTAGAATCTAGATTATAGTACTACTAAGTACTAACTAAATAGTTTAGTTCTTGAAATCAAATCTAGAATCTAGATAGTTTACTAGTCCAATATCGAACTGAAAACAAACCGTGGATCAGTAATCACAATGGGGTATAAGTGTGGATCGGTCCACTGTTCTTTTAGTTACATACCTACACTACCCTGATAAGCCGAAAAGCGTTAACTCAGAGTAAGTTTTGATAAAAATGACCTAAATTATACATAAATTGCACCACTATACCTTTTCTGATAGATATTTGATTTTAGATATTTTGATTAAAAAGAAAGAGTGAACGTTTCATACAAAATGACACATTTTTATATTTGATAAAAATACCTAATAAATTTGTAATAAAACTTAATTGAATATTTTTTTAACAACTTTATTAACCGTAGCAGCAAATTACAATAAAATTATTTACTTTCTATGAAATAAAATTAGTCAAAAGTCGGCAATACCCGCTAAGAAGACATTCTATTAGCAGGTGTTAAAGTGGGAAAGAGATTTGAAAATATATTTTTTTTGTTTGAGATGTTCCTGCTGGTACTGTTTTTTTTATTTGGGGATGGAAGTTTGTCTAATTTTAAGAACTTTGTACCTATAGTGCTAGCCGTAATGGATTCATTATCGAAACCAGTTCTGTACCTTATATCAAAACTGCCTCTGCTAGCTTCCACTTGAACAAAGTCACCAATGTAAGATCGTGGTGACAGCCGGGAAAGTTTGTCGGGTCGCATAGTCATAAAAATCATATATGTATTGTACTTTTTTTGCAATTTACATATTTTCCAGCACTGCTTACAGCTTAGCAAAGTCGTATTTTATTTTTCATTTGCTTCACACACTATCTTCTTACCAATTTTCATCTAAATCGGTCCAATAGTTTTTGAATTTATTCGTTACAAACATACAAAAATACAAACATTTCCTCTTTATAATAGTAGTGTAGATAAAAAAATTGCGAAAATAGGCTACTGATACGACGATATTTGTGATAAAAATCGGAAAAAATCGTTACTTTTAATAGCTTTCGAAATACATGCATATAATAAACGCGAAAGGTATCTAGGCGCACTCGAGCGCAGCAATAGCACTTGTATAATATATAAAAAAGTAAATTATGAAGCTTATCAATATAATTCTTATGTGCAATAAATGCCGTGATCGCGGCGGCGCATCCTCGCTTATGTGGGGTGATTCAATGTTGTCACCACCTGACGTATTTCAATTCTGACCGTCGTATGGTGACGGTCACCATGCCATGGCTGGAGTAGAGTTGATCCTCGCCACGATATGCAACGCGAGCTTTTGCGATAATGTCTTTGATAATCCGCTTCTGGGTAATTATTGTTAAACGGTTTTCAATAAAAATATCGTTTTTAAAAATTGTGTGATAGTTTATATTTTTTTTAGGCATTAAAATAAGAAAAAAATAATTGTTTTTTTTTTAATAATTATATTTATTTTTAGATTCTCAACTCACTGCGAGACAAGAGCAATTGCAGATTTTAAAGGATGAGGTTAATGGCAAGCACCTGAAAATTGCAACGCTTAATGTAAGTTTTTTGTTAAATTAGTCTAATTATAGTGTTGAGTGAGATTTAAATACATATGTGATATGGCTAAGAAAGTCTTGTAAGACGTAATGATTAAATAAAAATTATATTTAGATTAATAGATACTTATTGTTAACATTGTTTAGTTGGTTTAAAAGCTTATAACATCCTTTGAAGCTCTAACATTTTTTTTTCAAAGAACAATAACTGAAAATTTTTGAACCCGTTACATTTTAAATATCCTACATTTACTAGCGACTCGCCCACGCTCCGCTCGGGTTCGTCTCTAGTGAAAATTTAGGTTTGTATGTATTTTTAATGCCGAGTCATAAAAAAAATTGTCCAAAAAATAAAATAAAATTTTTGACCACCCTTATCACTTAGGGGTATGAAAAATAGTTTACGTCCTATTCTTAGACTTACTGAATATACACACAAAATTTCATAAAAATCGGTCAAGCCGTTTCGGAGGAGTTTTGTTACAAACACTGTGACAAGAGATTTTTTTATATTAGATACAGCATATTCATGCACATTACAGCTAAGTAATACCAGTTATGTTTTAGAATTATCCACTAAGTTGGACGGAAAAGCTTGAAAATGGCACAATCGTCGGTCGCGGAGTGGCTTTCATTATCGTGGATATTTTGCGTGAGAGGTTCAACTTTACATTCGAAATTGTATTGCCTGAAAAAAATATTGAAATGGGAACGGGTCGAAAGCCAGAGGATTCCGTGATCAATCTTGTAAACAGCAGCGTAAGTAGCGCCTGACTTGCAAATTGATAGGAACATATAAGATCTTTATAAAGACATCAAATTTAGCTCCCACAATTCCAATATTGAACTAAATCTGTATTATTCATATAAGAGTATATAGTTATAATAAAACTAAATATATAGGTAACACAATAAAATTATGCCTTTCATTTTCTTAAGTTACTAACTCTAATAACTGTCATTTTAATGTGTGTATGTTTTAAATGAATAAAAGTCAATAAGAGGATTTTATTAACTCCGTAGAGACAAACAATTTAAGAATATTTTATTTTTCTAAGAAAGCAGATATGGCGGCCGCTTTCCTGCCTGTCCTTGTAAAGTATAACAAGTTTATAACATTTTCTAATGACCTCGATGAAGGCGTGTGGATGATGATGTTGAAAAGACCAAAAGAATCGGCAGCAGGGTCTGGTCTTTTGGCACCCTTCGCTACTTATGTTTGGTAAGAGTCTAAATTTTACTTTAAATATACGTAAGTAAGGTTACTTAATATATAACTTTAATTTTATATAATTTTACTTAAATATTCAGCTGTTATTATAACTAGGTATTAAATATTAATTATCATGTATGATGTAGAAATCACTTAACGTGCGAGCGTATCTTGAGAAAAGGTTGATTTTTTTATCTCTATTTTTATTTAGGGACTTTTATCCTTTTCGGAGATGTCAGTCCCATGGTATCTTAACCTAAGTACAGCATCACATATATATTATGGAAACAGGGAAATAGATTCAATGTTGCAAAACCATATCCACCAAAATGTTAACAACATTAATACTTAATGGGTTCGCTAATATACTTAAGTATGGTCCAATATCATATCTATTAATATTAATTTTTTGCATTATTGATTCCCTCTCCATTTTATGTTTCTTTATGTTTGTTGTCTGGTAATCCTTAAATAAATACCATAATTTTTTTGATATCGTAGAATTTAATTTTAACCACGTCACTCTTAATGATTGCAACATTTTGTAACAAAATATTGTATTTTTGTATTAATAAAAAGTCTGTATTTTAAATTGTAAGAGAAAACTCAATCGGCCCGGTGCCTAACCCTCGTTACGTCCTCCTAAAAAGTTCTAACATTTTAAATCTTGTTTTATATATAGTGATAGCTTAAGGTATTTATTATCAATATGTATAAGTACTTGTAACATTATTATTACTAAAATGTTATCGAAAAACAGGTATTTAATCCTCGCAGCAGTTTTATGTTACGGGCCCTGTATCACTTTGCTCACTTGGCTCCGCGCTAAATGTATTAAAGATGAGGAATATCACATATCTCTATCCCCAAGCGTCTGGTTTGTGTATGGAGCTTTCATCAAGCAAGGCACTACTTTATCTCCTGAAGCCAGTGAGTATTTACCATAAATCACATCACAATCTATTATACCCTACAATAAAATTCTGAGTCGAATCTGTACAATTAATATTTTTTGGAAAATGTTATTGAAATAGTCATTATTATCGATACAGAGAATGTATAGTTTTTAGAGAATGTATAGTTTTTGTCTGTCTGTCTGTCTGTCTGTTTGTGACCGCATCACGACAAAACCACTGGACAGATTAATATCAGGATAATTATGTTATTCTCAAAATTTTGTGTTGACAAGTTTAGACTGGAATATGTCCTATAGTCTATAGTATAAGCATTGACACCGAACAAAATCGAACCAGCATCCATTATGATTGATGTGACAACAAGTGATTGCAGACAATCCCCTGATGAAAATTATACATAATTTTTTTTTTTTTATAAAACTTTAATTAACCACAAGAAAATATTAAAAATAGTGTAACTATTTTTTTGTAACTTGGAAATATGGAATAAATGGCTTTATTATTATTATTATAACTATTTCTTTTAAATACTGTATACTTACATGTGTATAGTTGTTCCAACATAATGTCCGATGGTATCGCTAATGGTAGTTCGTCATTTATCACAGCAGTCCCGCCCTGCGTCTAATCATAGTAATGTAAAACGTGTAAAAGATTTTATCGCATTTTTGTTCTATATTATTTATTTAATATTTGCTACAAAATATCTTATAATTACAGCGTTACAGTTAGTTACATTTTGATAACTTTGTAGGCAAATAATTATTTTATAATACAGTTATTGTGTCTGAGTTATTGAGTCATTCATATTAAGCATAAGAATCTACTTGCTATCTATCCTCTTACATAATATACGGAAAGAATAATCTTAATTGTAATATTTGCTTGTTTAAAAGCGTTAATCTCTAAAATTTAAAACTACCAATCGGTTGGAAAAATTCTTTAGAAATTTTATACCTTCTTTAATGAGGTCAGTTATAAAACTTTTGGGCATTTTATATCTAATTAGCATTGCTCGCGGCTCCGCCCGCGTTCAGATGACCAAAAACCAAATTCTTAGGTTTTATATATTAGTATACCTACTCCTATATACATATTTGTATTTTTTCTCAGAAATGAGACATTTTCCCGCGGTAAAAAGTATCCTATATGTTGACCCGGATAACCAGCTATCACCATACCAAATTTCATCAAAATCTCTCCAGTGGTTTTTCTGTGATGCGGTAACAGACAGACAGACAGACAGACAAAAATTCTAAAAACTATAGATTCGGCCTCTGTATCGATAATAATGATTATTTCAATAAGATTTTCCAAAAAATATTTAATGTACAGATTCGGCTTCGTTACAATTTTATTATATGTATAGATATTAGGTACGCTACCAGCCAACGACAGACCAATCTACACGATCGGAGTTACACCATACACGTGCTTGTAACCATACACGTGCTTGTAAAAATGTAATGTGCAATTAGAAAAATGGTTTCAATAGACCTATTATAGATACATGACAATCTATAATTTTTCTGAATCGGTAGTTTGCTATTCCCAAATCGATCACAGCATCTCAGAATTAAAGAAACAAGGAAGACAATATTTTTCTATGAAGTATATAATCTATACTCTTTTAAACTGCTCCATATTTAGATACCATAGTTCTACGCTCCTTTTAACATTATAACATTTACTTAAATAAATTACTTACCTTTATTTTGTAATTACATAATATAAGGAACGCTTGCTAGGTATTCATTCGGACTTTGTCAATCTATTTGTATTTACATGTGACATGACAATGAATTATAAATAATAATAAAATATATTTTTAGATACAACTCGAGTACTTTTTGCAACGTGGTGGCTATTCGTAATACTTCTGTCCGCATTTTACACAGCCAATCTCACAGCTTTTCTTACTCTGTCTAAATTTACACTGGATATTGAAAATCCCATAGATTTGTATAAGAAAAATTATCGATGGGTCGCTACTGAAGGTGGAGCCGTGCAGAATACAATTAAAAGCGTAAGTTACTTTGTTAGATTTTTTTTCATTTTCGCTAAAAACAAAAAAATAGTTTATTTTATTGGACTTAGGACACTATTATAATTACGAATATATTATAAATACGACTGTTTGTATGTATGTTTATTGTTCATGCCTTTACGCATAAACGGTGGATCAGATTACATAGATAGGCTTATGACCTGCAGTAACATAATATAACCTAATAATGAGACACGTAGATATGAGCCCGAACAAAGCGTGGGTAAATTACTAGTATTATAATAGAATCAACGATGTCCTTCCTACTTATACAAAAAAACAGTTTTACTAAAACACACAAAGTATCTGATTAATGATTATACTGTACCTATATATATTGATTACCCATACAAACTTTAATCCTCATTTTCACCCCCTTAAGGGATGATTTCCGGGATCAAAAGTAACCTATGTCCTTCCCAGGGTCTTAAACTATCTTCTTACCAAATTACCAAACTTCATCTAAATCGGTTCAGTAGATCCAGAGATTGCCCCCTACAATGTCACAAACTTTACCTCTTTCTAATATTAGTAGGTATAGATTAATAATATTATTAATTATAATCTTGTAAAATATAGCCCGATGAAGATCTGTATTACCTAAGTCGAATGGTAGCAAACGGACGAGCGAGGTTCCGCACGATTCGCTACAACGAGGACTTCCTCCCGTCCGTGGCGGGAGGCGCAGTGCTTGTCAAGGAACAGGACGCCATAGATAACTTAATGTATAATGATTATTTGAGGAAAACTAAGGAAGGTATGTAACATGTAGCGTTTTATATTATTATTTATACTAGCAGAACCCGCGGCCTCGCTCGCGTTAAAAGTACAAAAATAGCTCTAAAATTAAGGTAGTTTCATACAAACTTTCATCCCCTATTTTACACCCTTATAGGATGAATTTCGAAAAATGCTAAAACACGTATTATTTATTTTTATTGAAGAGCATTAATACCAAGTCTCAAATAATTCGGATCATAAATATTTTTTGCATTGTATTATAACGTGTTTTCCCGTAGGAATTAGATAATCTCCTGCTGTAAAAAGCCTATGTCACTCTACAGCCCTCCAACTATCTCCACACAAAAAATCACGCCAATCTGACGCTCCGTTTCGACGTGAAAGAAGGACAAACAAAAAACACACACACTTTCACATTTATAATATTAGTATGGATTTGAAGAGTATTTATTTTTTTAATTTCAAATTTTAATAAAATTCTTATCTTAATATAATCTGTACTGGCAGTAAAACCTGGAATACTTAGATTTCCTTTTTAAGTTGGTAATATTGTATTTTAAAAAAAACCTCATATTATGACGCTCTTTTATGGCTTTTGTTATCACTAAAATATCGTTTTTTTTTACAAAAACACACAGCACCATCTAGTTCTATGGTAAGCTACGAGGCTTGTGCTATGGATACCAGACAGTCGATACACTACACATATAACTTTAAATACATACATATTATAAATATAAACACCCATGACTGGAGTACAAACGTTCGTGCTCATCCCACAAATGTAAGCCCTCAGCGGGACTCGAACCCGCGCCGGTGCGCCGCTGGCGCAGCAAGCTGGGTCACTTCAAACTGAGCCAAACGTGTCTTCAGTGTTATATTATGCTTCAACGTATTATATTTACAACAAAACCAACACGCGATATCATCTTACAGGTGTAGCAGAGACCGACAGGTGTACTTATGTGGTCGCTCCAAACGCTTTCATGACGAAACGAAGGGCATTCGCCTACCCTAGGAACAGTACGTTGAAAATATTATTTGATACTGTGTAAGTAGTTTTATATTTTTTCAATTTTATTGCTTTTCAATTTCATTTATGTTGAGTAGAAACAGATAGAGAAGGATTTTGAATTTGACACTTTATAATGCAAACATTTAAAAGTATAGCGACTCACCCTTGCTTTCTACTGTCCTAGTAGTATATAGTATATAAGTCCAGTAGCCATGTGCTTGTTACTCCAGATCATAAACTATGTTTGTAATAAATTTTATCCAAATCTGTCTAGCCATTTTAGCGTGAAGGAAGTACCAAGCATAAACATATAAACTTTCGCATCTATAATAGTACCTTTTTTTTTTTTAACGTTGGGAAATGCATTTACGCACGACGTGTGGGACTCACCGGCGTAATACAGCTAGTACTACCCACTAAAACCCAACAAAACCTTCCCCCGTCTTAATGGGGCGTCGCAGGATCGTTTACGCATTCAACTACGACGCCCCGACGGCAGGTCCGCCGAAGCAGACCACCACAACCATGGGGTTGCTCCACAGTCCACTCTGCTATCAGAGAAGTACCAGGAGCAACCCGCATGGTACACCGCCCTCCAAAGAGGGCCACCTCCCACCGCCCACCGAAGTGGGCAACCTCCCTGTGCGTTTCTTAGCTTCGCTACTGCTACTGAGCCCCCCCACCACGACAAGGTGAACGCACGTTGGGGGGGATCTATAATAGTACCTATTCCAATCTTAAAAAAAAAAAAAAAAACCTAAATAAACAATTTCTTTGTTTATTAATTTGTAGACTTTCCTATTTAATACAATCTGGTATAATCAAATTCCTGGAACGCCGAGACTTGCCAAGCACTAAGATCTGTCCTCTCGACCTGCAATCCAAGGACCGTCAACTGCGGAACAGCGACCTTTTGATGACGTATTTGATAATGATTATTGGTCTAGTTGCCGCTATAGCTGTTTTTATTGGGGAGGTAAATACTAATTATTAAGTTAAAATTCCTAATAAACTTAAAATTGTTCATTTTTAGGTCTGTCTGTATTTCTATATTCATAATAAATCATTTTTCTCAAAAATAATTTAAAATTTTCTATTCGTGTTTCAACATACTCGTAGTTTATTAAAGTAACGACTGCTATGAATAAAACAAATATACTAACACGAATGGAATGTTTTAATATTATTATTATTAAATGTTACAGAATCTTATATAAAAATCCATTTCTAGATCGCATTCAAGCGCTACTTATATAAAAAATCTACTAAGGAAGACCAAAGCAAGCCGATTAAAAGGCAAAGGAATACAAATACTCGTACACGTTATGACGACAGCCGACCACCACCATACGATTCTTTGTTTGGGAAAACAAAGAACAAGTTTAATGATTCAGAGAAAAGAATTATTAATGGCAGAGAATATTATATTGTACATAACACCAACGGGGACACACGACTCATCCCTGTCCGGACACCATCGGCCTTCCTCTATCGTTAAATCACAGTGTACTAATCCATGCAGTCGTCTAAAGAAGGCTTTTAGATGAAATGACACGCGGGTGAGGCGTTCCCATAGACTTAGAGAATGGACTGAGCAATACTGTCATGAAATTGAGTACTCTCTAGAAAGAGAGAAAGCGAACGTGCGGCCAATAGTCAATACATCTTTATTCCAATTTGAATTTATAAATGGAATGTGAAAAAATAATATTATTGAAAATTATACTATTACAATGGAATGTAAAATGGTTATACTATACAATATACATATTGATCTTAATTAATCGTATTTCTATTAATACGGAAGACTTCTGGCCGCACATTCGTTTTATCTCTATCGCTTTACCGCCATTTTTAGCTGGCTGGCAAAGAAACTCTGTCTATGGGCGTTCCCGACTCATACTCACTTTTATATGTCAATCGGGAAACGGCTCTAGGATTGGCGGATGTAACTAACTTGTCACGAAAGCAGTACAATGCTTTTACTTGAAACCGTTCGCCATGATTGATATTTTTGTTAAAATCAATGGTGGATTTTTATACTGTGGTTAAATTATTCATATTTAATTTTTTTGTTCATTTGTTTTCATTATAGAACTATTTTTAATAGAAAAATTATAAGGAAATACCTCTTGGATAAATAATAAATATATATTCTTCAAGAATAATGTAGAAATTTTAAATATTTTTAGAGTGGTTCTTTAAATGATTAAAAACAATACGAAATATTTACACTGTGTGATTTAGATTTAGCTACCTTAGTGTTATCGGAGCAGATAATAAATATAGTTGACAATAAAAGACTTTTCTTTAGTATATATTTTTATTAACTGTGGAAATACATTTCCACAATTGCACTAACAGTCAAACCAAGATCAACATTTGCTCATATAAACTTATTTTAAAAACAAAAACATCATTTTCATCCGCTTAGACATTTAAAATAGAAATCGATACAAATGATGACTCGATTTCGATAATCGATTTATTGCTTTTAAAACGCTTGGCTATTATGGATATTGTTAATTAAGAACCTTTCTCTATCATATCATATATTTTTGACCATAAAATATTAATCATAAAGATCATTAAGCAGATGAAAATAATAAATTTCAATACATTAGGCTGTGCCTGATGTACAATAATTTATATTTTGTACATAAATACAAACAAATTATACATCTTATATATTGAGCCATGATAGTCACGCGGTACCACAATGCACTATTAATAAGTTCATTACATTTAATGATAAAACATCTAATCGACTTATGCTAAGAAAATGCTATTAATTTCATTGAAAAAATTGGGTGGAAGTTGCGGCAAGTTAAAGAAAAGGTGATGTGAGTAATTATAATTAGTTATAATGGGTTAAATATGTACAGGAAAATATCAATTTATGTGGTCTCGGTTTGGCAGCCTTGAAGCATTTGATCTTGAAAGGAGGATAACAAGATATTTAACAGAATTTTCTCGATTTAATATTAACACTAATCTATCGGTAGTCTCTTGGCATATTAAGTGTAAAATTATAGTATAGGGTCTAAAGTAAGGTTGTTTTTCACACATCTGCTTACTGGATGAAAGGTATTTTGTATTGAGCAAAAATATTGCAGGTGGGTTACCTAATGGTATGTATACAGGTAGTATGCGCAAATGCATTTCCCAACATAAAGAAAAGATAGCTTTGCTGACATTTTCTATATCACATAATCTAATTTAGTGCCTTTAATTCATATCAGATTTATTTAATTCACAATTGGATGAAGTTTTAAACGAAATGGGTTAAAAGTATAGTATTATTTAATGGGCGTATTCGCCATAATTTATTATTAACAATCCCTTTCTTTGTGGTGGGTGAAAGACTACCTTACTTCAGATTTTCTTCTATCACTAATACAAACAAACAATTAGGAAACGTCTAAAAACAATTGATTAATTTTTAATTTTATATTTTTAACAATTTTCTTAAAACGATAATAAATTGTAGATAATCAACAAGTAGCTATTATCATAAACAGTTTTTGCTAGGGTTGCAATCAATAATTACAACGAGTAATTACACATTAGTAAGCCACTTCCATTTTAATTTTATAAATGACATCCAATATAATATGCTTTTGCATTATAATATTTCAGTACAATACTTATATCAAAAGGACAATTAAATTAGTATTAATTAAGCCTCAACTATTTAGTGTGTGATTTTCCAGCCATTATACAGTATAACTAGTCTTATTTAATACATACTGTAAGCCTCCATTTTCTATCAAATTGAGCCACACTTAGGGCTGCCTCTTAACGTTTTTCGATAATTTAAGATTTAATTTTTAGATCGTAAGATTCAGCTGAAATTTTTCATGTATTTTGAAAAATAATTAAACAATGTTAATGACTTCAAAATCACATTTTTCAAAGATTAAAAAAAAAAAGGAATTTTTGAATATTTCATCTTACTTGGTAGACAGCCCTAGTACCACACTTACAATTATATTCTTGGATTAGCGAGTTAAAACATTGCCCTCTATCTATTGTAGTAAATTTTGTTCAAAACATAAGTGTTACTTTTACACTATAAATGTTAGAACAAGACAAAAAATATTGGGTTATGTATTAAATTAAATAAATCGATCAAATATCGATTAAAATATAACAGCTTTTAAATAAATTTTGAAATAAATAAGACGTTTCGACGATTCGATACAGTCAACAGCGCTTGTATAATTTAACTATATTATCTAAACTGCGATTCATTTATCTTTACTTAAATGCTTATTACAAAATTACCCGCACATCTAAATTCATACTAAATTGTTTAACTCTTCGCTTCTACTTAAACTATCGTCATCACAATTTTTAAGTATAGTAATTCTATAGAATATCACGGTAAGTTCGCATTTGTAGTAGTCGCAGCTAAAAATGTTTACTTTTTTGGTGTGATTGTTACAACTAGATAATGTGTCGAGATGTAGATGAGAGACGTGATGTATAATATCGACGTTGATTTCGTTTGTTCGTGTGTTTAATAAATAAATATTTTTTGTAAGAGCTCGAAGTTATAAATAGCAACAAATAGACAAGACCGATTGACCGACTGATATTGTCACACTAATTTCGATATTAATTTATTGCCTATTAATGACTTGCCCTCGTTTTGCTCGGGTGCATCCCTAGGTACGTTTTTTTAGCGGAACTCTAATTGTTTTCTAAAATAAATGTACCCTAAGTTGCCCTAAGCTTATAGCTAACATCAGCTATCTGCCAGTGAAAGTTCCGTCAAGATCTGTCCAGCCGTGTTGGAGATTAGCCGGAACAAACAGACATACAGACAAAAACGTGACAAATTTTGTTTTTCTTAGAAGTACCGTATATAATTTCATATGCATTTAGTAAAAAGCTGATATTTTGACATTACAAACAGACACTTCAATTTTATTTATCTGTATAGATTTAAATATTAATATTTTGTATCTTTTGGTACATTCAAAAGCTATATGTAACACAAGTTTTTTTATCATTAACAATAATTAATTGGCATATCTACGATAAATCGATGTGCATATAGTAGGAAATGCCAGTACGAACAAGTCAATGAATACACACACGATATATCTATCCTGCTCTTACGTATACAACATCGACCTGTGTGAGCGAGAGGTCGTTTGAACCTTATGTCGATATCCACAGACCGTGACAGTTAAATTACTTATATTTATATACTACTACTATATTTCTTATTTTTATTGCTTTGATTGTGAAGGTAGGTCGTATTTGTGATCACATTTTACGATGTATGTACTAAAATCAAAGTTGGCAATTTATATAATTTCCTTAATGTATATCCTTACATCGATAACACCTCCAGGTAAATTTCTAAAAAATTAATCAAATTTCTAAGAAATCTATTGTTAACTGTAACGCCGCGCCGGCGTGTCCGCGGTCGTTGAGGGAATAAGTTAAAAAATTTGAACAAAATTAAATATATATTCCATATACCTAATTGAATAAGAAATGTTATTTGTGAAGTGTAATTGTGAAGTCGTAAATAGACCAGTGATAAGATATCAAATCTTTGTAACAAGACTGACACAAAATCCATGAGGTCAATGACATTTGTCCTTCATGAATTTAAAAAATATTAATGACTTGAAATTTTTTTCTTCAAAATCGAAATATTGAAAGTGTTATATATATATATATATATATATATATATATATATATATATATATATTACATTTTTTTATTATCTTTTCTGAGTTGAGTGAAAATTAAGCTTGATTTAATTAATCAATTTATGAATATAGATTTAAAAACAATATTTTTAAAACATGATGCTATTTTAAAGAATTATTTACAAAATACAAAACTGACACAATATTACGATGGACTAATTGTACTTTAGGACTATTTCTTTATATTACAAGGCAAATGTACGCATTTAACTATAATAAAATCTAAAATTTAGGCGTAATATTATAAAAGATAGGCTAAAATATTGTTTGTACACTATGAGATGAGAACGTTGGCCTGTGGATGTGGATTTTTGAGACGCGACAGTGAGGGCAGGTACCTTAACTGCTATAGTAAAAGGAAAACGTTCCTCCATCCATAACTTTTTGTGATATTCTGAGTTCACTGCATTCATAGATTTTGGAAAAAAATCACAGTTAGCGAAAAAAATGCTAAAATACCAAAAAAACTTTTTTTTATATCAATCGATCCTATTTCATGTAGGGATCAAAATACTCTATGGGACCATTTAAAGTATGAGTACTAGAAATGACAGAAAACGCCAAAAACTTTTTCCATACATTTTGTACGGAAAAACGATTAATGAACTCGAATTATTCTTTGTTGCTAAACTGTCTTACTATCCCGTCTCAAAAATCCACTAATGTGTTAAAAATTAAAATATATTGGAAAAATACAATATATGAAATATAATGAAAATGATATTATATATTATTTAGTCTAATAGCATGGGTTTCTTTAATAGCGAAATCACTTCACCTAATCGTTTATTCTCGTAGTAACTCGTAGGCTATTAACCCTGACATACTTGTCTTGTAGACTTTAAATTATATTATTAATACTATGTATTCTATTACTAACAATATTTTGTGTGATTATAAACAAATATTTGCTATCGACTTAAAATAACCAAAAATTAAATAATTTTATACTATTTAGTGAATTAATTTTAATTAATTAATTAAATAATCTGCATGATTTATCTTTCAAATATTATATAACTAGCGGCTCACCCTCGCCTCGCTCGGGTTCATCCCTAGGTTCGTTTTAAATAGATTTAAATAAATAGATATTATCCAGCGTTAGCCGTGTAATTTTTCGATGTTTTAATAGTTATTCTGCTATTCGGGGCGGAGACAAATCTAACAAAACAGAGATTATCAAAATCGGTCCAGCTGTTCTCGAGTTATAGGTGTAGTAACAAAATTCCGACTTTGTTTTATATAGTATATAAGACAATCTGAAATTTTGTTTTGCGTATTTGATTTGGTTGGTATATTTGAAAAATTGTCTCTATATTTTATTAAAATTGATTTTGCTAAAATAATATTTGAATTTCGAAAATAAATATATATAAATGATCCTTTAACTAGATATTAACATAATTAAGACTATATAGATAGATGAACAGCACTAGATTATACGACTCGGTCTAATTACATATACATCATACATATTAGTTGTGAAATTCTTATATCTAAGAACACATTGTTTTCTCAAATTTCAAATATTTTTATCGTATTTAATTTAGTAGTCACCAAAACAAAGTTTAATCATGAAAAAGAAATGAATACAATCTTTAAGTTTACAGAATAATCTTAAAAAGAAGTTTATAATTTGTTATAGCTATTATAAAAAAATTATAATTGTTAACCTTTTAAATTAATATAATCCGGTTTTAAAAAAATATGCAAATCAATATTAGTATTTTTGTTCTCAAATTACACCAAACACATAATATTATGATATTTTTCGTTAATCATAATCAAGGGATTAATGTTATTCATGAAACATTTCTTCAAACATTAAAACAATACGTTTTTTAAAAGTAAAAATTACTGTAAAATTAATCACTTCCACTTTAAAAGATATATTTGTGACCATTTTAGGTACATATATAAAAAAAAGTAAAATTGCATCACAATTGGCGTAAATATAGTTTCGTTACACCAAAATTATTTTTTAATCGAATAAATAAAAAATTAAATATTTTTCATAGTCCATTTTATTATATTTAATAATAGTCTTATGTATTAAATAAGTTTACCTATATGTAAGTGTCGATAGTATCGATTTCACAGCTAATGTGTATTGTGGGCGGGCACTAGGCGGCCTGTCACACCGCCAGCCGGCCGTCCATCATCGGAGTCGGCAAAAGAGACCTGGTTAAAAAACAGTGTTATAATTACGGTGTTAAGAATCCCTAAATAATGATGTTTTAAGCCAACCGTTAGGTTCTGAGGTAGCAAAAAGCTCTTCGTGACCATAACTGCTGTAAAGCTTTCGAAAAGTCGTCGAGAATAAAATATCTAAAGAAAAACATGATGAAATTCAAAGATAGTTTTTTTTTAATATAAAACGTCAAATATTCGCGTAACAAAAAAGCGCATATCATGTTAACTATCTCGTCAAAATTACGTATACAAATCGAGTTGATTTAACCTACTTATAACCATAGTATAATAATAATAATTTATATTGCACTTATGTGATGATGGTTTCAGGAAGTGGAACTTTTTATTGACTATCAGTAAAATAAAAAAATTCGTGTGGATTTATTTGAATTTCTTACATATTAGGTAGTAAAATATGTGTTGATTTAGTTTTTAAAATTAATGTTACAAAAAAAAGTGAAACTTTTGTGAGTTTGAATGTGTGTATGTATGTATGTATCAATAGATGTTTATTACTCTATCACACATAACCTCTGAACATTTTTCGATGAAACTTTAACTGTAATATTAGAGCTATAACAAAGTAACTTTTATATGTATGTATTCAGCCCTTTTTAACGTCCCACTGCTGGGTACGGGCCTCCCTTCAGTACGAGGGGGATCAGGCCATAGTGCACCACGCTGGTCAAATGCGGGTTGGCGGACTTCACATGTCTTTCGAAAACTTGCTAGATTCCCTCAGACATGCAGGTTTCCACACGATGTTGTCCTTCACCGTAAGGCAAGTGGTAATCTTGTTAGAAATGATTCGCACGTGAAAATATCAGAGGTGCGGACCCTGGAATTGAACCCGCTTCACTCGGTTTCCCAAGCGAGCGCGTTACCACTGGGCTACCACTGCCTGTAAATGTAACTTTTAGGTTATAATAAATATAAATAAATTGAACTACTCAAAAATTATTCAAACTGCCTCACTCACCCGCACTCCAATGCATCTAAGTTCCTGGTGGTAGCAGCCCCCTGACCGCCGGCACCGAGGTTAGAATTCATCGACTCGGTCCTCGAACCCATATTCCTTTGTCTGCACATATACGGCGTAACCGTCGGCGACGGTGTGTTTTGTTTCTGAAAATGTCAACAAACAACTATAATGTACCTACGTATGTACTCGTTTATGTACGTAACGTAATAACAATTCATGAATTAATTTGATTTGACTAATGAATGAATTGTGATATTTTGAACACGCTTTTATTAGATTGCAGGTTAAAAAAGATTTAAAAATTAATATAGGAAGTTAATTTGGCAGTTTGTGTATAAATAAATAAATGTTATATTATTTTAAATTATATGAATAAATTTAATTTATGACATTTACAATAGTTTGGTACTATCGTCTTGATTTTATGGGAGAGCCAGTTAACGGCTTCTAGTAATCTACTCAAAAGTCTTATATATTTGTTTTGCAATTCAGTAATAAAAGCGTGTATTTTAATATTTTACATTGCAATTTATTGAAAATGTTTATTACTTCAAGCTCTTTACGTAAAGAGTGAAAAAAAATGGGTGCGAAATTAAATAATGAAGTTATACCTAATATGAAATGTTTAAGAAACAATAACGTTCTATTTTTTTGTTATATTAATACAGGTACTAAACCAATTCACACTTATTGAAAACGGTTAAAATAAACTAAACTAAAATGATTCTTTACGCTCAATAACAAGATTGGAATGAGTTAAAGACTACTTGATGATTTATTATAAGCTAATTATTGAAGTTAAAATATAAAAATAAATATTCACCTGCCATACGAATTATTTTAATAGTGGATAATTAGTTAGAATTACTTTGTTAAAAATAATATTTTTAAAAATAATTATTTATTCGGTCCCTGTAATATGTTTGTATAGTAAAAAAAATTATGAAGTTTCTTCGTTGAACATTCATTTGAAAGTGAAGACGGCAATTTTAGAAAATTGTTCATAAAAATACGTATTTCTCGACCAATATGTAATTATTTGATGGGGAAGGCTAGGTCCTTGATAGCTTATATAAAATTCTGTTTAGTCTTTGATAAATTTGTATTGAAAAATAAGTAAAATAAAATTACAGATAATAATCTTGTTTATTTATTTGCAAGAAATACTGGAAATGAAATAATATTTATATAATTTAGTTATTTAAAGTAAGCAAATGTGTAAAGGATGATGTAAGAGTTACGAAGGGAACAGTTGTTAGTACATACTCAATTTCAAACATTTACAGTAAATATAGAATGTTATTAAAAATTTAAAATTAAACAGATAATAAAAGTTATATAGATAAAATATCATCGATATCGAGTATTTCTGCAAAAATTACGACAACTTTGTATGAGGCAATAAACAATTAAAAATTATCTATGGTATTGAGGTTTAAAATAATAAAATGTAGGATTTTATATTCAATATATGTATAAATAAGAATTATTATACATCTAATATCTTAACAGTAAATATCTCAAAATCGATATGGTATCAGTGACGTAGACAGTTAGATTGCTAGAGTCATTCAATTAGTATATTATAATCGTAAATTATTTTCATACAGTTCACTGCATTGTTCTAAAAAAAAATCAACTCTTACAAAATGTTTAGTTAGGGAATTGAATTTTAAATTGTACTGGCTTCTTTAAAAAACATATATGTATAAATACATAGTTATTTTTTTAAATAAAATATTTTTTTATTTCGACATAATTATGTATGTGTAGATAGTATCTGATAGAAAGCTTTAATTACTTATCAATATCGTAGTGCTTGTTGAGTTCTTTGTGTAAACTTGTAAAGAAATCAAAAACATAAATATTTTACTATTTTTAATATATTTTATACATAATCATATAACAAATATTTTTGGCATACTGAGGTATAAAACTATTCATGATTTGTACAATAGATATCTTTAAAACCACTTAACAACTTTGAAAGTTTCAACGTGTTAACAAAATATCACATTTATTTGTACAAAAATAACAAATCTCTTCTAAACAAACTAGTTTCATTCAAAATTCTTCAAAAAATCGCTTGTTTTGTCGGAGGTATTCATTTTGCTTCCTTTGAGTACGAGTCGAATTTCCTTGAAAAATATTATCGAACCCTTATCGTTTCTAAAGTGAAAAACTGAAAAATTAAAAAAAAATATTTCCTGCGAAATTAATAGAACTTTCTCCTCTACACCTGCTCCTTCGTATTTCGATATTTATATACCCCAATCTAAAAATTAGATTATAAACATATAAAGATAATAAATAATAACAACTAGTATGACGCAATTGATTTCATCGATTCGATAGTTTTCGAACAAAATAATACAGACTAACATATGACATATAAGAATAAATATGGTTTTCTTTACATACATATAACTGCAATTATTTGAACGTTTTATTACTATTATATCTCTAACTTGACTTGTACATATAAACTACAATACAATACGTAGAAAAAATCCTGTTAAATACATATAATAAAAGATTTGTTATATTATTATATATATATATATATATATATATATATATATATATATATAACATAACAAATTTTTGCAAATCTATCACCGATGCTATCGAAAAAATATCTCAAATATGGAACTATTGATATTGTGCAATGATGCTTGAAAGTGGGAAAGCGAATAACACAAAAGTAAATGAATGGTAAAATAAAACACAAACTAGTGAAAGTGACCTTTTCTAATCGATGCCTTTTTTGTTATAGATTAAATATAGGTTCCTGCTATTGTTAATACATTATTATATTTCCTAATTGTCGCTCGCGACTTCACTCGCGTAGTTGGTGCGGCAATATGTAGGCTATGGGTTAACATCTATACATACGAGTATAATCAAATTTTAAATAAGTCGTATCTGTACATTAAATATTTTTTTGAAAAATCTTATTGAAATAAACATTATTATCGATACAGAGGTGGAATCTATAGTCTTCAGAATCTTTGTCTGTCTGTGACCACATCAGGAGAAAACCACTGGACAGATTTTGATGAAATTTGGATGATGATAGTTGGTTATCCGGGTCAACTTTTTAGTGCGGGAAAATATCTCTGAGAAATTTATACTAAACGTTAAAACGTATTACGTATTATGAGATAAGCGATCCCTATTAATACGGGGAAGATTTTCGTTGGGTTTTAATGGATAGTACTGGCTTTTCTCTCCAATGTTACCTGTATAATGTATAATAAATACGCACGTGGTCTGCGTAAATGCAATGCCCAACGTAAAAAAGAGCGATCTCTCTTCTATCAAATTTTACTTTAACCCGTTAAAGCCTTATCAAAGGATAAATAAACACACTCGATCATTGATTAACTTTCAGATTTATTATATTAGTGGGGTATGTTACCGGTAATGTGCGTAATATCGACATTCTATGGAAGACCGTATACAGTATGTTTAATAAGGCTGGGAATATAAGCTTTGAAATAGGTAATTTCATGTTTGACATAACAAGTATAGTGCTAATAATTAATTGAATGATTAATTAATAACGAATATAGAACGAGTTTTTCAAGTCGAGTTTTAACTTTTGTACTACCTTAGTAATAAATTATACTAATACTTTCATTATTCAATAAAAAATAATATAATCAAAATATGTTTTTTAATATTAAATCTAATTCGTAGAGATGAACAACTATAAAAATAAGTGTACAAAAAAATTGTCTTGACATTTTTATTTTTTTATAAACATTGCCTGTAACATACAAAGTTCCATCCATGATAGGCTATTTATTTTAATTAAAAATTAAGTGTTATCTCATTTCATTTTATATATGTCGCGAATATCGCGATAAAATCTAATCTTAACCAGATCGAAACATACAAATTTATTATCTAAACCTTTATTTCAAACTAGAATAGAACCCGCGATCTCTGACTTCGAAAAAAATATTAAACCGGATTTTTGCATACAATATGTATGTATTTTAATTAAATATTTTTATTAATTATACAAAAATAAATTATTAATATATTTACGTAATTCTTTATTTAAAATTATTAATTAAAAAAAAAATACTTTGACGCTTTCAATTGGTTAATTTGGCTTCCAGTAAAATGGAGTGATACAGTCAATGGCACTCTAATGATCGATGTCAAGGAATAAAACTACTAACAATTATCGATAAATCATAAATAATATAATTTAATTATTTTTTAATTAACCATCTAATATAAAAAAAAATATTTATTTTATTGGTTAAAAAATTATTTATAAGTATGTAGTTTTATTCATGAGTATCACTATTCAAAACTACAAAGTAACTACGACGAGCTAAATAACTAAAAACAAATAAAAAAAGTAAGAATAATATATTATTGTATATATAATTGTATATATAAAATATATAGTTCAGTGATAACATCCAAACATACTGACATTCTACATATATGTAGACTCACTGTGCTCTTGTTAGTGGAAAACACGTGATTTGAATGTCTACGACGCGAGGAATGAACAAAAACCTTTTTTTAACGAACTCGAAAAATATAAACTAAACTAGATATTGGCTTTTCAAAACAACAGTAATAAAGGAAGGAATGGAAATATTTTTATTAAACATAACTTTTTCAAAGCAAACTCGATTGGAAATGATTTATATTTACAAGATTAGGGCGTATAGGGCAACTACATGGGCTCAAATCTGAAGATTTTACCAGCTAAAGAGGAGTGCACTTTTTAAATGCTTGTAGAGTTTTAAATTGTACAAAAATTCCATGTAAATTAAAACCTCAAAGAAAATATAACGTAGTTAGTTATAAATGAATACCAATAATAAAAATTATAAATAAGTTATTTTTAACTTTTTAAGAGAAAAACAATATCTTCAAAATCACTTAAAAGTATCCACCCTAAAGGGCAGATTAATTTAGTTTTTGAAATTTGAATAAAACCATACTATTATTTATATGTAACTTATTAATTAAAAAAAATAACAAAGAAAAACAGCAGAATTAAGAACCTCCCTATTATTGAAGTCGGTCAAAAAACACAGTATTTCTCACTAAATGAAATAATAAGATTACGATATAAGCATATATACATATTATGTATATATACAAGTATATCGAATACACGACTGCTAGCCGGGGTGGTAGATATGTAATATGCGTGTACGTACATAAATATATAAAAATTGAGCAAATCCTTCTATTTATCAAGTCGGTGAAAAATCAGTGTTTCCCACTAACAATATAATAATATAAACAATAAACAAACAAACACGCTACGCGGGGTTGTATGTGTATGTGCGAGTACGTACTTGCTGGTTGGGCCCGCAGCAGGTCGCGTTGTGGCACAGGTCGTTGGGCGGGCAGTGCAGCGCGCACGGCGCCTCCGCCGCGCCGCCGCTTATTATCTACACATTGTTTATTATTTTAAACTAGCCACTTTTTAGTGGCCTAAGTTGAACCATATAATAACAGCTATCCGCCAGTGAAAGTCCCGTCCAAATTGGGCCAGCCGTTTTGGAGATTAGTCGGAACAAACAGAGAGACAGACAAACATTTTAAAAATATATTTTTTTATAAGTACCGTATATAGTTTCATATGCATTTAGTAAAAAGCTGTTATTTTGACATTACAAACAGACATTTCAATTTTATTTATTTATATTTTACAGTGAAGGATCGAAGCAAGCGTGTAGCAGTTGTAGCTCAGAGCCCAAAGGTAACACGTTCGCTCGGAAAACCAAATCTATTGGAGCTCCAATCCCAGTTCTCTGATAATCTTATGTGAGAAACATTCTTTCTACCTCTGACATTCTCATGTTATGATTTTTAACATGATTACCATTGGAATGGAATTAGGCTCAGTTTGTAGTGACCCTACTTCCTGTGCCAGCGGTTGCGGGTTTAAGTTCCGCTGGGGGCATTCATTAGTGTGATGAGCACGAATGTTTGTACTCCAGTCACGGGTGTTTATATTTATAATAAGTATGTATTTAAAGCTATATATGGAACTAGATGGTGCTGTGTTAATTTCCCTAACATATTTATATCTACATGCCTGATAGAGCCCATCAAGTTTACGAAAAGCGTGAAGTCCGTGAACCTGCACTATTCCACAATAAAAAGCTAAGTAACCATTTTCTATTAAATAAAGAAAACAAAATATAAAAATTATTAAATTGGAAATATTAAGTTGCATAAAAAAAAACTCGAATACACACCTCATTGCCATCTAATGGCAGTTCAACAAATTCGGGCTGTATCGTCGTCGAGTGAATGCCCTCGTTGTGGAAGAACTCCTTCACCTTTTCTGCTATTTTCATGTATTCTGATAAATTCCTACATCTAGAAAAAGTAATCAATTTTTAAATAAACTATATTAATTATTCTTAACATATCTTTTATATCTTAGATTAATGAGTAATCTAAGTTTTATATCTAATATATTTAAACGAGCAATTCTTGTATATATTTATATTCTTAAAACACCGCCAACTTCTCAACTCCGGGCTGTTACTGAGACTTACTATACAGAAAGACTCGATACCTTGCCCCGACCCGGGACTCGAACCCAGGACCTCCGGGTGTGCAGCCGTACATGCTAGCCACTACACCACCGAGGCAGTTAAAGTTATTAAATAATGTTAATACGACACGACGATGACGACCAAACACACGATTATTTATATAAAACAAAGACATGATTCATGTTTGGAACGTGCAAGCGCGAGTTGTACTCATCTCGCCGAACAATGTACGCCTATGCATTCACTGCCAACGTTATCGAGGAATCGCGATAAAAACCCGACGTGATAAGAAACCCCTTAATATCTTATTTTCTTTAAGTTTCAAATGGCATTGCGTAAAACTATAGTTGCTAAGTTATTATGTGATACAATCATTGATAAAAAAATATATTTTAAAGACCTACCGACTTTGTTCTTAGGTTTTGTTTTTTATCTGGAGAATGACTAGTGGAAATCTATATAATGTGTAATAAATTATTATGTAATAGATGTCATATAAATGAAATTATAGATAATTATTTAATTTATTGTAATAAGAAAAGCTTATTTTTAAATCAGCGCTATCGCTACGTGTTCACTCAAAGGATTATATACTTTCTTGCACAAAACATAATAAAAATGTTAAATTCGGTGTAGAACTAAAATAGAACAAATGTAGTTCTAAATACTAACATCTGTGCAATAGTAAGATGCAATATATAGGTATTTTAATGAAGCTGATTTTAATTGCTTATTTCGAATTAATATATTATTAAATATTACCAATTAATTCAAAAATATCATTTTCAATTAAATTCAGTCCAGAAAATTACTTGTACCTGAATTTATTGCCTGAAATTATTGCAACAGTATCTTTTTAACACCTCCAGGTAAATTCCTAAGAAATTAATTAAATTTCTAAGAAACCTATTGTTAACTGTAACGCCGGCGTGTCCGCGGTCGTGGAGGGATTATATGACAATTAACAGATTAAAAATGTTATTATAGATTTTTTTTAATTACAGATTCAAAAATTCGACCAGTTCACTGACATTAAGTCAGGGACAAAGGCTGCTGGAAGTATGCCAATAAGAAGAATTGGTCCAGAAATGTTTTGAAAACATATAAATCCGTTCATCGCGCTTACATATATTAGTCACTGCAATTTTATATCTTGCATATCTGTATATTTAGTTAAAACGTATAAATCGAAGGAAGTTCAAGATTTCTATAACGATAACATCATAAACGAATTGATAGTTTTGGGACTTATTACATTTCATTTGATCTATTATTTGTATTAATTTAATTCATATGAAGGGACGCTTACTAAAACGAACTGCTATCGGTCATTACTATATATGTATATATTAAATATTTTTTCTAAATGCGTACAGTGATAATTTTATTCGAAGCAAATCATTGTTTTTTAATTCTGCTTATCGGGCTTTATCAAATATGTAAAATATTTTCACTGTCAAATTATTCTTTATGAACATGTTTATCTATACTAATATAATAAAGAGGTACACAATGTTTGTATGTAGGAGGTAATTCTGGAATTACTGAACGGATTCGAAAAATTTCTTATACTAATAGAAAGCTACACTATCCCTAACGGATATAGACAATATTTTATTTTAATTTAAAAAAGTTTTCAGTTTCAAATCATAATATTTGCAAATTAAGTCAGAGTAAAATGCGCTAAATAGCCGCTTTACCGGCCGGCGCTAGCCAAATTATAGCCTGGATATGAAAACAATGTTTATAATAGGAACGAACCCGGGCGAAGCGAGGGTGAGTCGCTTGTATTAATAATAAGATATAAGCTATGTCGCACCTCTACGAGCGGAGCAATTCCACATGAATAAACTAAGCGGGCAATCCAAGTTGTCTAATAAAATTCGTATGTATGTAATATGTATTTAAAATGAATTTCTTTTAACATAATATATTTATACCTCAGAATATCCAAATATTTTCGACTGAGAACGCTCATTTGGAAAAAGATAACTTATTTAAGACCCTCATGGCATGGCTTGAGACGTGAAAGAAAATATGTATTATGTTAAAGTGATATAGTATAATAATATATTTTCGTTCCAAAAATCTTTGTATTCCACAATCCTGACAGTTTACAGAGAAGACAGTTTTGTCAAGAAAAAGTTTACCCTTTTTTTTGTTTGATAATAAATGATGTCCTACAATTTTGTATTAAAGGAAATCTTTTGTTTCATATGCGCCAATTTTTTACATACTACACGATCGACTTAATGATCCCGTCACTTTGTATTTCAATTCTTGCACATCACAGGTGTCGGTTTTTAAAAGTAAACCCTAATAGTATACAAAATATTCCAAATTTATGTTGTGAAAATGTATAACACGAAATAGAGCTTTATATTTGATAGCATTGAAAAGATCAGGCAGAGACAGAAGATGGAAAAGCTTAAGGGTCGATCTTATACCACTTCCCTTTTCATCGCGACCGATGGATGGTCATGGGTTAAAATTTCGATTATTTTTTTTTTCTACAAAAAACCTGCTGTCATAACTTAATTTAAAGTTATACTAATATAAGGGACTAAAGCAACATTTTATGTTATGTCGTAGTTGAGTGCGTAAGCGATCCTGCGACGCCCCATTAAGACGGGGGAAGGTTTTAGTGGGTAGTACTGGCTTTTCGAGCCGGTGAGTCCCACATAACAACCAGTATGTCTACAGGTGGTTTGCGTAACTGCATTTCCCAACATTAAAAAAAAGGTGAATTAAGGTATTGATATATTGCGATATTATAATCGCAAGAAAAGAGAGGGTGGGTCGCTAGTGCAGTGGTTTTGTTACATTGTTGGTAATTGACGTCATCCTCTTTCACTGACACAACGTTAAGCCGTACATCATTATTTTTATACCTCAGTGCATTTTATCAGAACAAATTCGAAGAAGCTGAATTGGTTGCATTCATCACTGGATGTATAATAAAAGTAAATCATTATTCTATTATAAACCTTACTGTAACGTGATAAAGTTTCTTATAGATTAATACGACAATGTTATATACACCTTACATATAAATTAAGGGGTCAATTTATTGCGTTGACGAAAACCGGAACTAAAATGATATTGTCTGAGATTAGCGATAAATGAAAATGGTCCAGAGATGAAGCTGTTCATTTTATATGATATCAGATTTTGAAACATTTCTGTGCGAGTGTTCCATAAGTCATATTTTGAATTTTGAATCTTATAATTTTACAAACAATACATAACTTAAAAAAATTTAGAGCAATAAGCTATTAATTTTCAAGACCTAATAGTTAACTAAAAACTATAGTTGGTCTAAAATTTTGCAATCACATCTTGTTCTCCAGTTTCTTTATCATTTACAGTAGATTTTCATGGTTTTTATCTGAACTTTCTACTAAATAATAATCTTTAATTTTCATAGAGAAAAAAATTAGTGGACATTTCGTCAAAGCGAGACTACTCAAAATTCACTTTGGTAGCGATCATTCTTAAAAATGATTTAGAGATCTCAACTATTAAATAAATATGTAATATAATAAAATGGTCATACCTGATGTGTGCACTCGCTATTATCCTGTCACCAGCTAACTGCCACACATGGAACTCATGAACAGCGAGCACGCCGTCCACCTTCTCCAAGAGACGCCTTTGAATTACATCCACCTAATAAAACAACGTATATAAATAAAAATATAGCGCTGTCAATTCGTAATCGCATCACTTAAGAACCACTGGAACGATTTGCCTATTTTAAAAAACGCCAGAAAAATTGGGAAATTCGGGAAAAAGTGAAAGTGCTATTTTAATAGGATTTTGTATAAATTTAAAGAACACAAAACAAATTTATTAAAATTTAGGCAGGACAAAGTCTATCGGATCATTTTAAATAAAACTTATCTTTTCGGATATTTTCGCGGATTTATGTTGATTTTTGGTTCTAGTATTAAATAGGACATACCTAGTTTTATTCATCATCTATACATATAATAAAATTGTAACTAAGCCGAATCTGTACATTAAATATTTTTTGGAAAATCTAATTGAAATAGACATTATTATCGATACAGAGTCCGAATCTATAGTTTTTAAAAATTTTGTCTGTCTGTTACCGCATCACGAAAAAACCATTGGACAGATTTTGATGAAATTTGGTATGATGATAGCTGGTCAACCGTTTCAACATATAGGATACTTTTTACCAATTTGGTATGATGATAGCTGGTCAACCGGGTCAACATATAGTATACTTTTTACCACGGGAAAATGTCTCATTTCTGAGAAAACTAAACGCGGGCGGAGCCGCGGGTAGTGCTAGTGATACTATAATATTACAAAGGCGAAAGTTAGTGAATGACTGTTTGTTAATTCTTCACGCAGTAACGGTTCAACAGATTTGAATGAAATTTGAAATGGATATAGGCTACTATAGCACGCGAGGGGAGCTCGGACGAAAATAGCATTTAAGTAATTCAACAAAAAAGTGAGAGGTTGCATTAAATATAATAATCCTACCAATATTATAAACGCGAAGGTTTGTGAGGAGGGATGGATGGATGTTTGATACTTCACTTACTTTGTTACTACTTTGACGCAAAAAAATGTTCTTAATTAAAAATCTTCACTAAAAAATAATCATAAAAATAAACGATTTAAATGAATAAGACGAAAAAATAAAAAATCGGTTCCATATTATGATAAGTTATATCTAATGATATGTGGCTAGAATGCATTAATAGACATACATATATTACCGTAAATGTGTCAAACTTAGCACTTACACGTTCCGTACTTATATATTTGATGTATTATACATTGTTACTTGTTATCAAATAGCAAATACGCGATATCCTAGCAAACATCTGTTTGGGACGCTAAATGTCGACCGTGTTTGTATTAGCTGCCGTGTAACTTACGAGTATCTGTGTCGCAGGCATACCTATCCTACGATTCGTCTTCGTCTGTTTGTAAAATACCGTAGGCAAATTGAAAAATCGGATTGTAAAATAGCACATTTTGAGTAAAAAGGTTTCTTGGTTCAAGAAAAAAAGCCCAACGAAACTGGCATGTCTTATCCTTATCGGATCTGTCACCATAACTGAGTTTACAATATGGCAATGTCGAAATGGATAAAGCTGAGCTGTCTTGTACTAATATAGCTGATGATTTTGCAAAATAGTTCAACCTATTTATTTTTATTTTCTTAATCATGTTTTTGTTTTCGGCAAAATTAATTAAATGAAGAAGTATTTTTAACCCCCGACGCAAAAAGAGGGGTGTAATAGGTGTATAAGTTTGACGTCGATGTTGTCTGTCTGTGTGTGTATGTGTCTGTCTGTGGCATCGTAGCTCTCAAACAGATGGACCGATTTCGATGCGTTTTTTTTTCATTTGAAAGCCAGTTTCCTTGCGTTGGTTCTTATCTATATTTGGTTAATATCGGTCCAGCAGTGTAAGAGTATCAGCTCTTTTCCAAAATGATGTAAGGCATTTTGGCGTATGATTACTTGATTAAGTGCTTCACGTGTGCCAGTGTAATCGTTAAATGACAATTAATTTGCGTAGGGGGTTTTTTAAATTTTTAATATATAATCAATCACTCAATAGATTATTATAAACTTAAATAATACATTTTGCCTTAGACATTTTACAAATGCACGAGCACTGTTTGTATAATAGAGAATTATACTATATGCCCGCGACATCGATATAAAGTTTAAACATCGTAAACTATTGTCATACAGACGACGAACGAATACCTACCTACGTAGAATACGGCTACGGGATGTATTTTCTAGACACGATGTCATTGTATAGCATAGTAACCCCTAACACATATTATGAAAAAAATTAAATGTGTTTGTTCGTTTCTCATTATTTAACGCAGCAAGGGACGTGATTTTTATGCATTATCAATTATCATATTATGAAATATTATTTAATATTAAAACAAATATTTCCTTTTGGTTCCAATTGCCGTAAGCTTGACTAAGATGCAAGATCCGTATTTAAGCTTGTTTCTATCATTATAGAGTCTCCACCCTAAAATAACAGAAGCGAGATTTTCGAATGGGAATCATTTTGACAACTCACTGATACGGTGAAGGAAAATATTGTGAAACCTTAATTGTGAAGACTCATGAAATTCTACCAACTCGCATTTAGTAAGCGTAGTGAATTATAGCTAGATAGAGATCCCTATCTTAATTAGGCGAGGCCGTAGGATATTAAAAAAATTGAAAAATCGGACTATTATAAATGCGAATGTTTGTATGCCTGTTACTCTTTTATAATAGCTAAGCGGATATACGGATTTGGATAAAATTTACTAAATATATAAAACTACTAGCACTGCCCGCGGCTCCACCCGCGTTCAAATGACCAAAAACCAAATTCTTAGGTTTTACATATTAGTATACTCTTACATTGCAGTTTTTGTATTTCTTCTCAGAAATGAGATATTTTCCCGCGGTAAAAAGAATCCTATATGTTGACCCGGATAACCAGCTATCATCATACAAAATTTCATCAAAATCTGTCCAGTGGTTTTCTCGTGATGCGGTAACAGACAGACAGACTATAGACTGTATCGATAATAATGTCTATTTCAATAAGATTTTCCAAAAAATATTTAATGTCCAGATTTGACTCAGTTAGAATTTTATTATATGTATAGATGACTTACATAAGTAGTTAGTTATTTAAAATGTTTGTATGATATATACCTATAATAATTCTCATATGTAGATCCGTTTCGATTTCATTATTCAACACTACGTAAATAGCTTACGGCGTTCTCTTTGACCTATGCATTGTGCCATTTTCATTAACTTTACCGCTTGGTAAAGTTCATGAAAATGTCATAGTAAAATTTCGAACAACGACAATAGATTTTCACTTAAAACATACTGTTAATAAAGCTTGTCATTGTGACTTTGATATTCTGTATTTTAAATATCGGGGTGAAGCAAATGTGGTATCACAAAATAAAATATTACGACATTGTGAACAATTAAATTATGTTTATCATGAATAAACGACCAACGATATAAGACCAAATTAAATTTAGAGGCCGTCAAACTTGAATTATATAGAAATTTAATAAGCAAGGAAATTGTACGAGTATATACCTATGTATTTGTATAGCCTTAATATTTAAAATTTTAACTAGAATTTATATTTAAAATCTACGCATATGACCTCATTAACCTATCGTTTTACGTAACATAAATGAAATTACAAATATACATAATTATATATACAAAACAAATGTACACTTAATACTGTACAAGTCGTGGCCGAGTGGAATGCGTGCAATGCCGATACTTTGGGCGAAAAACATTGATAATCTATATACAGATAAATAAAATTGAGGTGTCTGTTTGTTATGTCAAAATAACAGCTTTTTACTAAATGCATATGGAGTTATATACGGTATTTATAAGAAAAACACAATTTTTGACATTTTGTGTCTGTCTGTCTGTTTGTTCCAGCTAATCTCCGAAACGGCTGGGCCAATTTTGACGGGACTATCACTGGCAGATAGTTGATGTAGAAAAGAGTAACTTCGGCTACTTTTATTTCAGTAAAAGAATTAGGGTTCCACTCAAAAAAATAAAATGTAGAGACGAATCCGAGCGAATCGAGGGCGAGTCGCTAGTCAAAATATATAATTTATCCAATTGTCATGACACCTTATGGTTCCTACGCGGAAATCACGATCGGTAACAAAACCGCAAATAATTGAGTCTTTACAGTTATTGTATGTAAGTATTGATAACAAACATTATTTACAATATCATAATACAACGTGTTTTATTGAATTCAAAGGAACAACATTGATACAGAAATTCAATTTGCGGTTTAATAAAAGTCTGCATAAAAACTTGATAACAACAAAAAAGGTAAAATAGTACCAAGAAATATTTATATAGGTACCTATTTCCTAGTTATTTCCCACAGCTGCCCTTTTTTAAAGATCTTTGCGCCATACTATTCTAACAATATTATATTATAATTATTAAAAAAAAAAATCTGTGCCTGACTTTAAATATAAATTTCATAGAAATTTTTAATACACTCCAAATTCGCAGTATAATCCAATATCAAAAACGACACAGAAATTGGTTTATAAATGCACAAACGTGCAGACATTGCAGTTAAACATTACATATATTTTATAACATAATAATGAATGAATAAAATTAAACTTACCTGTATATGAGTAGGTACGGTCTGCAGTAAAATTAGCGCGGATTCCCTCAACAAAGGCCACACTGAGGCAAGTATGAGAATAACCAACACTATACTCAGGGCTGGGTCGATGTAGTACCTGTACTCCCAATTCGTCTGCCATACGACTATAGCTGAACTTACTACGATAAGGGAACCTAGAACAATAATTTACTATATATACATAAAATGAAATGGTATGTAAGTACATAGTATATTGATTATTCTCATTAATAATTTTCGGCCACGGCGAGTAATGTTACTGAGATATATAAAGCAAACACAATGTACATTCTATACTTTATACAGTGTAAACTCTTTATAACGTTATCCTTTATAACGATAAACTCCCTATAACGTTGGAGTGAGCCCAAGTTGGTTGGTTTGCGTTAAAACTCACTTATTGAAACACTCTTTATAGCGATACACCATTCTCTATTGCGAAGAAATGTGTTCATATTTTTAGACAGTAAATATTTATTATCGGTATTATTGTTTATGTTATGTTATCAGGTAACAAAAGACTTTGAAGCTCCGAAACATCCGAGGTCGGTCTAGCTTTTGTTATCCTTAATTGCCTTGTACACGTGCAGTATGACGCAAGACATACATACAATTAAAAATTCTTGTAATAAAAATTCTTGTTAATTTGGTTTTTTTTTGTTCACTCCATATAACGATAACTCTCTATAACGACAAATAATGCTCAGTCCCTTGAATTTCGTTATAAAGAGTTTACACTGTATTTTCAAAGTTTGATTGGACGATAGTTATTAAGCAAAATCGGTGAGAGGTCAAGAGCAGGACCTACAGTTTTACGTGCTCTTTCAGGTAAGAGGTATATAACTCAACTTCTGAATTATGGGCTGTTACTTAGAATTTCTTAACAGAATAACTTAATACCAATACTTGACCCAATCTAGGATTCAAACCCTGGATTTCCGGTTCCTATAGGCGTAGCTACATCCTAGCCACCAGTCCTACGAGACATCCAACTAATATTGTAAATGTGAACATATTTTTTTTTAAACTACTAATAATTCGTACATGGCGAAGAAAAACAAATATTTTTATTACTATCTACAGGATATGGAGAATAGGCAAATGGGAACTCTTCCTGTTCATACCAGCGGCGACGAAAAAAATATTTTTTGTCTTAGAAAGAAACCTCAAAGACAGGAAAAGTTTTTACAGAAAAACTTTTCCTTCTTCATTACAACAAAAGGAGCATTAAATACTTTAATATGTAGTACTTTTCAAATATTGCTAACACTACTATTATATACGTATAGGAGTATCGTGATTTAATTTATTTCACTAATATTATAAATGTAAAAGTTTAGATGTTTGGATGTTTGTTACTCAATCACGACAGAACGGATCTGGCTGAAATCTGGCACAGAGATAGATTATAGTGTGGAATAGCACATAGACTATACTTTTTATCCCATAAAAATTATGGTTAATGGAAAAATAAATTAAAATAATTGGAATAGATTTATTTTTGTTTTTTAGTTTTTAATAAAACAAAATAATGACTTTATTACGAAGCAGGCAAGCAATTCGTTCACTAAATAGTCAATTTTACATATACAATAGTATATAACTATGTAGTCATGAAATATGATTTTAAATAATAATTTACGTATCTACTAATTCTATTAATAAACACCTTAAATTATCGATACAATAATTATTATCGAACAGCTAAAGTTCCAGCTATATATATACCTATGTATAAGATCCATTGTTTGAACTAGTCGTCTGCAAGGTGTACAACTAACGTACCTAACAACCCGCAAAGGCTAAACATTTCAAATAACTTTCAAGTAATAGCGATTTATTACCTTGAGTAATTGCATTACGATTTATTTATTACCTTTTGACGGTACGTTGTCAAAGGGGGTATAATTTAGAAAATGACAGCAGAGAAACATCTTGAGATCTTATCTGTAAAATCTTATATTTATCCATTTAATCGATTTTCCTTTGCGCATACATAGAATATTCCACTTTTACTTAATCATAATATTTTTTCATAAAAAATGTGAGATGATAATAGAATTTTAATAAATTGTTTTAGACTTGTTTGTCTTGTGTTCAATCATGTGCCATACAAAACGAAAGTCATTTTTATTCCATCGAACTAATATAATGAATACAAAATATATTGAGTGAGTGTGTTTTTTATTATTATTAACTAGCGGCTCACCCTGGCTTCGCTCGGGTTCACCTCTAGGAAAACAAAAACTAACCTATCCTACGAGAACCGTACCTTTTCCGGGATAAAAAGTAGCGTATGTGTTATTCCAGGCTATAATCTCTCTCTGTGCCAAATTTCATCCAGATCCGTTCAGCCGTTCTGGTGTGAAAGAGTTACACCCATCCGTACACACAAACTTTCACATTTATAATATTAATATGAAATCTATACATATAATAAAATTGTAACTAAGCCGAATCTGTACATTAAATATTTTTTGGGAAATCTTACTGAAACAGACATTATTATCGATAGGCCGAATCTATAGTTTTCAGAATTTTTGTCAGTCTGTCTGTCTGTTACCGCGTCAGGCAAAAACCACTGAAGGCATTTTGATGAAATTTGGTATGATGATAGCTGGTTATACGGGTCAACATACAGGATACTTTTTACTGCGGAAAAATATTTCATTTCTGAGAAATCTATACTAAACCTTAAAACGTAAATAAGGACGAACCCAAGCGGAGCGAGGGTGAGTCGCTAGTATAATATAATAATACGGATTATTCACGCTGAAACAATTCAACGGATGTGAGTAAAATTCTGAATAGATATTGCTTATATCCTGTATTAATAAAACCAAGGCTACTTTTTATCTTCGTACAATGTGAACGGAGACAAGGGTGAAAACAAGTTAAGTCATAGACTAAAAAAATAGCCGCAAAGTCATAGACAGTGTAGTTCTATACAAATCTATTGGTATTATCCAACCTTGAGTGATATCAATATAATCCAGAAAAGTGTTTTGGCAGTCTCATTATGCAATAAATTTTATTAGGGGCGATTAATGATAAGAATCCTACTAAGTTCGGTTAATGTAAGTAAAAATCAACAATCAATGTACACGGCACAAACGAAATTGATGATAAGATTTCGTGAAAAGGAGTACAAGGTCACTAAGCGGTTCGCACTTTTGTTATTTACTACAAAATAATGTCAATGGCGACTGACAGTTATCGAAATGAGTCGACATGCTTATAAGCTACCTTTTGACTACACACTTAGAAATACATAAGCAAGGTTAGATAGAGTATTGAAGCCTTTATAATAACTTTTGAGACGTCAAGAACCTAAGTCTCTCCCGTGACCATGTTTGGTGTTCCTAAAGCGTTCGAAACATCGAAAACAAAAACTCAAAATAAAAACGACAAAATCCGAAAAGTTTCATTAAAATGTTAAATATTTGCGTAAATCAAAGTCCGAAGAAAGTAATTATTATATAATGTATACTAATATTATAAAGACGTCAAGTTTGTGAATTGTGAGTTTGTGACGTTGTAGAGGGTAATCTCTGGATTTACTGAACCGATTTAGACGAAATTTGGTAAGAAGATGGTTTGAGACCCTGCGAAGGACATAGGATACTTTTTATCCCAGAAATCATCCCTTAAGGGTGTGAAAATGGGGATGAAAGCTTGTATGGGGAATCAACCTACGGACGAACCCGAGCGAAGCGAGGGTGAGTCGCTAGTATGTGATATAGTACAAAAAAAAACTAAGAAAATAAATTAAAAACCGACTTATTACCATTAAAAAGTCTGAAATAACTGAACGGGGGTTTTTATTTATTATTATAGATACTTACATGTAATCGGAATATTTTCGAAGTCGGACAATGTTTTAAGATTTGAATATCTAATAGGTAAATAATAAATATAAACATTAATAATTGTAGTTAGTAATTAATTTATACATATCGAAATTAATTTTCTTTGCTTTGCATAGGCAGACCTAAAAAAAACATAAAACCTCCTCCTTTTTAGAAGTCGGTTAAAAATAATTTATCATATTATTATCGGTAATTATAACGCATATTCATCAAATTTTATTAGCAATTTCTAAACGAACATAGCAAAAACATTAAATGACCTTCATACAGATTCATGAACTTAAACTTGAAGCGCACAAACGTAGAGCGAAAATCGAAAAACAAGTACGTTTAATGACCTCAGAATTAGTCACGAATACCTCATACCTCTACTCCACTAGAACCTTATTAAGAAGGCATTTCACGACTACTACACTTCCTATCTATACTAATATTATAAAGAGGTAAAGTTTGTGAGTTTGTGATGTTGATGAACCGATTTAGATGAAATGTCGTAAGATAGTTTGAGACCCTGGGAAGGACATAGGGTAGCTTTTATCCCGGAAATCATACCTTAAGGGGGTGAAAAAGGGGATGAAAGTTTGTATTAGGATTGATTTCTAGGGACGAACACGAGCGAAGCGAAAGTGAGTCGCTAATACAATATAATTGTATATTATCCCACGAACTTACAAAAAAGTAATGAATTAATTATACCAAGACATACATAATAATATCTATATACATATTTATATATAACTTAATATGAAAAAAAATATTACGAAAAAATCTTTTTCCTCCTTAACATTGTTCATTTCTAGGTAATAGTTGGTACATTCTTTATAATTAAATGTAAGTTTTTTTTGCTTTGAAAGCAATTAAACCTCTTCTACTAACTTCAGATGATAACTTTTTCAATTTGGTTACTAATGGATTAGGAAGTGAATCGCGAAACTAATTGGTTCTGAGCACATGACATTGAATGTTTAAAAAGCATCCTTCAACAGAGAACAATCAAATGGAAAATAACGAGATTCCTCTCATTGTTTAGCATTTATAAATGACTAGCGATTCACCCTTGCCCCGCTCGGGTTCGTCCCTAGTTACGTTTTAATGTTTAGTATAGATTTCTCAGACATGAGATATTTTCCCGCAATAAGAAGTATCCTGTATGTTGACCCGGATAACCAGCTATCATCATACCAGCTATCATCATACCAAATTTCATCAAAATCTGTCCAGTGGTTTCCTCGTGATGTTTCCAGACAGATAGACAAACATTCTAAAAAATATAGATTCGGCCTCTGTACCGATAATAATGACAATAACATTTTCCAAAAAATATTTAATGTACAGATTTGACTTTTCAATAGTGCGCAAAAAAGTATAGACCTAATAATATAAAAAAATATAAATGGTTTTAGCATTTCTATTATGTAGAACGTACATATTATGTATGTTTATTATTTTTCTAATAAGTACTTAGTTATATGCATACCGTTTTGATATATTTTAATTTTTTCTTTGTACCACAACTACGATAATTGTAATTATTAACATATTATAAACAAAATCACATAACTACATTATTATCAGAGCACTTAATTATAAAATAACCAAATTTATTAAATTCTATCTAAACATGTTACACATAAAACCAACACGTGTTAAGTACTTCTTCACGCAATAACGGCTCAACGGTTCTCTGAATGAATTTTTTTTTAATAATAATAACTTTATTCATAAATAAGGAAATTGAACATAGAACATAGTAATTTTTACAGTAAAGGCTTGTACAAATCAATTTCATACGGTTGGGTGAAGTACTGTACTCCTTGCTAGGTTATAAAAATAATCTGTATTAAGGAGTAACAGTCCCGTTCCCCTTTGGATATTTACCAGTATATTTATGTACCGTACAATATGTTTTCATTTATACTATCAACTAATAACAATACTAGGTTATATTTAGATTAATTTTAACCAACGCACCACACCCAAATCTATGGGCACAAATCAGTTTAGTTAAAATGCAAACTTACCTAAAGCATCAGAAAGTACATGAAGGAAAACCCCCTTCATATTCATGTGTCCAGGGTCACTAGTGGGTCTTGGCACTTGGTTGGGTCTATTGTCCATCCTGGGTGGGACCATCTCATCTGTTTCCTCAGTATCTGTGGTCGCGTGTCCAAGGGCCATGTCTGCATTGCTATTTACTAACTCGGTCAAGTGACGCACGTTAGCCGGTGGAGGAACGCCGCCGTGTGTGTGGCCGTGACTGCTACCGTGTTCTGTGTGCAATTTGTTTTTTAATGTACATAAGTAATGGAATTTTTATGGGTTTATGTTTTAGATCGATTTTAAAAAAGGATATACTCAATTGGGATACGATGTCTTTTTTTTACTGAATAAATTATACGTGAAGCCAGTTCATGTATAAATTAAAAAATAAAAACCAATCGTATTGTGGAAAAATATGACGTACACATACCTACATTAATAAGATGTACTAAACAGAAAATATATGTATGTACATATATAACTAAACAATAAATCTGATTGCCATGAAATTTTACTTTTCGTCGATTTTAATTAATGCAAATATGTACCTATATGTGCACATTAAATAGGTAATTAAATGCGTAATACGGGTATATTAACTATGAACACGTTTTTCTGACCACTAAAGCTAAATTCATACTATATAAATAAAGATTAAGCTTAACAATACAAAAATTGTATTTTATATGAAAGAAAATTTCCAGTTTTCGCATTGCAAGATTTGGTATCAACATACGAGTCAGTACCAATGTGTTTTCAAATTCCTTTAATGACCAATCCCATTAATCCATATTAATATTATAAAAATTTGTAAGGATGGATAGATGGATGTTTGATACTCAATCACGCCAGAACGGCTAAACGGATCTGGGTGAAATTTGGCACATTATAGTCGGGAATAGTACATAGGTTACTCTTTATCCCGGATAAATGTACGGAACCCGTGGGATAGATTTGTTTTTGTTTTTCATTAGGGACGAACCCGAAAGAAGCGAGGGTGAGTTGCTAGTAAATATATAATATTTTGATATAACGGTACATACGTTTTTTCAAGTAAAATTATGTACCTATTTCAGTTGCTAACAGATTAATAAAATTTAATAATAATAAAAGTTAATACGAGCGACGAAGAGAGGTTTTTTAAAGGATATAAATCTCAAATTACAAAAATATCATTTTTCACTGTTGCCATGTACCATCTTTGTAAATTAAAAAAAAACAAACCCGTTTTAATTTCGGAGAAGATGGATGAGGTTGACCCCCAATGAACCAACGGTTTTGTTTTTGTATTAATATAACAGGCTGTTTGAGTACAAGGTGCGCTCAACGTTAGATAACAAGAGTAGAGACCGATTGTATGAATGCAACAGCTTATATCTTTAAACGAGCTATTCTTGTATATATATAATCTGAATCTCGGAAACGGCTCCAACAATTTTCATGAAATTTAGTACACGGGGATTTCGGGGGCGATAGATCGATCTAGATTTGTCTTATATCTGGGAAAACGCGTGTTTTCGAGTTTTCATACAGTTTTCTTTCGCATTATTATTACACGCAAAATATGGTCGATAATTTCGCACGTTCGGGCATAAGCATCATGGTCAAGCGGCCAAGGCGCAAGATTGACAATCATATATAGGTGTCCAGGTTCGCATCCCGGTCGGATACAAAGGTATAATTTATTTTTGTTTTTTTTTGTTGCATTTATTCGTTTTTAGTTTTTTTTTAAAAGAAAATTGTACTTTTGACCAAAAACTCCGAGCGAAGCTCGGTGGCCCAGGTACTTAAAAGCAATACAAGAAATACATTACATAACACGAAAAATATCGTTCAGTCATAAAAATTCTAACTAACGTTAAATTCACCATATAATTGGTGAATAGTTCATTTACATATTGATAAACCAATATTGCAATAAGCAATTTAAATATTTTGTTACTTTTTAAACGTAAACAATCTGCCCTATAGGTTGGGTAGTAACTACACTAGTAACATTGATTGCCCTTGTGATTAATTCAAATATTTTTTAAGGTCATTTCACATAGGTCACATTGTTATAGGTGTTATAGGAACATACAGTTTTCCAGGATAAAAAGTAGCAGCCTATGTGCTTTTCCTGACAATAATATATCTCTGTGCCAAATTATATCCAAACAATGGATGAGTATCAAATATCCAAATATCTAAACTTTTACATTTATTATAAAAGTGTAACGTAATATCATTTTCCCGCAAAAAAAATACTATTAATTTCAAGTACACTTTAAACGAAAATCTTATTGAACGGGTTTTAGGGTGAGAGATTTGGGTATTCACCTTGATTCCTCGTTAACCTTTAGTCAACACTATAGATATGCGACTGCAAAAGCCTATCGGATGCTTGGTTTTGTTCTCAGAATTAGTAAGGATTTTAAGAATAATACCACCCTGATTCTTCTCTTTAACGCATTCATTCGCTCTATACTAGAATTCGGTTCGGTGATTTGGAATCCACATTACAAAGTCCACATTCAAGAAATAGAGAAAATTCAAACAAAATTCTTAAAGCATTTAAGATTTAGATGTTCCGCTACTGATCAAGTTGTTCCTAATTTGACCTCTCTGGAAAAACGTCGTAAGATAAAGGACCAAACATTTCTGTTGAAATTACTACATAATGTTATTGACTCTCCATTTCTTCTTAACATCATTAACTTCCGATGTCCAAGACAATCTTCGCGAATTAAATCTTTATTTTATTTAAATACTACACGTACCAAATATGCACAAAATGCCTTCATTCATCGTTCTTGTTTATTATATAACAAAGAATACTGTTCAATTGATTACTTTACGAGTTTGTTACAGAAGTTAACTCAACAAATTAAGAAAATGACCTAGTTTAAATTATTTTTATTTGTATTAAATTATATTTGCGACTCTTTATTAACTATAATTATGTAATTATTTCTAAAACATTAATTATTTTCTATTCATATGATTATTATTTTATTTAATGTTCATTTTTTTTAATTGTAATTAATTTGCTCGCATTATTCTATGTACTATTTAATTGTGGAAACTTTATTGGTCAATGATTTATATTTTATGTTTTGTTTTTTAATTTGTATCAATTTGTACTGTTTGTTTCCCTAATAAATAAAAATAAAAATAAATAAAATAAATTATATTAGTGAGATATATTGTATATTTTTATACATTTTCCTATGTAACATAGAAGTTTGGCGATTACAAAATAATATGTAGGTATCGATTTTGTTTGGAAAATGTAGTTAGTTAATCGAGTGGTAACAAAGCCTGTATGGAAAATAATAATTTTCGGGTATCATTAAAAAGCAACCAGCATAGCCCGTGCATGTAGCTTAGAGATCTTTCAATGATAATAATAATTTATTCTATATTTTAAAATATAACAATGAATGATAGTTTTTTATTATGCATTTAATCTAATAAGCTTTGTATTTTTGTCACACCACAGTTTATATCATATTTTTACATTATACCTATTAAAACTAAGGCTAGTGGAGTTTAGCTTTAAGGAAGCAATTGTTAGAACAGTTTTTACAAAAGACATATTATCATTCGAAATGAGTATCTATTAACGATAACCTGTAGAATATTATTATTTACATTGAGGACAATAACGACAAATAACAACGAAAGATAGATAATATCGATGTTAGCTTTGCACAAAGTTCGATAATGAACGGAATCAATTTAGCGAGTAAATAAAACATTAATAACCAGTTGGACTAATTTCATATTGTGTAATTTGCGATAACGTTTGATGGTACAGTTAACAATACAAACAATACAAAGAATAATAAACAATCTAAAATAATTTGTTAAATATTGATTTTATAAGAAGAATTTCATTTTAAAATATTTTATGGAAGACTTTAAAAATAATGAAAAAATGAATTGGACTATTGAAAAATAAGTGAAAAAGTGATGATTGTATTTTTTACAATAGTTTATCGATCAAAATCGATAAATTCTTATATAGACACGTACATAGATTAATCGAGTGTAAATAGGTGTATACCTCAAAACTCAGCTATAATGAGTGGATTTGGCTGATCTTGGATTTTTTGTGTTTCTTATACTAAAAACTATAAAGCTTACCTATTGAAATATTCCGCTATTGTTTATTTTATTAAGGGTTACCCATGAAAATGATACTACTTCTGTTAAAATTAATACATATTTAAAAATTCCGATAATTGTATATTTTGTGGAGATAACTAGAAAAATTGTTTTTTTTTTTAATTTACGGATTTTCAAAACAGCAATATTTAATGGGTAAACTTTTTAGTTTATGGTACTAAATACCCAAAATTTCTCATTTATAATGAATAATTGTACTCGACTAGATATCGATTTATATATTTGTAGAAAATTATAAAGTATTAAATCAAATTTCGTAGCTGAATGTACCAACAATTACGACTTCTTTTTCTGATAAAACAATGTATTGTACTTGATTATTTATCGTAGCATATACCTTCAAAGGTTGAGAAATCGTTAGCGTTGATTCATATATGAATTTCCAATAAAATGTTTAATAACCGATAAGACAATAAGAAATAAACTTGTACCGAACTCTCAAATAAATAACTACAACAATATGTAATAAATCACATAAAATCTATATCATAATAAAACCGTTAAAAAATGAAACTGTTTGTCAGCGCATCACTTGAGGACGGCTCGACGGATTTGGCTTATTTTTTAATGTTCGTAATAGGTACTCCTAGGTTTTTAGGCATACGTTTTTAAAAAAATACCCAGAAAATTGGGAAATTCAGGAGAAATAAGGGCTTTTTTCTATACAATTTTGTCTGACAAAAAGTTATCTTTGTCTTTGATATCGTCTGTCGGGTCAGCTAATAAGTAATAATAATCAGCTTGTCACAAAAGGATAGTAACTTACCATGGAACAAAAACAATCCAACAATATTTAATATTAGCCCGAGTGTACCGACTGCGACGAGCAGTTCCGGTTTGTGTATCGTCTCAATCTGGATGAATCTTTGCACAGCCTCCACTGTTATGCTAAAGCACAACGCAACCAAAAACACTGCATTGACTAATGCTCCTAAAACTTCTGCTCGCGCCCATCCAAATGTGTTCTTTGACCATTTTTTTGGTGACATCTAAAAAATTACAAATAGATTTAAACATTTTTCACCTTTACGTATCTAAGGCATTTTTATAAACTCCGCTCGCTTGAGTTCGTTACAGATATCATTTTAAACACAATAATAATATATACAAATACTTAGTTTGTAAGTTTAAATGTATCTTTATTATATTTCTGATGAACATGAGGTAGATTGGTGTCGTAGGGGAGTAAAGCGAGAGTGAAGCGCTAGTTTTAATATAATTATAAAAAATAATGTGTCTTAAACTAATAATTATATGGTATTATTTATGAGGTATAAGTCTTTTCAGTAAAACGAAGTTATGAAAATCGGTTCTCAATTGGCGATGATATTGCGCATGGACGGACAAATCATGCACACTTTCTTCTATCATTTTTATTGAAGTCGATCAAAAATAACAGCGAATATTTTATATATATATATATATATATATATATTTGTTATATCATTAATTTAAGTATTATGTACAAAATGATACGAATATTTTAAACTCCAAATATTATCCGAAATTCGTGTCAACGTTACGCCTACACAGAGCCACAAAATAAAATTGTTTGGCAGTGACAATTCAATGGCATGATTGGTTGGAACAACACCATTATATCTTGAAAATTTGTTATATAACGAGAGAGCAATTTTATGCAATTTCAATATTATATTATAAAGCTAAGTTTGTATGCAAATTGAATTTGTATATACGTTAGAAAGTCTGTTTTATAGGGAAGCCGGAAGGTAATAGACTATAACAGATTATATGTATGTAAATCCGTCTGTCTGTTTAATCGCGCATTACTTCTGGGCGGATGTCAAAGGATCTTATTACTGTAAAATTAATTGCCGGAATTAACATGGTTAAGTAGTTGATCTAATCCGCTGTACGCGCTCTATTCAAAGCGGGCTTCGGGGGGCATGATTAGCTGTTTCATGATTAGTTGTGGGCTAAGTGAAATAACGAACGCGGAAAAACGGCTATAGTAGTAGGCAGTAGCAAGTATAAATACATATGAAAGTTTATAGGGTACTTATAATAAAAAAACAATTAAAAAAAATTGTATGTCTGTTTGTTCCGGCTAATCTTCGAAACGGCTGGATCGATGTTGACAGGACTTCCACTGGCTGATAGCTGATGTTATAAGGAGTAACTTAGGATACTTTTATTTAAGAAAAAGCATTAGGGTACTACTCAAAAATATTAAAACCCATGAAATTGCGAAACAAAATCCGATAAATACTCGAGCGAAGCGAGGGTAAGTCACTAGTTTAACTATAATTAAATTTTATGACTAACTTTTTATTATGTTAAAAGAAAAAAAAAAGAATTCTGCTAATCGGAAGGACAATATGCACAGGAAAATCCCCTAATACATTGCTTACATTCGCCGTACGCGAATGGCTTGAGTCATCACGGACGGCCGTAAAATAAAAGTGTTTCCTACAATCTAATAGGAAAATGACATCATAATATTAAGGTAGTAAATAATTCAAACTAGATTTAAAATATTGTAATGTATAAGCATTTTAGGGCTCCAAAATGAAAAAAAACTGAACTAATAAGATTCCGTTTTTCCTTCTGGGTGTCGCTTGTGTGTCTGTTTGTCCGTGTCCATCGCAACCTATTTTTCCAGATCTACTGCATAGTATAAATTAAAATTTGGTATTCTATTACATACAGAGTGACCACAAGATTGATGCTTGCTGTAAATAAATTAATGTGGAGGTCAATTTTAGGGGTCAAATTAGAAAATATAAAAACAAAATTCAAGCACATCCTCAAAATAACCTCTAAAACTGTAGGTTATGGGGATTGTATTTTATTTCATGGAAAACTATAGCAAAAACTTCATATTGTTCATATTGTTGTGCATACAAAATTCAGGGCCTAATATGTACTTAACCATGCTGTCTGAAAAATGACATTATTTATTTCTGTTTGTTTGTAAGAACAAACAAAAATAAATAATGTCATTTTATAAAACAAATATAGATAAAACAATGATAAAATAAGTGTTTATGACTCTTTAATTTTGTTAAAAAATATATTAATGTCAAAATTGTAAGAAATTGAGTTCCTTATTTTTGCATTATATTTATTATAACATGATTTACACGAATTTGAGATGATTTAGTAAAAAATATAAACTACTAAAAGTAATATGTATGGCTTGTCCCATAAATATTAGAAAAGTAATATTTCTGACACATATTATGTAGTTAATTGTTAATCTTATACAATACTTACATACCTTAACTGATAAGAATGCTATAATAAGTGCCGCCACATCACTTAACATATGAAAAGAGTCTGCTACTAAGGCCATGGAGTTTGTCACGTAGCCCACTATAAGCTCTACTATAAAGAATGTGCCTGTCAGCCATAACATGGAGAGTAGGCGACATTTCTTCCCGGAGAATTTCCCCATGTTTGCTATAAAAATATATTAGCTATAATATTGATTTAAGCGTTTAAATTACATACTTTTTTAAATAGCTTCATATATAGCATAAATAGCTTCTATGTTTGTACCAACCATAATAAAATAAAATAATTGAATTAAAATAACTAAAAAAACCTATTAAAGTGTTAAATAGTAATTCAAAAATAAAATATTAAATAATTCTTACAAGATAAAATACTTGATTTTCAAAAGAATAAAAAGGAAAAAAATATTGTGAGTAAAATTTATCACAAAAAATTTATAGCATTTCACAATAAATATGCAATATGTACCTATATTTTTTGTGAAATTTTAAATATAGTCTATGATTAATAGAAATAATTATTAAGCATTTCATAAAATTGTATTAAAAAAAGATCAATGAAATCATGAAATTATCAATTAAATTTGATCCCAAATATTATTTCTCAATACTAAATATTGATAAAATCTACCTACAACTTAATGAACACTGTTTATACTTACAGGTTAATTTTTAAAATGGACAATGTTACCAGAACTTTTGGACAAAATTTGTTAGAACTTAGATACCATTTCTTAATGTTTATATATGTACTAGGTACTGTTTCTAATTGGCCAAAAAATCTTAAAATAGATTTCACATAAGTCCTTATCTAGCTCCAATAAATATTTTGATAACTATACAATGTTGCAAGATTTTTTTTAATATTGATATATATTATGAGAGGCTTAATTTCTTTATTTACGATCATAAAACTTTAATTTTATAATAAAATTAGTGAAGCAGTATATTTGATATTTCACTTACCGATAAATTAGACTATCCAAATAATATGGTGTATATCAGCAGAGCGAACCCATTAGGACTGTGAGTCAATACATTCACAAAATATGCATACTCATTTGACAATAGTGTAAGCTTCAGTATAATATCGATTCAATGTAATAACAAAGTAGAAACATAGAACACTTCCGATATCCAGAAAAGTAAACATTTAAGACGCGTGTGCAAATTGATAACAAACCACTTTTCTAATAATTCTACGAAATTTCCCGTAAAACAATCCAAGAGAAAATATTTTACGTGAAGGTTGGGTCCTGAAGAGCACTATAATTTTGTTATAAATTTTTTGTTTCAGTTAATGAAATAAATAATTTATGTCACTAAAAGAAGGAATAATAATTAGATTTTATTCCTTTATATGAATTTGAAAATTCTGCTCATATTTAAAGCTGAATTCGTACTCGGTCGACTGTTCGTCTGCATTTAACTGTCAAACTCAAATTGTGCAGAACCAAAATGAAGCCCATTCAATTATAAATCGGATACTCTACCGTAAATTGTAATCAAACTATAAAATAAGCATATTTCTGTTAAAAAGTATGTATTTATTTTTAATTTTAGAAGTCCTATTTTTATTTCTAAAGCTACATTGTTAAACATTTTAATTTTCTATCGACTTGTTTTATCCTTCTTTATTAATATAAAGGGCATTGTCATGAATCATGAAGATTTTTCTTATAAAATAACCTGTCGTGTCGACTAAAGTTTTATTTTTAAAAACTTTTTATCATGCATTATCAGTTATTTGAACTATTTGCTCACATATCAAAAATTATAGTATGTACAACAAAAATTGTGGCGAATTCTATCAAATACATTCTTGTAATCAGCATGTCGTCTTGAGGTATATCAGCGAGAGTGTAGCCATCATAAGCAACAGCTGTTTTAACATCAGTCATAACTCATACTCATTTATTAACTGTGGTTAATAGTTATTGGTTAATAACATAATGTCATTTTTAATTTTTTCGCAAAAAGACAAACTCGAAAATGTTTCAAGTTGATGTTCGGAAAAATTGGATCAAAGTAAATTGTACGTAAAATATGATTATATTCTCAAACGATGATATTTCTTGTGCTTTAAATCCCCGTAGTAAAATAAATCTTTGTTTTTAATAGGTTACATAAACAGTTAAAGAGCATAACTTATAAAACAGAATATTTGTTTTTAAAGTGAATATGAAGATTATTAGTAAAACTGCTTCTCTAATGGGTTATGTTTTACGTGCTGCTTGTATAACTCATTGTACCCTCGAATACGGTGGTGACCTAGTCATGGTAAGTTAGAAAACAATGATAATTCTAAAATACTATAAACCTACTTGCGAACATAACCTTTGTATTCTGTATAAAAATTTGCATTATACCTACTTATGTATATTTACAAATTATAAATAACAATAATCATTTATGTGGTTCAATTATTATTATTATGCCTATATTGTCTTATCTTTATGTTACAAAAATTTATATAATTCAATATTTTAGTGTTCTGGACCATCCATGGAGCCAACATTAGAAACAAACAATATATTATTTACTGAACATATAACTCCAAGATTACAAAGATTAAGAAAAGGCGACATCATAATAGCTAAGTGTCCTACAGATCCAAAACAGAATATTTGTAAAAGAATAACTGGTTTGCCTGGTGATAAAGTAAGAGGACATTTTCCTAGAGGAAGTCAAATAGTTCCTAGAGGGCATGTGTGGTTGGAGGGTGATAACTCCAGCAATTCTAAAGACTCTAGAATATATGGTCCAGTGCCACAAGGTCTGATCCGTGGTAGAGTAGTGTGCAGAGTGTGGCCTCTAAATAAAATAAGTTCCTTGACTGAATATTGACCTATGTATATTGTAATTTAGAATTATTTTTGTTAAATGAGGTTTGCCTTCCACATTTGTAAATAATAAATATTGTTGTTATAAATTAATGATTTTGAGACTTATTTATCCAATGTTTCATTTTTAGATATGTACATTAAAATGTCAAAATTTACACAATGTTTTGCATAATCTTTCTGAGAATGAACAAAGTATTTAATTTATAAAACCTTTTAGCAAAAGCACAAATCTTTTTCTAGTATTTAGTAGTTAGTACATGAAACACTTATATTGCAAAAATCTGCAGTATAGAACCAAGTTTGAGTAATAAACATACATGTTACACACACAGTATGTACATACAAATTTTATTTTCATTTTATACATATTTATTTAATATATTGAAGAGCATTAATACCAAGTTTCAAGCAATTCTGATCATAAATATTTGTTTGTGTTGTATTATAATGTGTTTACCCGTGGGAATGAGATGATCTCCCGCATTAAAGTAGCCTCTATCACTCCACCCCTTAAAATCACACCTATCCGTCACTATTTCGACGTGAAAAGGACAAAGAAACAAACACACTTTCACATGATATTAAGTATGTATGGATAGTATGGATATTATTCTGTACATTAATATATATTTTAATTTCGTCAAGAGATGTTTCATGGGGCGTAGCGGCGTAGGGGAGGCGATTATATAACAAAAACATAAAATATACATAAATATTTATTCTTAATAAATTAATTAAATTGTAGTAATATTATACATTATGATTTATTTCAATTGTCGTAATAGATTCTGGCTCCATTGTAATTAATACAAATCTCTGAAGCGATGTTGCTATTCGGACGTTAACTTCGAAAGTGTTTCTGCAATAAAAACAGGTCAATTTTTAAATATACATAATTTTATTTTTAACTAGCGACTCACCCTCGCTTCGCTTGGGTTCGTCCTTGATTCCCCATACAAAGTTTCATCCCCATTTTCACTCCCTTAAGGGATGATTTCTAGGATAAAAGTATCCTCTGTCCTTCGCAGGGTTTCAAACTTATCTTCTTACCAAATTTCATCTAAATCGGTTCAGTAGATCCAGACATTACCCCCTATAACGTCACAAACTCACATATTCTCACAAACTCGCAAACTTAACCTCTTTATAATATTAGCATAGATTATACGATTGTCATAATTATATTCGAGATAAGAAGAAAAATAATTATAACTAAACGTTAATTAAAATCAAAGTAACTTTTTGAATAGACGTTGAAAAAGTTGCTTAGGGTGTAGGTACTTGAGCTAAGTGCAACCCACTCTGGGTTGCAAGTAAAATAAATAAATATGAATGAAGGCAGCGCTAGCACAGTGGTAACGCTTTCGTTTGGAAAAAAGTGAAGCAGGTTAAAATCTGAGGTTTCCTATATCTGATATTTTGCACGTGCGAGTTATTTTCAACATGATTACCACTTCGGTGTTTTTACTTCACCCTGAATACCACGATGTCTGAGGGAACCTAACTGGTTTTTGAAACACTTAAGAAGTACGCTAATTTCCTCCCTTGACTAATTTGGGCTATGGCCTGATCCCTTTCGCATTGAAAGGAAGTCGGTCTTTAACAGTGAACGTTAAAACGACTGAATGAAAAATTTCAGAATACTCACGTATTATGTAGAACCATGACAATATTGCCTGCAGGAGTTATAAAGGCAACATTATCGACATGCCCCAAACTATATCGTAACACCTCAACCCTTTGAGATCCTCTCGGAATAAACTTTGAGAAATGGCCCATAGCATAAAACATAGGTTGTTTTATAAACTCATCCCTATCCCCATACACAAGGATTGGGGCGTCGACGTAATTATGAGCCCAATTTGGGCCGCCATTTTCATCCAGGCAAAGGTTCCAATCTATCCAGCCAACGACGAAATTATTTAAATCCTTGAAAATAAAAGCATGTATTTAAATGAAGAGTTTCTTATTTATACCAGGATATGCAAAGTTATATTGTATTATATAATGTACTAGCTACAATAAAATTAAAAAAAATATATGAATTTTACATCAATAATGTGTCTAGTGTATCTGCCCGCTCGTTCCCAAGATCCAGTCTTCACTTGCATTACATCCCAAGGCATCGAACCTGAAAAGTTGAATATTTGTGGCAAATTAGAAGTATTTGTAGCTTCATCATCAAGTCTAAATCTATACATTAATTTTTTTTTGGAAATTCTTATTGAAGTAGTTATTATTATCAATACAGAGGCCGAATCTATAATTTTTTAGAATTTTTGTCTGTCTGTCTGTTACCGCATCAAGATAAAAACCACCGGACAGATTTTGATGAAATTTGGTATGATGATAGCTGGGATAACCAGCTATTCCAGGGTTAACATAACCTAGAGTATTTTTTACTGCGGAAAAATATCTCAACTCTGAGAAAAATCTACGAGTATACTAAACGTTAAATAATATTAATAATTAAAAAAATATTTACCTACATAATATTTTTTGTTTTTTTTTTACAAATACATATAATATTAAGATTGGATTATTAATCGTTGTAGGGAATTGATATTTTTAAAAACTTAGTATTCATTACACACCCTCACAAGCCTCCGTAGCTAACAGAATTTTATCAGGATATCTTCTTTGTATGTTTGATAGGATGCTCGCAGGAATAAAGTTCCCATAATAATGTACTGCGATACCGTCGATGTATTCTATTGATTTCGGATCTGCTTCTGCCATCTATAAAAATATTTCAGTAACAGTAAGAAAATATTTTTCATTTATATAATCATAATCTGCAATAGCCTAAGCAAGATTATAATTTATAACTACTGTACAATTCATAAATTACGTAATATAATATTTAATAGGTAATTTAAAACTTTGTACTTTTTTCTAATCTTACTTTTATGTTTTATATAATTTAAGAATACTTACTCCCCATAAATAAAGATCAATAAAATATCGCTGATCATCAACAGCCAAAATGAGAGTTTTGTTGAAACGGGAGTTCCTTATTGTAGGACCAAGATTATTGGCGACCCAACGACCCTGCAAATTGGTGATTAGTAAAGCAATGGAGACAGTAATATTGTTTTATAAATTATAATAATAAAGGAAAGAGTTTTTAGGCAGACGAAAGTAAAAGTATACTTACTTAAAATGAATTATTATCCTAATATTACCTAAATGCATAATTTTGTTTATACATAACTAGCGACTCACCCTCGTTTCGCTCGGATTCGTCCCTAGGTACGTCCCTCGTACGTTATAACGATTAGTATGAAATACAAATCTTTGAATTTCTCGGCTTTTCTGTACTAAAATATGGATGTATTATACATATTATAAATCTTCCTCTTGAATCACTCTATCTATTAAAAACAAATCGCATCAAAATCCGTTTCGTAGTTTTAAAGATCTAAGCATACATAGGGGCAGACAGACAGCAGGACTAACTAACTAACTAACTATGTAAAATTATTGATATGTAGAGGACACTTATCTGACATCATAATTATCGTGATTCATAATCCAATGATAATCTATACATATAATAAAATTCCAACTAAGTCGAATCTGTACATTAACTATTTTTTGGAAAATCTTATTGAAATATACATTACTATCGATGTAGAAGCCGAATCTATAGTTTTTTAGAATTTTTGTCTGTCTGTCCGTCCGTCTGTCCGTCTGTCTGTCTGTTACCGCATCACAGAAAAATCACTGGAGGGATTTTGATGAAATGGTATGGTGATAGCTGGTTATCCAGGTCAACATATAGGATACTTTTTACCGCGAGAAAATGTCTCATTTCTGAGAAAAAATACAAATATGTATATAGGAGTTTATTAATATGTAAAACCTAAGAATTTGGTTTTTGGTCATCTGAACGCGGGCGAAGCCGCTGGAAATGCTAATTATAATATATAAGTATTATGTCTTATAAGCACTGTATATTATCAAAGGTCACGACTTCAACTTCTACCTGGGGGGTTATATTTGGACTGATCATAGTGGTGCTTATTCCAGCCTGATTAAGATGAGATTTACAAAAAAAAATTGTACAATATTATAAAGAGGTAAAGTTTGTGAGTTTGTGACGTTGTAGGAGGTAATCTCTGGATCTATTGAACCGATTTAGATGAAAGGTAAAAAAATAGTTTGAGACCCTGGGAAAGACATAGAATATTTTTTATCCCGGAAATCATTCATAAGGGGGTGAAAATTGGGATGAAAGTTGTATTGGGAAGCTAACTACGGACGAAACCGAGCGAAGCGAGGGTGAGTCGCTAATAAAAGATAAAGTGGGAAGGGTGTACTATGTCATTCTGCCTTCGCCGAAAGGGAAGTAAAAAAAAGATATAAAAAAAATAAAAGTAGTTAAATCTTATTAATTAATATGTGAAGTTTTTTTATTCTTACCATGTCTCCTGGGAACCAACCCAAAGAATTGAAATCCGCAAAAGGTATGATCCCGTTTATGGGTTCATTAGTTGTAGTAATCGCCCAAATATAGACTTCCGCTTTCTCATACTCTTCCATGAATCTATGTCGAGGGAATTAACATTTTTGTCGTCAATTTATTTTCTATATTTGCTTTAAAATGTGTAGTTCTTGGAGCACGTAATCCTTATAAGAATATAAGTAGATGTAGGTAGTACGAAATTTGACGATACGTTTGGCTCAGTTTATAGTGACCCTACTAGCCGTGCCAGCGGTCGCGGGTTCGATACCCGCTGGGGGCATTCATTTGTGTGATGAGCACGAATGTTTGTACACTAGTCATGGGTGTTTATATTTATAATATATATGTATTTAAAGTTACATATGTGGTATAATTTTTATGGAGTATTATTCCAAATATAAAAAAGCTTATTTTTCTTCTGCATATTTTCGTATCCTTAAAAATTACTTTGTGATTTGTGCATATTTTAATCTACGCTTCTTTAACGACATGTATATAGTGTAGTAGCCGTAAAAGTATTGAGCAAATTGTGATTTGACCTGACTGACAGAAATTAGGATTGTAATTTTTTGGTTTAGCATACACTTAACAAACACAAATTTTCAGTTCACTTACCGTACGTGATAATCAGCATAGGTTTGATAGAATTCATGTTTAAGTTGAGCAAAGCCTGTAATGGCTTCATTAGTCTTCATCCACACCGGTGGCGACCAAGTACTTGCAGTCACTTTTATTTCACTAGTAGCTGCCTCTTGACTTTGTTTTATCATTGGTAGCTAGAAAGAAATATTATCGAATTTTTAATTGATAATCGATTAATCATATAATGTGATAAGCGTTACGATTTTGTCATAATCATAAACTCAGATTAGATGTCAGTTACAGAATATATTATACGTCACCTCTACTCTCAATAACTTTACTCAATTTTGTTACTAAAATGTTTTAAAAAATATATATTTTAATATATGCTGATATATGCAGCTTCACACATATAGGTACAAATGTATATGATATTCGTAATATGGGATCCTAAGTTTATCATTGGATCTATTCGATCGATTGTAACTTAGTTTTTTTTAATTATGAAACATGATCGTTCTAGACCTGTATTTTGTAATAATTAAACAATTTCATTCATAACAATAATTCAGCGTTATTTATATTCTAAAACTAAGAGGTAGGTAGGTATCCTATATCTAAATCTGTTTACGGACTTTCATATTGCGAACATTAATAGGATTGATTGATTAGTATGGAAGTTATTTACCTACCTTATAAAAATAATCTTCGTCAGTCAAGGAGAAATTAGAAAGAGCCTTATCGTTCCGAGGGTATTCGTTATACGTGTAGGGATGCGTAGAGAAGTCCGCGCCACCTATCGGTACTCGAATTAAATTGTATTCCAAGCCTTCTCGACTGAAGTACGAACTAAAAAAATCTTTTTATTATAACTTTTTAAATTATCGCGTTTCGTAATTGTATAATAAGTACACTAAGGGACATAACATGTGAGTCCTTACACTATTTAAGTGTTTAAAAAAAATCAGAAAGTGTTATAAAAGTATTAAAAACTAGCGGCTCACCCTCGCTTCGCTCGGGTTCACCTCTAGGAAAGCACAAACAGATCTATCCCACGCAAACCGTTCATTTTTCCAAGATGAAAAGTAACCTGTTGTTTGACTGGCAATATAAGGTATCAGCATGCAAAATTTTACTAAATTAGGTGCAAGTTTGTTGTGTACTAAGCTGTATGAGTTACTACAATTTTTTAACTATCCCACGGAAACTCTTTAATTTTCTGGAATAAAAATTATCTTAGACGTTGACCGGGGATATAAGGTACTACCATGCAAAATTTCACTTAAATCGGTTCAATAGTTTCGGAGATTAGCCCGTTCAAACAGACAGACAGACAAACAGAGAAACAAAAAAATTGAAAAAAATTGAAAAGAACTGGATTTGTTCTATTTCTCTTCTTTCGGAATGTAAGAAGAGAACTGACTCGGTTTTTAGCATTTTTTTTCTAACCTGTACAGTTTTATTATATGTGTAGATAGAATAAATAACGTATAATAAAACAGTAATATATAATAATCAAAATAGTTATAGCGAGTGTTCCTTAGGAGATAGACATATACTATGTAGAACTTTTCTATAGCCCTTTTTAAGACTTACATTTTCTTGCACAATGTTTTGATCTATCTTTTAAGGTTGAGCCAAAGTTAGCCATATAAATTTCTAAGGACGATTCGATAGAACCAGTTATCGTGTTTTCCCGTGGGAATAAATAATTTGCCTGTCGGAAAAGGTATCCTATATGTTGACCCGAGTACTAAGTTTTATCACTATACAAAATTTAGTTAAAATCGGTTCAGTACTTTTTGCGTGAAACGCACACATCGATTTGGCCAAGTTAGTTTTATCTATATATATAAAAGAAAGTCGTGTTAGTTACTTCGCTTATAACTCAAGAACGGCTGAACCGATTTAGCTGAAAATTGGCAGGGAGGTAGTTTAGAGCCAGGAGAAGGACATAGGATACTTTTTATCCCGTTCGACCGCGTTCCAATTTTTATGATATTTTAATTTTGGATTTCTCTTAGTCCGGAATAGGTAAGTATTAAAAACATATAATTAAAATGTGAGAAAGAAAGATTTTTTCTTTTTATATCTATTTAAAACGTACCTAGCGACGAACCCGAGCGAAGCGAGGGTGAGCCGCTAGTCTATATATATAAAAGAAAGTCGTGTTAGTTACTTCGCTTATAACTCAAGAACGGCTGAACCGATTTAGCTGAAAATTGGCAGGGAGGTAGTTTAGAGCCAGGAGAAGGACATAGGATACTTTTTATCCCGTTCGACCGCGTTCCAATTTTTATGATATTTTAATTTTTGGATTTCTCTTAGTCCGGAATAGGTAAGTATTAAAACATATAATTAAAATGTGAGAAAGAAAGATTTTTTCTTTTTATATCTATTTAAAACGTACCTAGCGACGAACCCGAGCGAAGCGAGGGTGAGCCGCTAGTTATACGTATAGATAAGAATAAATATTGCGAGTGTAACTTAGGAGATAAACATATACAATTCAAAACTTTTCTGTAGGACTTTTCAAGACATACAATTTTTAGTAAATTGTTTTGATGTATGTATGTCTTAAGGCTTAGCCAGCGGAAGGTTTCTAGGGAGGACTCGATAAAACCAGTTATCGTATTTTCCCGTGGGAAAGAAAGATTTTCTTGAAGTAAAAGGTATCTAGGCAGTTGTTAATTGTTTCCCAGTAGTAACGCGCTCGTTTGGGAAACCGAGTGAAGCAAGTTCAAATCCCGGATCTCGCACCTGTAATATTTTCATGTACGAATCATTTCTAACACAATTACCATTTGTCTTAACGGTGAAGTAAAACATCGTGAGGAAACCTAGCAAGTTTTCAAAGGACATGTGAAGTCCGCCAACCCCAACCTGCATTTGACCAGCGTGGTGGATTATGGCCTGATCCCCCTCGTATTGAAGGGAGGCCCGTGCCCAGCAGTGAGACGTTAAAAAGGGCTGAATACATACATACATACAAAAGGTATCCTAAATGTTGATTCGAATAATAAGTTATCACTGCACCAAATTTCGTTGAAATCGGTACATTACTTTACGCGTGAAACGCTCACGCAAAAACAGACAAACAGAAATACAGGCAAACAGACATTTTTTTAATAATTATTGTTTTGGGGTCTATGTTGTATACATAATACGTTACAAATAAACAAAAACATCTATCCCAAGGGAACAGTACATTTTTCCGGGATAAAAGGTAAACTATTTGTTATTCTGATGTATGAACTATATATATTATTGTAAAGTTTCATCAAAATCCAATCAGTAGTGTTTGTGTACTAAGCTGTATAAGTTACTATAGTTTTTGACTATCCCACGGAAACTCTTTAATTTTCCGGGATGAAAAGTAGCTCATTAGTTTTGGTCATGTATGAACTATATTATTGTAAAGTTTCATTAAAATCCAATCAGTAGTTTCTGTGTAACTAAGCTGTATAAGTTGTTATAGTTTTTTAACTATCCCACGGGAACTCTTTAATTTTCCGGGATGAAAGGTATCTAAGATGTTGACCGGGGATATAAGGTACCACCATGCAAAATTTCATTTAAATCGGTTCAATAGATTCGGAGATTAGTCCGTACAAACAGAAAAACAGACAAACAGCTCGCTCGGGTTCGTCCATACCTACGAATATGTTGTATTATCTCTTTAACCATTTGTCCAAATTATATGCAGTAAAAGGGAAAAGTCTTTTGTTTTAAACATTTTAGACGATAAATTTACTTATTTTGATAAGAATTCATAATTGTTGATAATATGACCAATAAACATGACCTACCGATTTAAATTATTTTTTTTATATAAAAAACTACTTTTTGTGACTTAAATATAAAAGTTAGACATACGCTGTCGCTGACTTTTTTGTAGGCATTAATAAGCTCTACAACTTTTCTCTAGAACATAATCATATATCTCTCGTCGTTAAGGCAGCGTTCGTAAGAAACGTTTTTTCTCCGACTTACTTTGCAAATCCGACTACCACGAATAAGCCTTGTCATTCTTCGGGTTAATATATAGCCTATGACACTCAGAAAGAACGTGGCTTTCTATTGGTAAAAGAATTTTGAAAATCGGTTCAGTAGATCCAGAGATTACCCCCTACAACGTCACAAACTCACAAACTCACAAACCCACAAACTCACAAACTCACAAGATCACAAACTTTACCTCTTTATAATATTAGTATAGACTAGCATTACCCGCGGCTCCGCCCGCGTTCAGATGACCAAAAACTAAATTCTTAGGTTTTACATATTAGTATACTTACATTGCAGTTTTTGTATTTTTTCTCAGACATGAAACATTTTCCCGCTGTAAAAAGTATCCTATATGTTGACCCGGATAACCAGCTACCATCATACCAAATTTCATAAAAATCCCTCTAGTGGTTTTTCTGTGATGCGGTAACAGACAGACAGACAGACAAAAATTCTAAAAACTATAGATTCGGCCTCTGTATCGATAATAATGTCTATTTCAATAAGATTTCCCAAAAAATATTTAATGTACAGATTCAGCTTAGTTACAATTTTATTATATGTATAGATATTTAATGTGAGGTTATGACAACTATATAATTATATTATTAGGAACATACTGGCTCAGAAGACGTGGCGAGATATAGAATAGAGAGATTTGCTTTTTACATGCTATAAAAATAGTAAGTAATAATTTATTTGCTGATTTCAATATAGGTAGGTATAGGTGGTATTTACTATCTACATAAATACATATGAGTGACAAAAAGAGTGAAGGACATAAGGGCAATTAATAGCAATATCTTATAATACTTTCTTAGATTTACGCGAATATTTGACATTTTAAATAAAACAATATTTTTTTGGATTTATTTGCATTTTTGACCATGGATGCTGTAAAGCATTCGAAACGTCGGGAAACAAAAATGCAAATAAATCCGCGACAAAATCCGAAAAGATAGTTTTATTTAAAAAGCAATATCTTACATTTCCTCAAGTTATTTAAAAACTATTTAATGTATATTTATGATACTTGAAAAGACCAACACATTTTTTTTAAATCGGGTTATCCATTTAAAAATAGGTATATACCTATTATCATTTGAGATAATTATAAACAAGCCCTTATGTGCGATTAATACTAAGCCAGTAGTACATTTGCACTAATTAACAAAATATAATTAATAATAAAGATACGAGTAGTACTTGTCGATTATATCTTATAAAGATAATTAATTCTTACATGGCACACAATAACAATGCCAATGACTAATTATTTGCTACAAATGATAAAACTTTCATTGATTTTGAACGTACCAAGTAGATAATGAAAAAATATAGGTACTAAAAAGTTAAAGTTCAGTAGAAAAATTAATAAGTTGAATCATACTTAATAAGGTGCCTTTGTGTACGGTCGGATAATTTACGCCAATTGATAGACGCCGCATCTGTTACTGAGCCCCCAAATCCTTCCACAGTTTGGTATCTGTTGCTAGGATTTATTCTGTATGATGCCTCACTCCAAATATTGACTGTAAGGAACAAAACATTATATCTTTTAATTATATCAGAACTAGTTTTGCCTGCCTACAGCTATTTGCGCCTGCAAGATAAAATGGATGTTAATAGAATAAATTGTAGCGTCTGTTTGTCCCGATGAATTATAAGAAATTTCATCAATATTTGTTCAGCAGTGCGCAGCGTGAAAACGTAAAGTTTGACTAACAAACAAACAGATATTTCAACATTTATAATTTTATTATAGATTATAATAAATACAAACTCAGCTCGACGGGGGACTCTAATTTATAATAGTTAGTGATAATGATAGCAGATAGGTCCTATAAGTGAAGCAGAGAACAGTAAGGCATCCAGATCCCAGCTACAGTCTACATCAGTGTGCGTGATAGTTTATAAGTCAGACCTATAGACCCAAGATGTGTACCAATATACTTACATCTAATTTCCTCAATTTTTGGCGGTTTCTACAATATTTACTTACTTTAATTGTTTCTGCAAGAACATCAAAAGAACATATTAATTATACCTTATACATATAATAATATATAGGTACCTAAACAATTTCTTTATTCGCCGGTACTAACAATTTAAATAAAAACATTAATATAATATTAACTAGGTATAATGTGTTAACATATTTACTGTTATTAGATGAATTTAAAAGTTCTTCTCTTCGTATCTTGCTATTTATTCCATTATTTAAAGACGTGCTCCATATGGATCTGAGAATACCGCTACTTTTTTCAAAGCGTTTGCCAGCCTGTAATATAAGAATTAAAACGTTAACAATAGTGCATAATAAAATAGTGTAATTTCTTTTAAAATTATTATATCTAAAAAAAATATTATAATTATATATATCATCATCAGATGTATAATGTAAGATAGAGGAATTATATTTTTTAGGTGGTATGTAGGTGGTAGTAGGGTGGTAACCCAACGGTAACGCGCTTGCTTAGAAAATCAAATCAAGCGGGTTCAAATCCCGAGTGTCGCCTCTGAATTCTGATATTTTCATGTGCGAATAATTTTTCAAAATGATTATTACTAAAGTAAAGTCTGCCAAGCCACACTTGGCCAGTGTGGTGGATTATGACCAGTTCCCCCGTATTAAAGAGTGGCCCGTGCCTTCCGGTGGGACGTTACAAAGGGCTGGATAGAGGAATTTTTTTAGAACTTACTCGGCTACTCGTATAAGCGACATATGTCCCCCGAGCAGGTGCATCTCTTGTAATAGTATCGCAGTAAGTAGCGTTGCAAACGCATACCACCGACCTTCCTTCTATCCCTACATCGCGTGCGTTGCAAGGTTTATCTGAGAAAATGTTATATTACATAATTAAACGTTTTTTTTAAAACACATAATGGAAAATTATGGGAAATGCAGAAGATTAATTTAAAAAAATAGATTATTGTGAAATAAACGTTTAATGAAACGTCAAATAAAATTATTAAATGCACTAAATGTAAGAGTTCATTAAGCATTTGAAATGTATATTTTAAAATATATTCTTAAATTAAGTATATAATTTAAGTACTTACCACATCTGCCAATTATAAGTAAAGCTGATGTTACAGCAATAACAAATAAAATGTGATTTGTCATCTAAAAATAATTAAATTAATTTAGGTAAAAATATGTCTTTTTTTTTAACGTTGGGAAATGCATTTACGCACGAGGTGTGGGACTCACCGGCAAAGCCAGTACTACCCACTAAAGCCCAACAAAGCCTTCCTTTCATTTTCTCAGACCTAGGTAAGAATAGGTCTGAGAAAATGAAAGGTTGGTAGAAAGTTGTCCTCATCAGTTGTAGATCTTGTGTAATTAGTAGGGGTATTTACGCGCCAATGGAACGTGTTCTTTTTAGGTATGTATTAATTAATCCTCTAAACTCAATCATATATTTATTATATTGTTTTAATTAATATAGGCACTTAGTACTTAACTACCAACGTAACTACCAACTTCAATATTTTTATTATTTTGAGTCGGCTTAATATTTTTTTACCTTTATTATGAATATTGAAAAAATTATATAATTCAAAATAATATACCATATTAAATATAAATAACCTATGTAGGTATATATCATGTTCGCTTTAGTATTTGAATTTTTATTTGCAACGTGCCTAACGTAGTTTATTAATATACACATCTAAAACTTGTTATTAAAAACTATTTTAATAGCATACATTTTTACACTCTTTTTATTTCACTTAATTAATTCTTACGTAGATGATTGGTTTCTTAAAATCACATGAATGAAAACGGCTGTCATAGTCTTCGAGCAAGTTTCAATTTATAGAAATTACTAGCGGCTCACGCTCGCTTCGTTCAAGTTCGCCTCTAGGAAAAAAACAAACCTATCCCACAGGAACCGTACATTTTACGGGATAAATAGCCTATGTGTTATTCCAGACTATAATCTATCTCTGTGCCAAATTTCATCCAGATCCGTTCAGCCGTTGTGGCGTGAAAGAGTAACATCCATACTCACAAACTTTCACATTTATATTTATACAGATTTAAAAAAAATACACTACTTACCGCTGACCAATTAATCACTACTAATAAGTATCTAATACACCTAAAAGCTTTATCTTATTCTTAATACAGGTATGACACACGTTTGGGTCTTATCATTTCCATTTTCTATCCCTGATAATATAATCTTTTCTTTTAATAAGAAGAAATCTTAATGCATATTATCAATAATTACTAATTAGTACTTTTTGGGTCGATAATATCTGTACAAATTATTGTAAAGCTTATCTGGATTTTCAATGTTATTGTTGTAATCAAATCAAAATGTAAAATGTTCCTGCGCGGGGGTGGGTACCTACCAGTTTACTTACGCAACTATGTTTACTGCACAAGCCCATTTAAGTTTTTGGCGTAGATTTAAAAACTCTGTATTATTTCCGCTGCATCAAAATTCATTGGAATACCTAAGTTTTTAATTGGTCATTTTCTTTCTGATCAAACAAACAGACATAATTTTTTTCATTTTACTTTTTACATATATATATAATTATATAATATAAATACATAAATTAAAATATTTCACTGTATTTTTTTTAATTAAACAAACTTTAATATAGTATATCAGTAGGTAATATTATCGATATGAATAAATATCTAACAAAAATATAGGGCGAGGCAAATATTTTGAGTCAGATATTTGTGAATATATTTACGGGTGTATGTCAAAATAAGAGACACGTAATTTAAGAAGACAATATAATTAAATTTTCATACAAATCTTTAACGTAATTTATCTTTAAAATACTGTACACGCGTCGGCTCTCCTTGTAGGGGACCGTTTGCTAACAGAGTATGGAAATTATAAAACTGAGATTAGAGTAATAAAGAAACAAACGCAAATGATCATCTTCAAGGCGGCCGACTATATTTTTATTTTCATATTGATATGGCAGATTGTCGATATGAAAGACTTTTAGAAGCAAAAATCACTTAGAACTACAACTGAAAGAAATGCACTAAAATATACTTTATTTACACGAACTAATGTTATGCAAAAGAGCTCCAAGTTAACTTATAGCAAGAGTCGAGTTAATCTCATTTGAGTACATTTATATTATAATAGAATCACAACAAGACAGATCTCGCGCTTGTCTTACGATCGTTTCTACGAGCTCGTAGGGGAAGTGGGTGAATTTTCATTTAAAACAATATTTTCAAAACGAATCCTTTTAAACTTGTGATTTTGCAATTTTATTAATTATTTAAACTTGAATATACTTTGAAATCGCCCAATCCTCTAAGCATTCATTCGACGAGATTGACTCTGGAGACAAAGAAAAAGCTATAAAAGCAACAAAAATTAAGTCGATCTTAAGTACTAAGTGTTTGACAACTTCACCTACGATTTTGAACGACCATCGCCATATTAAAAATAAAACGCTTATAGCTAATCACTTTACAATTTATCTAATATAAATCTATGAAATAAATACAAAAATCTCTTATAATTAACTATTATAATATTTTCCTACCGCATGTCTTCAAATTAAACGCTACGTAATGCACATTAAGCCCTTCATAGACGATGCGATATGTCGTGCGATAAATCGATCGATTTGTTGTACAAAATATAGATTTATCGACCGTTAAAATGTAGTAGATGAAATTTAAAAAAAAAAGCTTTTAGACCAAAACATTAGAATGATTGGGACTTGCCATAACGAATTGAATGACTTTTAGCTTCATTAAATTAACTCAATGATATTAAATCACTGTCATCAGAATGAGTTAGTGAAGCTTATACAAGCAAAGCTAACATATAAATATATAGATAATATGTCATCATCTATGAAGGTTTTACCAATAAACTGAGACGGGAGGACCCTAAAAATATTTGACTAAAAGAGAGATCAAATCATTGCCACGTAACTAATGTAAAATAGAGCCGGCCATTAGAGGCGTGTGGCCGTTTGTACTCGGGAGCGGCCGGGCGGCGTGCGTGCGATACGAGATACAATAATTTTAAATAAAAAAAGGTAATTTTTTAGATAGGTATTATTATTATTATTGTTTTCTTAGATTTACGCGAATACTTAGTATAGACGAAACTGTCTCTTCGGATTTTGGAGTTTTCTTTTATGTTTTTGTTCCCGACGATTACAGCAAACAAGGTTACGGGAGAGATGTTTAAAAAAAAGTAAATGAAATATAACTGCGACAAAATCCGAAAAGGTAGATTAGATATCATTTAAAATGTCGAATATTGGCGTATAACTAAGAAAGTATTATGAGATACAAGTAAATAATTTCTTTTAATTAGTAACTTATACAAACTTCAAAATAACTTTGACAGTAAATATCCTATCCTTAAGACGGAAGCTACATACAAGATCACATAAAAAAAAACACATACACCCAAATTAAGTACCTCCTCTTTTTTTGAAGTCGGTGTTGCGTATCTCGCCTCGCATTAGTACGCCCATTTCGGTTTCGATAATCAATTAGAATTCTAACTAAATTGTTATTAACATGTTCACAGCAAGATATGAAGAAAAAATATGTAATATTACAATATCAACACAACGTTATTAATGATTTTGACTGCGACATAAATCGTACACAAAAAATAAATAATTTACTCATAATTCAATTGATTACAAAAACCAAAACGCCCATAATGTATGTATATAAAGTGAGTAAATAAACGAGTATATGTCAAACAAAGTAGTAAATACTTCTGGTAAGCTGCCATGTTAGTAAAAAGTAAATAAAGAACGCTATTTTGTAAATACACTGTAAAAAATATGATTTTAATAGCTATAAAATAAAAAAAAAGAAAAAAAGAAAAGATTATCTGTAAAAAAAACCTTAATTCCTTAAATTTCAATTCAGAGATCGTAAAAATTTAATCCAAAAACCAATATCAAGGGTATTCGAACGCTACCTACAGCTGTACATTACCTCCTCAATATATAACAATTTAACTTTACAATGAATTTTATGTACAATATTTTATGATGTGGCAAAGATTCAGTGGCAAAATAAAATACTTTAAAAGTAAAACCAAATACTCGTAAAACGCAATCATAATGCGAGCTAAATTAACATACAACCACATGAGAACGCCGATTGCTGAAACATGTATGTACAACTACATATATATTGTATACAAACTATATATTTAAAAAATATAAAAAAAAGAATAAAAAATATGATAATACTTCTTTAAGGCTTTTTTAAAATATGACTCTCTCTCTCTCTTCTTTATTTTATCCATCTTGGTTATTTTCTCGCTAGACAATATCTAGACCAATCTGAGTTGGATTTCTGAAGAAATATTATTCTTTTATATTCAGTTTTAACGTTTGGTCAGGTACATTTATATACTCAGTTACACCAGATAACTTTAAAATTAAACAGCACTCATACAATTTCGACATTAAGTTCAATATAATACGAATATCGATAGTCTCAGAATTATTGTCATATTAGTAAAATATGATGAGCAAATTGTTAAATAACCAATCAGCGTTCTCGAAACGACCTTGAGATTTGAAAAAAAAAGGACCACTCGTACTGAATCGTAAAACATCACTAACATCTTAACAACACTATACTTATACAAACTATTATTCACTGTATCCTACACTAAGGTTTGGTCCTTTCATTGCTTGTCTCTTTTTTTTTAGAAATACTTACAATACTTATAATATTTTAACTGCGAATTGTTTAAAGATGGCCGATTTTAGCTACCATGTAAATATAAATTCAGTAAAATCGATTATATTATTTATAATCGATGTTAAATCTTTCTAAAATATAATTTGTTTCGATAAATTATACGTGTTCTACGATATCGAACCCAACGAAAGGACCAAACATGCTCATTTATGTTAATGTAACATAATTATAGAGGCACTGTGTGTATTCAATTCTATATTTTTCTCCTTAACTTGATATTTTTACACATTAGGGTTGATATTGAATCGGACGAAAAATTTACAACTGAAAAAATAATATATCCATATAATAAGATAGTTATAAAAAAATCTTGAATCCACAGATTCGGGTGTTTAGAACTCTACCATAGATAAAAATTGAGCTATACATAAATTTTCATTTACAAAAATACTTGTAGCGTAATTTTCAGATCACATTTTTGAATCGCATCACTTTATGTATACAAGTACTGACGACGCGAGCGTGAGACTTTACCACTTTCTATGAAACATCTCCATATAACGCTTTATTTTTATAGCTAACTTACAACTCAATTTGCAGATTTTTTAAGATTACTTTTTTATTAAGAAATTGTATTGTAATTGTATATACAGCTGGAAGAAAAAAGAAGTTAAAAAGAAAGAAAAAATGAAAACGAAAATCTGATTTTAAGCTGTACATCAACGATCATTATAATCAAAATACCTTAAATAATCTGCAGATCGAACATCCCTGCTGAAAAACTCCAATAGAATCCCATCAAAAGCGACAAAAGCCACATAGAAACCAAAAAATATTTATTGGTTTCTATGTGGCTTTTGTCGCTATTGATAGGATTCTATTGGAGTTTTTAAACAGGGATTACAATTAGCATAGCGGATATGTTTTGAAATGGTGGTTGCTTCAACATTACACATTGCCATTCACACTAAAATAAAATGAAATATGATAAACCACTTAAATAATTAAAATTGTATACAACATTCATCACGTCAAAGATGCACAGATTAAAAAAAACAAGTTAAAAAAATAATTATACAAGTGGCAACCCTAACTCATTGTAGGATAGTGTAACGTTGGCAACACTGAGTGTATTAGAACAGTTCAGTCTTTCACGAGTCGGTAGATGTGATGCTGCGCGCCGTGCTCGCTGTTGGACACTTCGAACACGAAGGCCGCACATAATAACGTTTCTTGAGTATCTCTATTTGACACCACCTGAAAATAATTGTTGTTATTAGAGAACACTTCATTATATTCTTACTAGCAAAACCCGTGGCTTCGCTCGCGCTAAAACTACAAAAACGTAGGTTTCATGAAAACTTTGATCTCCTATTTTACTCCCTTAAGGGACGAATTTCGAAAAATGATAAAAGACGTATTTATATAAAAAAATTTGGGTTGTATTATAATGTGTTTTCCCATGGGAATAAGATAATCCCCCGCGGTAAAAAGTAGCCTATGTCACTCTCCAGCCCTCCAACTATCTCCACACAAAAAATCAACGCCTATCCGTCACTCCGTTTCGACGTGAAAGAAGGGCATACAAACAAACGAACACACTTTCACATTTATAATTTTAGTAAGGATTGGTTTAATTTGACATTTTAAATAAAACTAACTTTTTGGGATTTTATCGCGGATTTATTTCGATTTTTGGTTCCAGACGTTTAGAATGCTTTACAGCAATCATGGTCACTGGAGAGACTAAGGTTTTAGACAGTTGTTACAGACACCCTCTGTCCACAGAATTGTACAATAATTTTCAAAAAAATGGTTTATTTTGTGTTTGCCATGATATTATTATCGTAATAAAAGAAGATACTGATTACCTGTATAATATTAAAATCAGACTTACTAGATAGATATTTAAAAAAAACGCAAAAGTCGAAGAAATAGTTTTATGTAAATTGTGACTCATATGATTCGTTAACATTATTTAAATTGGATTATATTATACTTTCTTAGATTTACGCGAATATTTGACATTTTAAATAAAACTATCTTTTCGGATTTTGTCGCGGATTTATTTGGATTTTTGTTTCCCGACGTTTCGAATGCTTTACAGCATCCATGGTCACGGGAGAGACTGAGGTGTTACATGTCTTGAATGTATAGTTGTTACAGACAGCCTACCCACAATTAACAAAATGAAAATTGCACCAATTACATTACAATATTTTTTAACTTTAAACATTTTTATAATTTTAATTATAATTGAATATGGAAAATTATTTATTTAATTTTGCTATTATTTTTATAATTATTACAATTTTAAAATATTAATTAGTAATCTATATTTAGTGTTGCCATTATTATATTTATAACCATAAAGAAAAATATAAAATGTAGTATTAATTATTAAAGCCATATAATTGTTCTATGTATAATTTAAAAAGTTAAAATTAATTAAGGATAATAATTTTAATTTATTTTGCTATTATTTAAAAACAACTTACTAAGCAACACTATTAATATATACTTTTACAAATGAAAAATGAAAAATATTAGTCTGATAAGCTGTCATTTTGATCTACACAGTATGAACTTACTACATCTGCCTGTCTGTTATGTTTATATTTATTATTTGATTTTATTATATTAATAACAGGATCCCATGACGATGGTAGTACCCAGCCATCTTCCCTATTGAAATTAGGATGTTTTTTAATTTCTATGGCTTCTCGAATCATTCTAGGGCGATATCGGTTTTCTTTCGCCAGGATTTGAGGTCTATCGAAGCGAATATAATGGCTTGGGCGGTCCTGACTATGTTTGCAGACAGCAGATGTTGTATTGCGACGGTGCTTCACATCAGCTATGTGTTCTTTGACCCGGGTTCTAATGGATCTCTTTGTTTGTCCGATGTAAGAGAGCCCACAATCACAATCAAGCTTGTAAACTCCTGCATCTTGTAGAGGGATGTGGCACTTGACAGGTGGTAGAAACTGACTAATTTTCTTTGGCGGCTTGAAGTAAGTTTTAATTGAAGCTCGCTTTAGAATGTAGCCAATCTTGTCTGCAAACATAGTCAGGACCGCCCAAGCCATTATATTCGCTTCGATAGACCTCAAATCCTGGCGAAAGAAAACCGATATCGCCCTAGAATGATTCGAGAAGCCATAGAAATTAAAAAACATCCTAATTTCAATAGGGAAGATGGCTGGGTACTACCATCGTCATGGGATCCTGTTATTAATATAATAAAATCAAATAATAAATATAAACATAACAGACAGGCAGATGTAGTAAGTTCATACTGTGTAGATCAAAATGACAGCTTATCAGACTAATATTTTTCATTTTTCATTTGTAAAAGTATATATTAATAGTGTTGCTTAGTAAGTTGTTTTTAAATAATAGCAAAATAAATTAAAATTATTATCCTTAATTAATTTTAACTTTTTAAATTATACATAGAACAATTATATGGCTTTAATAATTAATACTACATTTTATATTTTTCTTTATGGTTATAAATATAATAATGGCAACACTAAATATAGATTACTAATTAATATTTTAAAATTGTAATAATTATAAAAATAATAGCAAAATTAAATAAATAATTTTCCATATTCAATTATAATTAAAATTATAAAAATGTTTAAAGTTAAAAAATATTGTAATGTAATTGGTGCAATTTTCATTTTGTTAATTGTGGGTAGGCTGTCTGTAACAACTATACATTCAAGACATGTAAACACCTCAGTCTCTCCCGTGACCATGGATGCTGTAAAGCATTCGAAACGTCGGGAAACAAAAATCCAAATAAATCCGCGACAAAATCCGAAAAGATAGTTTTATTTAAAATGTCAAATATTCGCGTAAATCTAAGAAAGTATTATGTGAACCAGTACGGACTGGAAATCGCAAACCAAATACGCCGGTTAGAAGATCTGAAGACAAAGCGCGCAAGATTATTAACATCTTTAACATTCTTGAAGAGATGTCGGGATCATCGTCTCATTCCTACGTGTGTGAAAATATCATCTAAAAAGAACATACGGGGAAGCGCCAAGATCGTTAACAAGGCAAGTTTTAAGTTGTTACGGACGGTGATTCGTCAAACCCGCCGTGATCTACGCAGTAACGACCGGTACGTAGAACAAACGTCCCTTAATATAAAGACAGTATTGACACCAAGTGATTTCAATGATTGCATTGAAACTTTAAATAAGCGCGAAACATCTAAATTTAACCAATGCAAAAACAAACATATATCAAAATACCAAAAATTAGTCGAGAAATATAACATCAAAAAGAAAACCAAAAACAATAACGGAACGCGCCCGTCTACCACAGTTTCAAATTCGTGCGTACGTCAAGCAGTTGTCAATCTGTCAAAACAAACATTGGACGAATCTACTATTCAAGTACTAAGTAAAGGCTTAAATTTTGCTGTTGCGCCGACACGCATCCCTTATGAGAACATTATTTGTGCGGTTGAAGATGCCCTGGCCAAAAATACTATGAAATCTGAGGATATGGAGGCCATACGTCAAGATGTTTCATCTTTGTTACGTCGTAGTTCAAGGCCCAAACCTAATCTCAACAAACAACAGTATTTAGCGTTGAAGAACTTACGCAGCAGGTCAGACATTATCATACTACGCGCAGACAAGGGAAATGCCACCGTCGTGATGGATACATCAGATTACAATGAGAAAATTAAACAACTTTTGTCGGATGAAAGTACATATAAAAAGGTCAAAACAGACCCAACCACCACTGTGTTAAATAATACTAAAAAGCTGATTAAGAAACACTCCGATGCATTGAATCTTGATGTCAAAAATCTTGTTCCATCTTGTGCAAAGCCGCCTAAACTGTATGGACTTCCAAAGATACACAAACCTAACGCTCCGCTACGTCCAATTGTGAGTCAAATCGACACACCGACTTATAAATTGGCCCAACTAGTAGCGAAAGTACTCTCAACACTCAGAGGACAAACATCAGCGTTCACAAGGGACTCGTACCATTTTGTCAATGAGATAAAACACCTACAACTCATGGACAATGAAACTATGGTCAGTTTTGATGTACAGTCTCTATTCACCAGCCTACCAGTAGAGGACTGTGTCAAAATAGTATCAAGAAAGCTACGGGATAATAGTATGCAAGAAGAATACACTGAACTTTTGAAACACTGCCTTACATCTGGCTATCTATTGTGGAATGATGAATTCTACAAGCAAGTGGATGGAGTGGCCATGGGTTCGCCGGTCTCTCCCGTTGTAGCTGACATCTTCATGGAGGCCTTCGAGGAGACCGCCCTAAAAACATCACCTGTGACCCCTCGTTTCTACAAGCGGTATGTAGATGACACTTTCACAATATTACCATCTGATAAAATATCTGTATTCTTAGAACATCTTAACTCCATAAACCCTAAAATACAATTTACAATGGAATTGGAGTCTAATAATTCTTTAGCTTTCTTAGATGTATTAGTTATACGTAACCCAGATAACACCTTAAGTCATACTGTGTATCGAAAGAAGACCCATACTGATAGGTACTTGAATGGTGAATCTCACCACCACCCTTCACAGTTAGCTACCGTGGGAAAATCTTTGTTTCAGAGGGCACGCGGGATCTGTGACGAGCAACACCTGGCCGGAGAGCTGCAACATGTCAAGCAAGTTCTGCGAGACAACAAGCTGCAAGTGCCGCGCCTACGTCACAGGGACCGAGTGAAACCAGCCACAGTCGAGCGCGTCCCTGCAGTCCTACCTTACATGAGAGGCGTCACTGACAAGATTGGCTACATTCTAAAGCGAGCTTCAATTAAAACTTACTTCAAGCCGCCAAAGAAAATTAGTCAGTTTCTACCACCTGTCAAGTGCCACATCCCTCTACAAGATGCAGGAGTTTACAAGCTTGATTGTGATTGTGGGCTCTCTTACATCGGACAAACAAAGAGATCCATTAGAACCCGGGTCAAAGAACACATAGCTGATGTGAAGCACCGTCGCAATACAACATCTGCTGTCTGCAAACATAGTCAGGACCGCCCAAGCCATTATATTCGCTTCGATAGACCTCAAATCCTGGCGAAAGAAAACCGATATCGCCCTAGAATGATTCGAGAAGCCATAGAAATTAAAAAACATCCTAATTTCAATAGGGAAGATGGCTGGGTACTACCATCGTCATGGGATCCTGTTATTAATATAATAAAATCAAATAATAAATATAAACATAACAGACAGGCAGATGTAGTAAGTTCATACTGTGTAGATCAAAATGACAGCTTATCAGACTAATATTTTTCATTTTTCATTTGTAAAAGTATATATTAATAGTGTTGCTTAGTAAGTTGTTTTTTAAATAATAGCAAAATAAATTAAAATTATTATCCTTAATTAATTTTAACTTTTTAAATTATACATAGAACAATTATATGGCTTTAATAATTAATACTACATTTTATATTTTTCTTTATGGTTATAAATATAATAATGGCAACACTAAATATAGATTACTAATTAATATTTTAAAATTGTAATAATTATAAAAATAATAGCAAAATTAAATAAATAATTTTCCATATTCAATTATAATTAAAATTATAAAAATGTTTAAAGTTAAAAAATATTGTAATGTAATTGGTGCAATTTTCATTTTGTTAATTGTGGGTAGGCTGTCTGTAACAACTATACATTCAAGACATGTAACACCTCAGTCTCTCCCGTGACCATGGATGCTGTAAAGCATTCGAAACGTCGGGAAACAAAAATCCAAATAAATCCGCGACAAAATCCGAAAAGATAGTTTTATTTAAAATGGATTATATTAAATATTCATTTAAAACAGTTGCTTTAATTTCTACTGTATTTTAAGCATCCTTGTAATATTTCATTTAAAAAATAAAATAATTTAATTATTACAACTACGAAATGCCAAATTTATGCCAAAATACGTCCAACAAATCCTAGATCTAAAGATACTTTATCCACTCATGAAATGATATGATCTGTGTTAATAATTTAAAATTATTCTTTTAATTTTCTTTAAAGCTTTAAATAAAATAAACTAGATCGTATATGTTGAATAAACACAAATTAATTATTTAAAGAAATAAGTTTGCTAACCTTATTCAAGCGATTGTAACATATACAACAACATTGTATATAAATTGCAAACACTTCAACAATGTACATAATTAAATTGCGACTAAGCAACATCGTGTTTATTAATGTTAATTGACTATCTAATATTCGAAGTATTCCAGCTAATCGAAAGAATTTTTTTTTTTACTGGAAAAAATTCTATGTCTTAACATTTGCAATATTTCATTACTCTTTCACAAAGTGTGTAAAAATGGTATTACGTACAATGCTTTCAATTGCTAGGCCTATTTTGATAAAAAAATATTTATTCGGTTTTTTTCGGTTCAAAAGGTAATTAAAAGTGTTGAATATCCTACTAATCCGTATTTTTTATTTTTTAATATTATAAATGTGAAAGTTTGTGAGTATGGATGTTTGTTACTTTTTCACGCCAGAACGGCTGAACGGATCTGGATGAAATTTGGCACAGAGATAGTTTATAATCTGGAATAGCATATAGGTTACTTATACCCCGGAAAAATGTACCGTACCCCTGGGTAGATGTGTTGTTGTTTAGTGACGAACCCCAAACGAAACAAGGGCCGAGGGTGAGTCGCTAGTTTACTTATAATCTAGAACAGTTTCATCGGTTATGACGAATCAAACTTATGATATTGAGAAAGTTTATTCTTGAAATAAAAAAGTAAGAAAGTAAATGCCTTTGTGTTATGGTCTTCTTATTCGACACTTTTGACTCACTGTTAAATACATTTGTAATACATAATTTGTTGTTTACGTTGTAAAGCAATGTGGGCAGAAGAATGGTATTGTTATATTTGAATTGATATTAACTGGGTCATTATGCAATAACGAAGTATGAGTCTTTTGAAAGCGTTCATATTATTCTGAATTTAAATGTTTACACAGCTTAAATATTAATAACTTTAATTCGAAAATTATGATATTATAATGTAAAGGAATATAGTACCAAGAAAAACCGAGTAGATACTTAAGAGTTAAAACTAAGTTAAATCATATTCATAATATAGGACTGGAACAACTTCAACTGTGTCTTCAAGGACTAAAGTACGTAAAAATTTACTCTGTATCACCGCTCTAACAACAATTACTGTCTTTCGTGTAGGTACTGATAAATTTTGACCATTTTTAACTTCTAAATCTTAATCCTAATCTTCTCAGAAGATTTCTGAAGCAAAAACTTGAGTTGAACTTTTTTCTACGATTAACCATAAATTAGTTATGCTACATACGCCGACTTAAATAAAATACCAATTGAACTTGAGCCGTCCGTGCCATACATCTTCATACAAATCGAGGGTCACGTTACCCGATCGACAAGTACATACACCTATGTAACTTGAGTCGCTGCCTGTTATACTACAATAACCTATGACTGCCTTGCATTCTAATGGCTAACACCTACGGCTGCAGATTCGGAAGTACAGGGTTTGAGTTCCGAGTCGGGCCAAGTTTAGTTATTGAGCCTATTAAAATTAGTCTGTTAAAAAAGTCTTGGTAACACTTCGGAGTAGGAAAGTCGGCGGTCCTGCGCCTGATCTCTCACTGATTATGTCTAAGTGTTATCGGATGACAATCATCCCACCTGATTATGAGAGTGACAGGAATAAAGAGTGCATTTGTGTTTAAGTGTATATTTGTACACTATAATATCTCCTGCGCAGTTGGCTACCCTTATTTCAATTGGCCACCCATAACCGATGTCAGTCACGAATATTCTTATTATTTAGGTATTTTAGGTGTATTTTAGATGTTTTATGGAATAGACTAAGTACATATATATGTACATAGGTATAGAAATGTAGGTAAATACTTATATATATATATATATATATATATATATATCCCTTACTTGAGAAATTATTGATTTCCCATAAAAACTTCCACTCCTTTAAGTGAAGGTTTTCGAGTTAAGAACTATCCTATGTCCTTCCCAGGGTCTCAAGCTATGTCCATACCGAATTTCATCTAAATCGATTCAGCGAATTAATTGTGGAAAGTTAAAAAACAAACAAACAGTTACTTTTGTATTTATAATATTAGATTAATTCTCCATACAAGCTTTCATCACCATTTTCACAACTTTAAGGGATGATTTCCGGACTAAAAAACATACTATGTTTTTCCAAGGGTCTCACTACCTTCTTACCAAATTTCATATAAATCGGTCCAGTACTTTTTGAATTTATTCGTTACAAACATACAAAAATACAAATCTTTTCTCTTTATAATTACACAATTACCTGCAATATAGTGAAGTTCTCGAGTACACTGTTCATCATGTACTTCTCGGGCAGGTGTTTCAGTTTGTGTATGAAGTTGACCATGTACTCGCACATCGGCGAGCGCTGTATGCGGTACACGAAGCGGCCGCCCTCGAACCGGGCGTACTCCGTCTCCACCTTCTCCACCACTTGCTTGCCGAACGAACACACTTTTGTGCTGCACGTGATCGTCATGTTCTCGTTGCTCTCGTATCTGTTCAACAAACAGACATATATATTATATAAACGTATTATGCTGGCAGTTAGTAGGCACCATAGTGGCAAGAGGCAAAACTAACTTTGACTAATAATCGGTAAAGTTCCTATTTCATTTCGATGGTCTACAAAGTATCACTACATATACTGAAATAGTAACAGGAAAATCTTTTATCTCCACGAGACAACACAATTACTGGTTCTAGCGAGTCGTCCTTAGAAATGTACATGGATAACGCTGGCTAAACCATAAAAGTTTCACCACAACAACGTACTAGAAAATTGTAGGTCTTAAAAAAACCTACAAGAAAGTCCACAATACCATATGTCTATCTCTTAAGACCTAAGGTACACTCACAATAACTATTTTTCTATATCTATTTAAAATGTATCTAGCGACGTAACCAAACAAAGCAAGGGTAACTCACTAGTAGATTATAAAATACAAATAACTGTTGTTAGATTATATTTCCTTTGCCGAAGAACTGGCACGCTCATTGAATAATATAGATGTAATCTCCAATTTTCCCGGTTTTCTGTACAAAATTAATTTTTGTACATATAATACAAACAGCCAGGATTGAACTAATTGATGAAAAACAAGTCGGCCGTCCACTCATGCGATAGATATATAGTATGTTAAAAAAAGAACCTATGGGTTAAACCATACCAAGTCACTCAAAATCCGTTGACACTACAGCGTGAAAAAACAATAAATACTGAATGGAATGTATTTGTTATTTTTTCACACTGTATCTAACTTCTCACTTTTTAATAAATATTAATGTGACAATATAAATAAATATAAATATGTTCGGACATTAAGACAAGGCACTATCTAGTTCCGTACTTTAAGTTACGAGGTACGGTAAGTTCCGGTAACTTACGAGGCTTGTGTTATGGATACTAGATAGTTGATACACTACACAATACACATATATAACTTTAAATATATACATATTATAAATATAAACACCCACGACTGGAATACAAACATTCGTGCTCATCACACAAATGAATGCCCCCAGCGGGACTCGAACCCGCGACCACTGGTACAGCAAATAGGGTCACTAAAAACTGACCCAAACGTGTTGTCAAAAAAAATAACTATTACTTACACGCTCGTGACGCCGTAGAAGGCGCCAGGATCGTCAAGGTTATTTGTGTTAAGGTCCGCCCAAAATTTCACTAAAAAGAACGCGTTCCTAGGTCCCTTCTCGTATAGCTCTTTTAAGCCGCCTTTCTTCTCTGGGAATTTGTCGTTTATTTGCTGTACATCTACTGACTGTGAATATATAAAAATAAGTGATTAAGTAACAGAATGTAATAAATATGAGGATGTACATTGTACATACATATACCAAAATACTAGCTGAATGTCCACGAAATGAAGGGGAAATAACAATTTTTTTATTAAGATTTAATATTGGCTTGTTAAAGATAGGGATTTTCAACAGCATCCTGGTCTATCCTGTTTCAAAGTAGGTAGTACAAGTCGAATTAAAACATAGAAATGTTTAAGTTTTGCTATTTATAAGGCTGATTAATTATGTTTAGTTATTCCTATAGGGGCTATTCTTATTCACATGGCATGATCACTCTGTGACTAAAAAACCTGTTTAAAATAAAGATAAAAAACAGAAGTAAATTAGATACTATACAAATATGTATTACTATGTATCTATACTTTATATTCTTCTATACAAATAAAAATGAAATTCTGTTCGTTGGTAAGCGCCTCACTTAAGAACGGCTGGACGGATTTGTTTTTTTTCTAAATGAAAAAAAAGGGCTATGAAATTGCTAATTTCGGCAAAATTGAGTGAGTGTAAGAGCTTTTTCTAGAAACGTTTTATATGAATTAAAAGATTACAAACATTCATTATTTAAACACAACGATGATCGGGTCTACTACTTGAGAATATAGTCCCGCCTATTAAAAAAAAATATATATGTATTATGTATACATGTATAAAGATATAATTATATATATATAAGAATTAAATAATATGTATAGTAATAGATTACCTCTAATAAAGGATCTGCGTATGTGACTGTGCCACCTATATGTACAAATAAGTGTTGCGCCGGGGCCGTGCTCGGTGGATACTGGAAGAAGAATATTTAATTATATAAAGTTTTTGAAATGCGTATCTTATTTTATAAATAACTTTTGTTATATTGCTTAAAGCAAGAAGGATGTACCTTTTTCTAATCATGGTCACAGAGAAGACTAAGGTGGTAAGGTAAGTTATATAGGTGCTGTCTGTAACAACTATATAATAATCTTTGAGACGTTAAACAATCGCGTAAATCTAAGAAAGTATTATATGAATACCAATCTTGTCAAAAATTCTGTTGTTTGAAATATTGTAATTTATAATTTAACTTTATAAAAAAAGATAATGAAATAGTCCCGCTGAGTTTCTTTCGCCAGTTCTTCTCAGGTCCGAGGTTTCTTCTTTCCGAATTGCTAGTAGACTCGTGACGTTCAGTAAAAAAATGTAATAATTTAATGCTGAATAAAATTTTGAATTTGAATTTTGACTCACCGTGTCCGGATCTCTGGGGTGTTCCACAAAAGCCGAGAACTCCACTAAGCGTAGCTTGTGCGTGGCGATGGCGCGTCCCTCCCATGGCGGGGGCGGCGCCACGTCCGCGCCGCCGGGCACGACGCCCGGGACGCCCGGGACGCCCTTGTAGCCCGCACTTGGGAACGGCTTTACACTGGAACAATACACATTTTTTATTGTAGTTATACTTCACTACATAGTATAAAACAAAGTCGCTTCCCGCTGTCTGTCTGTCCCTATGTATGCTTAGATCTTTAAAACTACGCAACGGATTGCGGATTTTTTTTGCGAATTTATTTTGATTTTTGTTCCCGACGTTTCGAATGCTTTACAGCAAACATGGCCACGGGAGAGACTAAGGTGTTAGATGTCTCACAGGCATTATATAGTTGTTACAGACAGCCCATTCACAAATTAACAAAAGGAATCCAAAAAAATGAAAAATGTCACGTAAGTGGTTTTTGTAATTTTAATAATTTTATAATTGAATAGGGAATAAGAATAATAAAATTGTAACTAAGCCGAATCTGTACATTAAATATTTTTTGGAAAATCTTATTGAAATAGACATTATTATCGATACAAAGGCCGAATCTAAAATTTTTAGAATTTTTAACTGTCTATCTGTCTGTCTGTTACCGCATTACAGAAAACCACTGGAGGAATTTTGATGAAATTTGGTATATGGATGGATGGTTGGATACTTTTTACCGCGGTAAAATATCTCATTTTTGAGAAAAAACTGTAATGTAAGAGTATAGTAATGTATAAAACCTAAGAATTTGGTTTTTGATCATCTGAACGCGAGCGGAGCCGCGGCAATGCTAGTTATTTATAAAATCTTTTTATTTAAAATGTCAAATGTTCGCGTAAATCTAAGAAAGAATTATGAAGTTATACTTCTTTTGGCACGTTGTGAAATAATGATGAGACTAAAAATTTTACGATGCACGCGCACACCGATAGCCAAAAAGCGACATGATGAAGTTAGCTGAATTCCTTTTACAAACAGAGTGTGAGTGACATACGGTATGAAATCTTTAGCTATTTGTGTTCTGTTACGCCAAAGAAGTATGACTTCTTACGTGCGTACATAAATACACACACACGTTTTTATAATAAATTAATTACTAGCAATAGTCCTCGCTTCACTCGGGTGCGTAACTGAGTATAGATGTATTACTCCAGCTCATAGTATACTAAATTTCATCTAAATCCGTCCAGTAGTTTCAGACATATTTATATTAAGACGCATATTGCTATTTATTAAAGTACCCACATTTTGAGGGTAGTAAGAAGGGAGATGAACAGTGATCCTAATATTAATTCTAGTGTAATTAAACCAATTTTTATACAGTGTGATTAAATCAAAATTAAAATCAATATTACTTAAATAATGTTGTTTCCGTATATAATATAGCAGAAAGTGATAGAGCGTGTGTTTCCATAAATAATATTTTGTTACAACAATCAGTAATTATTTATTTAACTTTAAATCGCATAATACGGTTAAGCAAATGAATCACTAATATTGACACTCACTCTTGTGATGTTCCTGCTTGTAATCCTGGTTGCCAAAATTGCTGAAATAAAAATAAAGTTATCATTATAAACCTTCTGACACATATTTGTAACTTTAAGTCTAATAATAGCTCAACTTGTTAGATTTAGCGCATTTTCTACACACGTCACTTTGAAGCTTTCATTTAATACAGCAGTTTCGAAATTCTCCAATATATCATAATGAAAAATATCGGAATAAAATATTATGGATGAAATATTCGGTTAAAAAATGATGAAATTTTGTTAAAAGATGATTATTATTTTTTTATTTGAAAAAAAAAAAGTTAATTTCGTGAGTACACTGAGCAAGTTTCTAAGCCACACAATAATTACACAAGTAATATTTTTACTATCAATAGACATCGAAAATATGACAAACAAAGTTTATAATGAATATAGCCTTTGTAGTAATTGTTTGAAACAATACATAATATATTTTCTCGTGGGTCTATTAGTAAAATCCGTTCAGTAAAAGGGCAAAGCTGTACTCATGTTAAATTGAAAGCCAACTGTTATTTGTGCATGCCATGCCTCGAAGCTACACAATAAAGGCGTTTTTTGTGTGAGACAACACAAAGGCATGCGTACAAAATGTACCGTGTGGTGGTAAGCCGGGTGCGGCAAGCCCGCCACTATTTGCGCGCTAGACAGCGTGCTCATAGACTGCATCGCCTTCTCTTTCATAACACCCCCGTCCTAGATTGTTTATCACCTCTTAAATCGCTTTATTCTAACTACATTAAGTATTGGCTTGCGCGAAATTGTGATACTTTAGGTTTGAGTGGTAAATCAAATAATTATCAGCCGCGTGTTGTATTGAAGAAAATTGTTAAAGAAGTTCGTCGGTTCTCGAAGTGGAAGAATCACGAAATTATGACATTGATATTTTCATGATTGGATATAAACAAACACACAATTTTTTTTAATATATGCTTAATTTTAATACTTTGTGAAATTATGCATTAAATTAATTTTAACATAGATATGTACCTACCATAACTATATTGATAACTTTTTCAATATAAATGTAATTAGAAAATATAATATATAAAACGCCATTCTTAGAGTTTCATATTGGAGCAATGTTAATTTGATTATTTCCAATATGATATGATGATGATGTTCTCCTAGCCGATTCCGGCTACGGCGGCCAATCTCATTGAGATTAGCCAACTGCGCAGGAGATATTATAGTGCACAAGTGTACGCGCAGACCCAAGTGCACTCTCTATTCCTATCACTCTCATACTCCGGTGGGACGACCACTCGACACGACCGGTGAGAGTTAAGGCGCAGGACCGACGGCTTTACGTGCTCTCCGAGGCACGAGGGTGAAACACCGCCAACTTCCCAACTCCGGGCTGTTACTGAGACTTACTATACAGAAAGACTCAATAACTAAACTTGGCCCGACCCGGGACTCGAACCCAGGACCTCCGGGTGTGCAGCCGTACATGCTAGCCACTACACCACTGAATTCCAATATACCGTATATGGGAATTAGATCAGTTAGACATGTTTTGTAATTTAATAATTATAATTATTATTTACGTATGGCGCATGATGCGATCATAAGAAGTGGCGTAAACACGAGCGGAATTATTTCATTTCATTATGACTTTAATATAATAATTTGAGAATAGCTCTTGTTTTAATTAAAATTGTATCCCTTTGCGCTACAAGAGAAAGGTGAATAGAATTACATTTACCACTTTGAGTTTGGCCTGAATTTCACGCAGTTTCCGCCTAGCTAGCACCTGTATATGTGATGAGACTTGTTTTCTTGTGCGCGTCTTTCCTGTTCTGAGTTTTATATATCTTGCTATAAGTTCGTTTCGTCCTGGAACGATAAAATAATAAGATTAATAAGAATTAATGAAAAGAACTTTACAATTGAGATTCCAATTCTCAAATTCCGGACGCAGGTGGATTCGAACTTACATCCCCTCAGGATATTGTGTCTTGGGTGCCCTACCAATTAGACTGTATTCAATATTCGCCTTACCGGATATGCAAATATTCCTATACGTATCTAGATCAAGCTACCTTTGCTTCGTCTAACTACTGCAGTTTGTGATAAAAAATATCTTGTTTTTTAATAAATTGTATAGTGTATATTTTCATATCGTTTAATTTGTCATTTGTCAAGAATCAATCTGTAACTAAATGTTCATAGTAAATTGTATAATGTGGAAGATCGCAGGTTCAATTATCGTACTAAATAGGAGAGAATAACAAGGACACTATGAAAATCAACATCAATTTAAAAAGTGATAACTTTAAAAATATCCCAAGGATTATTTTAAAAATTTAATTCATAAATAAAAGTAATTTATGAAAAGCGCCAATTGTCATAGCCCGCGAAATATTCCAAATAGTCAAATCAAAACGCGCTGCACAATGCAATACCGGCGCAGCCGATGCCGATCTCGTTATGAAACAATTTTCAAAATATTTTGAATAGCTATTTTCAATTATTGAAACTGCAGCCGGCCCGGAATGCGGGGTGGATCGAAAACGGTAATGAAATATATTTTACTAACAGATCAGCTATTCTCAAACTACTCGCAGTAGCGTTATTGATATTTTTTTTGTAGTTTTATTCTAAAACAATAGATTTTCAGATTTTTTGTGTCGACTGTGATGCTAGTTTAAATTGAACAATGGTGTATTAATTTGAGGCGAGCGTAGAACAAGATCGGGCCAGACCAAAGTAAATTGAAATCTCATTGAATTCGGGGAATGCGATGGCGACGAGAGACGGCTGGTGCGAATTTAATTAACCCCTTGCCTGCTCGGTGAGGCGTGCGTGCGTATATCTATTCATTTTCATGTAGATCGTCAGTTAAATTTTATACATGGCGAAGCACGTTCGCGAAATTCAAATAGGATTTTTTTCAACAGAGCGACCAGCGGGAACTTTCAAACATATATGCAAACAAAAACTGCTATCGCTTAACCAGTCAATAAATTTTCGCCATGTATCCGATATAAATATAACTTAAAACACCCTGTAAAACTTTGTCCAAAATTAAAGTGAAAGCCAGTAAGGAAAGTAGTAAGCTCGGCAACAAAGTTTTGAAGTCTGCTAAGTGAAAACATTCTTGGAATTGCTCTGAAATTATGGCACCATTTCATAAAATTTTCACGACGGGTATTAGGTTAAAATTAGTGGGGGTTACGGGAGATGCGATTAAGTCGAATGGGCGTGATAAATAAACACGTCGTATGTCACTCGTTACGGCGGACAGGCCGGCGGCGGTGACACCCGCGCCCGCGAATCCCGCATTAAGAGTGCTTTCACCCGAAACGTCGTGTGCATCTCACTATAAATAGCGCGCTGCAGAGAAGGTACCAATGGATACGTTTCTATTCCGCGGCGAATAGAAAAACAAGAGATGATTATTTATTACTTAGTTAGTTGGCTAATTTGGTCCACTGCCAGCGTCGCGCCACGCTCTCGCGCACTCCGTGCGGATGAAATTGTGCGTAGAGCCGCCATATATGAATATTGATTTCTTTTTAACACTAATAACAGGTTAATATCTTGTCTTCATTAACATACAAAAACATCAATCGATTTTTACTAAAGACAACAAATTGAGTTTAATCTATACATATATTAAAATTGTAACTAAGCCGAATCTGTACATTAAAGATTTTTTGGAAAATCTTAGTGAAATAGACATTATTATCGATACAGAGGCCGAATCTATAGTTTTTAGAATTTTTGTCTGTCTGTCTGTCTGTTACCGCATGACAGAAAAATATACATCTGGTTAATAGATAGCTGGTTATCCGGGTCAACATATAGGATACTTTTTATCGCGGGAAAATGTCTCATTTCTGAAAAAAAATATACAAAAACTGCAATGTGAGAGTATACTAATATGTAAAACCTATGAATTTGGATTTTGGTCATCTGAACGCGGGCGGAGCCGCGGGCAATGCTAGTTTTGAATATAAAAACAATAGTTCATTAATTGTTTTATAAATAAACAAAAAGAAAATAAAAAATACCTCATACTTATTTTTTTGATAATAATTTATACAAGAAGGAAGGTATCGGAGATCCATCAGAAACACATTAACGTAAAGCTATGGCCTTTCAATTGTTTTTCCTCTAAGCTTTTAGCGTAGATAATTTCTTTAACGGGTACTATTTAATGGAGAACATTTACAATGTGATTACGAGTGTTGATATCGAGTAGGTATATAAAATTATATTTTAGATTTAAGTACACTATTTATAGTTTTGTTCAATTACAGTTATAAAATAAGTATTTTATTTATATACATAATGTATGATTTTAACCTTAATTAGCGTATTATTGGTAAATTTTCGATGCATAATATATTTACTGGAAAATAACTGTACATAAGTAAGTTTTATAAATACAGGTTTGGAAAAGAGAGGAAAGTTAACTACACGGCTTGTCAGTTACAATTTTATTAAAAATATATAAAGTATAACGCTCAAATTGGAAAAATAAAATTGTTTCTATGCTAAAATTATTTCGACAAATTTTATATTTAAAGGTTGGTAAAAATATTCGTTTTTTGAACAAAATAAAAAATCTTCCCAAATATATACTTCAAATTAATACTTCCCATGTGAAATGAGAATGATGATCCTTAACTCAATCGATATCTCAAATATTGTCGAAGATGCTGGATACGAAATATAGCAGTTAAATAAACATAGCGGGCATGATTATTTAATATGTCACGTATTAATAACGATTTCTTACATTGATATTAAACGAAATAGTGTAACAAATAAATAATACGCAAAGAAAGGGTCCTTTTCAATAAAAGAAACATTACGAGGTGATAGAAGCGTCAGAATTTCACGCTGACCCAAACAGAAGATATGCAAGGCAAATGGTAGTTGAAGGGTTGAGTTTCGACGATCTAAGGATTTCTCGAGACAATCGGGAGTTATGCCTTCGGGCGGGGCGCTAAGGCGCGGGAGAAGGGGCGGGCCTTCTTTATATTTTCTTACTGCGTTCGCCGCCTAGCGGCCGGGCCCCTTACACGCTCGCTCGCTCACTAATTGCGCATTCTTCGCATAGTTTAGACCCCCTGTGAACCCCTCACCGCCCCCCGGCCACGTGAAGCCGACGAAACTTTCATACTCCCAGGATATTGAGCGGTTTTGAATGTCTTAACTCACGAACGTGCCTGCAGCGGTGCTTGTGCTTTGTAGGCAAACTGTTTCCAACAACTCACCGCACTGTTCGAAGCTAAATTACTGCTCACTTGCCTGTGACGAGGTAAAGTCCTCTCAATGTAATAGTGAAGCAAACCAACTTCATAACATATTATTATTAAGATGCTGTTTCAATATGTGCAATGTGTGTAGCTGCTGTGTAAGTTAGAAGGTAATGAATTTTTACTTTTTCACTCCATCTTTCCGTATTCTTATTTACAAATTATAAATGCAAACAAATTGAATAAAAATTGACTTTATTTTAAGAGGACAAATCTTAATGTTACATAAAATCATCAAAAGTAATATACTTAGCATGAATATCATCTATACTAATATTATAAAGAGGTAAAGTTTGTGAGTTTGTGAGATTGTGAGTTTGTGACGTTGTAGGGGTTAATCTCTGGATCTACTGAACCAATTTAGATGAAATTTGGTAAGAAGATAGTTTGAGACTGGGAAGGATATAAGATACTTTTATCCCGGACATCATCCCTTAAGGGGGTGAAAATTGTATGGGGAATCAAGCTACGGTCGAACCCGAGCGAAGCGAGGGAGAGCCGCTAGTTTATTATATAACGCTATTACAAGGAATGTTAACCTTTACTAAGACGAATCAAAAAAAAATATGGAAAAAGGTCTAAAAAATTAAAACCTAGAATCTGAGACGATTGTTAGACGCACAGAAGTGCAGCTCAGATATTTTTTGTCAAGCTTAACCTTTATTCCGCCTGTAGCAATAAAACTACAAACTAGCGTATCGGGACCAAGACTCTTCGAAGATTAGAGGGCGAGGGTGTGACAGACAGGATGGAATGGAGAGTGACGCACTGTTGGCTAGATTAAGCCGGGCCGACACGTCCGCGAGTAATGCGACCATATATTGTCCGGACGAGCGCGCAATTATGTCCCGTGTTCTTTTACAACTGCCCCGACGTAATAAACTCGACAAAATCATTATTAAATACACCATCTTAGCTATAATGCATTCAAGATAGTTAAGTTAGATACAACTTTAATTATCAATTATATTCAATTATTCCATGTGATATCTATTATTAGCATTACTACTCCTGTACGGCTTGAATGTTTCATGTTAAACTCGTATATCTTATTAAGTTGTTAACTCTAGAACAACTTTAAACCCGATAATAAACATAACGAGCTATTAATACATTTTCCATTTGATATATTTTAATGAAATCAAAACCGTGTTGTCATATTTAGATTGTTTTATGTTGTAAATTTTGTTCACTTTAATCGTACAGCGAAAAGAACAAAAAAAATGAAAATTTCATTTAAAACCAAATATTTCTAATATTCTTAAAACACCTAAATTCACTGTGCATTACGTAAAGGCGTTTAAAGGATTATTTCCGCTGAGGCGATAAGATTAAACCGGCACATTTCTTTCCGTCTATTAAATCACTTAAGGTGGACACATCGCTTGCGGTAGATTTGTTTAGCAATTCCATCCACCCGGTCCGACCCGGGCAGTCCTTTAATTAAAGCCGGGCGGTATAATGTTCGCTTGACGCGAACTTAATGTGCGTCCGGCGGGTAATGGTAGTGGCTGCCTTTAATTGTTCCACGTCAATTGTGCCAGTAACGTACGTGACAATAGCGAGTCTCTAGAAAGTTATTGCTATGTTTTCGGTTGTGCGGAATTAAATGAGAAATTCTATGCAATTACTGTGGCTTATTATTAATCTTGCTCGTAGATTTCTGTAATACACGTCTGTTGTCCATAGATTGTTTCCAGCACAGCCACACTTAACATAATGTTCAAACATTATAAATAATACTTACTCGTTGTTATTATTTCAGAAATAACAATTGCCAATCTTTTAAGAAACTTTAAGAAAAGATTTACTGTACATGTATTCAGGCCTTTTTAACGTCCCACTGCTGGGCACGGGTACCCCTCCAATACGAGGGGGATCAGGCCATAGTCCACCACGCTGGCCAAATGCGGGTTGGCGGACTTCACATGTTTTTCGAAAACTTGCTAGATTTTCTCAGACATACAGGTTTCCTCACGATGTTTTCCTTCACCGTAAGGCAAGTGCTAATCATGTTAGAAGTGATTCCCACATGAAAATATCAGAGATGGGAAACCGGGGATTTAACCCGCATCACTCTTTTTCCCAAGCGAACGCGTTACCACTGGGCTAACACTGCCTACTCTACTACTACTTACTCTACATGGAAAAACATATCAATTTATGGAAAAAAATACAACCATATTTACTACCTCAAAGAACATAATATTTTCCATAGTTAGCTTTTTTATTTTAACTTTCTGCTTATGAATATAAAAACACTGAGTTTTAACTAACATTTTTTTTCGCCCAATTCGAACTCACCCCATCCATATATCTTTGTATTACTACACTTTATACCGAACATTATTCAAAGGAGATATAAACGATTTTCTTAGGTAAAAAAGTCATCTAAAATCTAAATTACATTCAAAACACTCAGCCACTTGGCAATCATCCTAACGCTGAAGTCATGAACGATCACGATGATTATAACCTTTGCACGTTTATTTTTAAGAGTGTCTCACAAAATATTAAGCAGAAACACGAGAGATTTACTTCTATTAATTTAGTGAAGGGGAAAGGTTTCTTTGGTGATCATCACGTAGCGTTAACGAGCTTCCTTAGTTAACATTGTAGCGTGAAAAAATTCTCCCTCGCCCTACAGTTTGGAGAAACTCTGCTTACATTACAATCATCAGACTTCTGAGTTCAAATTAGGTCAATAAGTTTTCAGACGTCAACATTTTATTACTATGATAATTGTTTTGATTCATGAGGTTTTGGGGTGAATAAATAATTAATTAACTATTGCACACGTTATATTGGTATTCAAAATATTCCAACTTAATATGTATAAAGTACCTGTATTTAACTATATTTCATAATTAAGGTTATATTCTGCTATGATAAACAATTTTGAATATAGTCTTAAGTTCCATAAACCATGTTACTAGATAAAGAACCACTTAGATAAAGAACTTTTACTTTACAGTTCACATTCATATATTTCCATAAAAACAAATACACACTTGCAACAAATACTGTTTCCATTGTACCGTCCTTAATAATATAATATTTTAAGAGTATTGTCGTTTATAAGTTATAGCGCGAACACGTGCTCTGAACTAGTTCGCGAGTTTTGAAGATTGCAGGCGAGATTGAACAAAGCCGCGAATTCAGTTCCTCGAATCGGCGACACGCCGATCGAGAGATAATAATTGTCGGTTCACGTCTCTCTGTGGAATCCTATTGCGCAAACCGCTTTGTCGGCACACATCAATACCTCCACCTTGCCTTTTGTCTCGTGCTACACCATTGTTCATTTCAACGACCTTGAGCGTTTCATAATTCAATTAAACTGAAGGTACGCAAATCTACTTAGAAAGTTGTTATAAGATGTTTACATACGATTACTTATTAGAACAATCATAACAAGTTGACAACTTTCCTTCTAAATAAAATTTACTGTAAATACCTTTATAGATCATAGATTCAATGAATCGCTTATAATATTTTTGTAGTTGGTTATTGTTTATATTTATTACCAAGGCTGTTGTCGTAAGTTACCGGTGAGTATTGCATGTAATTAGCGTAAATGAATGAACTGTATTTCGAGTAAATATTTAAACATCCTCTAGCATGTCCGGACTCACCGTACATCTTGCCCTCGTCCGAGAGGATGATCTTGCGCCGGCCACATGGGGGGTATATCGCGAGCGCCTCCTGGAAGCTTTGCTCGATATCCGGTGACCACACTCCTTCCGCGTCCGCTGCCGACATATCCTGAAAATACATTTTGGCTTTAAAAAATAAATATGATGATGAAAATAAATTTCTGCTAGGTATAAAAGAAGGCTGGTTTTTATAATTTATCATTTTAATATTTTGAAATCTCTTATAAGTATTTTTTTTATTTATAATTAAGATATTAAAGTAAAAATATAAGTAATGAAAATATGATAAAATTCAACGTATTTTTTTTATTTACCTATAATTTTCATCCATTAGTATATTTCTTGGAGAATAAGTAGGTTTCTCATCAACATTCCTTGCGAGCATAAATTTCTCATGATTTAAATATTGCGGTACATTATTTGTCGTTAATTTATATGATTTATTATATGACCTTCAATGTAACGTGTAATGGCGATGTCAAAATTACTATCGGTTTTAGAATTTCTGAATAGTGGTATTAAGGGTCTATATTATAAGATTATGGGGTTTGCCGCTACGGGCCTTGAACTTCGATCTTAACATATTTACTCAATATTCAGAACTAGTATTCTTATGCAAATTAAATACCAATTGGCACCCGTATGGGCTAAATGAATTATACGTTTTAATTGCTAATAGTGAGGCCGGCGAGGATCGGAGCTTGTTAGATAGCTTTTTGTTTTTATAACTGTGATTTAATACCTATATTTTAGTCGTATTTGTTGATTGAATATAGAAAAATACTTTTAGTATTTGCATAGCGCAGACCAACAAATTCATTATCAAATAGTATTTTAGACAGTAGATGTCAAGTTTTCAATCGATTTCAAAAAAGAAGTATTACTCGATTCTTATAACAGTTTTTTAAGGAATCAATTTAATACATATTCATATCGATAACAACAAAACGATATGAGATTAAATACCTATATGGTGGGTCCCGTGTAAATTACAAAAAAAAATTAAATTTCTCAGGCTGGAATGATTATTACATTTAAGTTATTGAGAAGATGATGGGTACATCTTTTTGAGTTAAAAGATTATACGTTACCTACTTCTAATTACACATACCTATTACAAACAAATTATGAACTTTTCAATGAAGCGCCTTAATTTTTTTATCAATTGTCGACTTAAATCAAAAGTTTATTAATATAGCGATTAGAGTAACTATAACATAATATAAAATATTATTATTTTTTCATATAAATACCGCTTTTATTTTACATAATACAGCAGATAATAGGGTCAAGTGATAGTTTTTAAAAATCGTATGTCGATCAAATTATTGTAAATTTAAAACAAAATTGCTCCAATTTTCACAAAACGAGATATTGCGAGCAGTCTATAATTAAAACCGGTATGTAGCTCCTTTATATGGATATGTTTATTGCAAAAATATCTCGAAGTTATAGGTATATTTTGATGGCAATTAACTTTAATACAAATACTATAAGGTACGGTAAAAACTTAATAAAATCAGGTTACGCCGGTTACTTTGTATAAAATATACATACATATTGGCGATCATTAATTCGACTGAAAACATTAACACAGTAAAAATTTATTCGATTTTTGAAAGTAATAAACAAGATGTAATACGATAAGTCTTAATTTCTTGTAATTATATCTTTAAGTACTAATATAAATAATATATACATTTGTACATAAAAAATATGATCGATGTAAAGACATGTTTGGCTCAGTTTGTAGTGTCGCTACTTGCTATGCCAGCGGTCGCGGGTTCGAGTCCCGCTGGTGGCATTCATTTGTGTGATGAGCACGAATGTTGGTTTGTTTATATTTATAATGTGTATGTATTTTAAGGAAAAATATATGTGTAGTTGTATCAACTATGTGGTATACATAACACAAGCCTCGTAGTAGGTATGGTTAGCCATGGAACTAGATGGTGCTGTGTGTTAATGTACCAACATAAGTATTTATTTATTTAAACAAGAATCTTGGACAAAATTGATGAGTTCATTTCCGTTAAACCTGGCTATATCAAATATGTTATTTATTTTTAACATATAGAATAAAGCTTACTACCAGTCTTAGTACTCTAATACAGCTTAAGCCGCAGGCATGACTACTATAGCTATTTAAAATCGTTCGATAGATGAATCAGAAGGATTTATTTTTATACTAAAGTACGCGTCATCCAAAAATATAGTTTTACGTGTCGATTTATTACCATTCCCGCTGAAATGCACTATTGCAAAACATTACGAGCATCGTAATAGAGTATCGGTTTATCACAAACCAGATGCTATTAACATCTGTGTACGAGCAATATATGTATAGTAGGTATATGTTATAAATAGAATACAAAATATGTTTTTTTCAAGTGATTCTTTTCCGGAATAACATAATATGAAGGAAAATTTGAAGAAAGGGATGATACTTATATAACAGTTACCTTATATTTTTATAAATATGTATTATAAATAATGGTTGATTTAAATTGACATAGCTTTTTTATTTATGAATCGATTGAAATAAGAAAGTACTAAATGTTAAGTAAAGCTTACCAAAAGATATTAGGTGAACCGCACTCAAATCGGTTAAGACGTTTCTGAGATTAGCACGCACAACAGCACTGACAAACAGGCAAAAATTCTAAAAAACATTGTTTTTGGTTCTATTGCATTAATAAAGACCTCCAATAATAGTTTTTCTTTAATATCTTCCATGTAGAGACAGCAATCAGTTTTATTATATGTATTGAAGAAGATATATAAATTAGTGTATGTATATTAAAGTATATGTGTAATAGTATAATTTAGTGTGAGATGCAACTGTTCTTTTTAATAATCTTAATAAAATAAACTTAGTCGCTGCAAAATTATGGTTATTTATTTCTAATACAGTAACTATAACATTTAACAACTATAATATTGTAATACGTTTTAACTAGGCGTTAACCAATTCACAAACAGTCCGACCACAGTTTGTATCGTTACATGAACTATCAAAATAAATCGGAAACAAAAAAAAAACGAAGAGATGCGTCATCGTAATTAATAGAGCCGGTTCTATTCTAAAAAAGTTGGAAATAAAAATAACGCGTTCGACTCCGCCGCCGCGAAACGGGCGGACGTTAGACGAAAACATCGTGAATCACTTGCTCACTGGAACTACCTCCTGGTTCCGTTTAGAGCTAATATTTGCATGGGTTATGTATAGACTATAATATCAACTCTGTCCACGTGTATTCAACAAAATTGTTGAAAACAGTTCTCTACATGAGGCAAAAGCTTTATGTTGGCTCGACACTCGTTCCAAAGTTTTAAAAGTTTATATTGATCGTATCTTTTTTAAGTACCTACAAACAAAACAATTAAATATACTCAACGTTTAATGTTAATAATAAAATAAGATAATAAATTTTATAAAGTTTTAACTTTTTATGCATATATTTAATCATATTATAACGTTAAAATCGAAAAAAATAGAGTAATTTCTAATAAGCTATATATATAATATCGGACTACTATTAAAAAGCGTAAATTTGTATGTGTGTATGTTTGTTATGTCTTGGCTGGACGTTTTAAGATGAAATTTAGTTTACAGGTAGACTATGACTTGGAGTAACATAGGTTAATAGTCTACTGTTAGTCATCTAGAGACACATCCAAGCGTAGCGAGAAAACGTCATTAGTTTTAGTCATATAATTAAAACTGAAAACTATATATAAGATTTTTAACCAAACTTAAATGTTTAACTTAATATAGTCATATTATATACCTTTTCATCGTCACTAGCTTCCCCCACATCTAGGTGCTTGGCGTCGGCGCCGCCCGAGCCGTTGGTGTCGGGCGCGCCGGCCGCCGCGCTCCACGGAGACGCAATGGTGCCGGCTGCGAGCGCGCCGCTCGCTGGAACAAACACAAATACACATGTAGATCACTATCGTCTTTTTGTCATACATTTTATCCCTTCGAACAGTGTAGACAGTGCACGCCAATAAGGTAATTGAACGGTCAGTATTTTAAGACCTCAATTAAAGTTATCAGGACTTCTGACAGTAAACACATTTTAATCGAAATTAAAAATAGCTTATAGCACTCGGCGGTAATGCCTTACATTTTAGTAAAAGAATTTTCAGAATCGTTCAGTAGTCGAAGATTACTCCCAACATCCAAACTTACAAAAGTTTAGCTCTATATAATATTAGTGTACATTATTTACAAATAAAAACAAACCAAAATATACTTCATTCAAATAAATTTTTACAAGCACTTTTAAATCGTCGTATTTGATTTTTTTTTCATTTAATTATCAGTATGTAAGTTCGTCCGCTACCCCCGGGTTCCACAAGAACAAGACAGTTCCGCCGAAAAGAGCCAGCGAGAAACTTTACAGTAATATTATAATGCCGACGAGATCGTTCTATTATTTGTTTATCCAGAACTTGTGTATAATTGTATAAAAGTTAGATTTGAAGACATCTGTATTACAAATATGTATATGCTGCATTGTAGCTTATTCATTTATGAAGATTTAGAAGATTAGATTTTAACACACTACAACCGATAAGAGCAGAGCAACTATATATTAATGAACTATGCCAGTTAGGCCACAGACAACATTTAGTAATTAAATGAGACTTTATAAATGATAGAAATAGACATGCACCAACATTCAACATATAGAATACAAACAGCATGAACGAATTAACCACAAACAGCTATTTCGCTTTTACAGACTTTATTTTGAAGAATGTGAACACGAGCGTATTTTAAAAAGAGTCATTTTGTCTCTGGAAAACTTTAAGTGCTTACTATATATACTATATAGTAATATGTATATCTAAGCCATAGTATAGAGGTACCTATTTCAATTGTATATGTAGTGAGTAGTCTAATACTTAATAGGCTAGGCTAGGATCTAGAATGTGATGAAGATTATGGTCCATAAACACATGTTGCATTATGTTATATATAATTTCTTTATTTCTTATATTTTTTATATAATAAGGTATAAAATATTGCTAAAATAATCACTGAAATCTAATATAGCAATTAAATATCTTTTAGAATTTTAGTCATATTTTTAAAAATAAATTTACAAGTCGCATTAGGTACTGAAGCATAGTATAGAAAATATTAATTACGTACATACATACATACATACATACACACGTCCTACGCCAACATACATCAAACCTCACTGTAAACAATATAGAAACGTATCAAAAGGTAAAATAAGAGTAATTTAGTAGCATCATATGAATGGTCTTTGCTTCTGACGTCATACAGTGTTTGCTTACATATTCAGATGCGCGCCTTGTAAACTTCCAATCGCATTGTGGCTTTGCACTAATACATTAATGTAAGCAAAAACAAGATTTACAGCTGTGTTTCGTATATATAGCAACGGTTATATGTCATGAGCTATTAATAAGATATTCTGAGTATGAATGGTGTGACCAAGTTTTTCTTATGTCACTTTCAACTACTATTAGTTATTATTTTTTTCCTTATTAAATAGGTTAAGGTCAGTACTTAATTAACAATAAGATAATTTTATTAGTAAGAATTTATGTTCAAATAAGAATTTCTTACTCCATAGCTTCCATAGTAGGTATAAATAAAAGAAATATTCATCTTTCTTTAAAAATAAATATTATCTTCACAAACATGTGAATAAGAAAAACCCGAACGTTCAGATTCGAAATTCATAATAGGTAAGCTTTGTTCGGGATGCGAGAGCGGAGGTCGTAGGCATTCTCGAAATTTTCATATTTACCGTTAGAAATATGCAGGTACGAACGTTAACAATATAAATATAATATCAAAAAGGAGAATTTTGTTATGAAGATCGGCTCGGAGGAGAGTAAAAGTATGCGCCGCCCGCCTTCCAGCGTGTCCCCGTGCCGTTGCTACTCAATAAATATACTTTATCTACTTACTTTTCTAAAGAAATATTTCTTAATCTGTCTTAGCTTAAGTCAGGAATTCTTAGGTATTTTATTTTTGAACATTTTTGAACCTACTTTTGTATTTAAATAACATTCCGATTTTAGCTCACAAAAACACTTAAGTCATCGAATTTACATACATATACATTATGTGTATAATGTTCACAAACTATATATTAAGTGTTTATGGTCAAACGCGCAAACCGTAATGAGCATTTATAATAGGTACATACTAAATTATGTATAACTTTAATCAAATAGCCAATAGCATAAAGAAAACTGAATAAAGTGGTTATCAGTATTTAATGGAAAACATAAAAGTAAATCTAACGTAATGATACATTAGGTACTATATAACATAATCATAACTCTAAAAAGGAGAGGAAAATTCAGATATTTCCTGTAAAAACATGCTATAGCATAAAGTTTTCATAAGAAAATTGAATTAATTAATTTCCCTCTATTTCATAATAGTAAAAACCCGCGATTCTATCCGAGGTAAATTTAAGTAAAGAGATATAAGAGTTTTTCAAAGCATAACTAATATAGGCTAAGAAAATTATTGAACTTTGAATAGAAAATACTTTTCGCGGGTAGATACTCTTTGTCTTCCGAGGATATACGAGTATGTATGTGATCCATCCATCCAATTGGCATAGCAGTGCAATTATTGTTTTCCTTTTACAATATCTATGTAACTATTTAACTACAGAATGCAAACTATATGTATTCTAAATTTCATCATGATCGGTTTAGCGATTTGGGTATTTATGAAAAATATTTGGCAACATTCGATAGACACACGTACTCGTATGTATATACAAACTAAATTAATATTAGCAACATCCAAGCAATTAATCTATACACATATTAAACGAGAATCTTCAATTAGGACAATTCATATTAATTCGAGGCGACATTAAAGCAGTGGCGGTCGAGGGCTGACAAAGGGCGGTGAACGTGCAATAATTAAAATAATAAAGCATCGTCGGGGCCCGGGCCCTTTGTGATATGACAAGTGTCCGCAATAAGGGCCTGGCATGTAGGGACCGGAGATCGACGTTCGTTTCGTTATGAATTTGAAATATTTCAATGTCTATCAGTGGCTATGAAAGTGTTAAGTAACCGTTTGGATTCCTCGTCAAATATGCGATATACTCCATTTTCGTTCCAAGAAGAACATCTATCTTGATTTAATTCATGGAAATTGTTATATTTAGGTACCTTAATGATAACAATTATATATAATACAATATATTCATATGGCCACCATATAAAATACTAGAATTATGTTTATATAAAATGTAAAATATCCATGATCAATTTTAAAAGTCAATTATAAAAACGTAAATACGGCTATTACACATTACTCATACAAGGCAAAGGCGTAATGGAAGAAAATAACACATTATGTCAGAAACCTTTGTGACTTAATGTTTGCAGTTATCGTGTATTATGTACGTGGTTGGGACACAATTACTATGAATAATATAATAGAGCCCACGCATCGTTCCGAACCGTGGATTATATATTAATAACTTATACCAATATGTAGCTGCTACATAGTTAATTAAAAATGTTTAAGTCATATACAATATTTTCTATGATTATATTTTATTTATTGCTGTTTTATTATTTTCATTTTGGAGAGAGGCTCTTTTATACCCCCGTACATCGACTATAACTCATTAAATATTAGTATATTTAAAATGAAAACATTCAAGAAAGCGCTTGGTGAAGACCTGTGGGAAGTAAAAAGCGGGTCGTTACAATATGATAAACAAAGTCACGGAATATTTAAAAAGGTTTATATATATTTTAAACGTATATATTATTAATTAAGCCGTTGAAATGACAAATTATAAAGAAAATGTATAAATTGGTAACTTTTTTTATAATAAAGTTTAAGGTAAAAAATTACGTGTTGTCCTTAACTGAAACAAGGCTAGAAGTAGCACGCGATCCCTGAAGCAGGAATGCATTTAATACCGGCGGCGGAATAATTCCAGTAATTTAGTGGCGTTTACACCGTATCGCGTGTACCTACAGAGTAATAGAAGAAAGCTTTTTCACAGCTCCCCGTTTTCGTTGTAAAAGTACTAAGCTTTCTATGTATTGTCAAAACCTAATTTCGCTTGAACATTTTATATTTTGTTTACAGTTTAACCCATTTTGTAAATTAAATATAATTAAATTGAAAGTTAAATAATAAACTAAAGTTCTTGTTTCGTTTTAATAATAACATCAGACTGGATATTTTTAAATTTTCGGTGTCGAAATTGCTTTTTCCTTCAAGTATAAATGGATATATAAAAATATAATAATAATTACAGTAATCATATCAAGATTACAACATAATAAGTTATTTGAGAAAAAATGAGAGCACAACAAAGGTCACCAGAAACAGATATCTATACATATAATAAAATTATAACTAAGCCGAATCTGTACATTAAATATTTTTTGGAAAATCTTATTGAAATAGACATTATTATCAATACAGAGGCCGAATCTATAGTAGATCCACTGGAGGGATTTTGATGAAATTTAGTATGGTGATGATTAGCTGGTTATCCGGGTCAACATATAGGATACTTTTTACCGCGGGAAAATATCTCATTTTTGAGAAAAAATACAAAAACTGCAAAGTAAGAGTACTATACTAATATGTAAAACCTAAATATGTATGAATTTGGTTTTCGGTCGTCTGAACGCGAGCGGACCCGCTGGCAATGCTAGTCTACATATACAAAGAGCAACTAGATTAAGTAATAAAAAATAACTGTATAACTTATAAATAAAATTATAAATATAATACATATCTCAATTTCTTCATATCGATTGTAAAATAAATAAACTCGAAATACTATTGAAATTTATTCAGCGCTGAAACACGATTTTAAAATATAAAGCAACATTAAATTGATAAAAACAACATAATTCGACCGAATGTGA